CTGAACTGACCTCTCACAGCACAATGCTTCGACCAATCATATAACCTTGCCAGTGTTGGCCAACACCGGAGATATGTCTCATATATGTAGAGCCGTGCGGCCGTGTTTGTGCGCTGTGCTGATTCGCACAAAACGAGTAGAATACAGTCATTTGATCTGGGTACTTGATAGCTAACCTAGATCAATGAGTACCCCTTTACCTCTTTAACTTGACTGGTTTGCATCCTATAGATGGCTAAAAATTCCCCATTAACCATGAGCCGGACCTTGACTTGAACAGTACTTATTCCATGTAGGTACCTACATGTAATTTTCACTTCGCACAGTTTTCGGTGAATGTGCGAAATGCATGTCTGCCTGTGCGCAATGTGGCGAACCAGTCGAATCGATGCAACCTTCTTCTCTCCCTCAGAGCCGCAAATCCCCCAAGAAATTAGAGAGGTGGAGAATACTATAAGTGTAGGTACTTACTGTAGTTTTATCCAAAGTTCTCACACAACTACTTCCTACGAACTGCACGAACTGTATGTACCAGATCCCCTGACCAGATACCCTGACCATGAGCCCTCAGTGAAACTGGATAATATTCTATCTACAAGATTCTTGGTTGAAAAGGTCGGCATTGGTTGATATTCTATTCAAAGGGAATAAATTCACACACAGACTCTTGTAAGTGTTGAAATGGCTATTGTAGCACGCCACCGCATAGTGTCGGTTTGTTGTTACAAAGAACACGTACTTACTGACCCAAGGACGGAATTCCAAGGTCAAAAATTTCATCTCCCCCACAACCTCCACAAACAACAAGCACGAAATCCCAACATGGGCACAAACAATATTCAGGCGACAGATATCAATTCTCAAATAACCCAAGTGATGCGTAATCACCATAGTGCTAGGTTGGTTAAGCTACAAAGCTCCGCACAGTCATGAGTTATTATCTTACAATCTGAATGCAATCTAGAAACACAGGAAATCAATCAGCACGGGCTAGTTCAAGGATTCCAGAAAAGGCAATAGATACCACAACACGCTTGAATGCTCAGGATTCTGGGGAGAACTCTCTACAGTGGCAGGTAAGGGATCTGGCTCAGCCTCAATCTCGAAAAGTCAACAAGAAGCTGGGACATGGCACTGCTTGGACAAGTGAAGGAGAACTTGCAGGACACCACGGAGTTCAGGAGATTGAGCAAAAGACCTCCGGTATCACTTTGGAACAAGATGCAGATGTCCGAATGCACGACGTAGATCAATCTCAACCAGCACGCTCTACCTACAACGGCCGTAAACGTACCGGAGAGGCATGTATAGAGGGAACTGGATCTCCAGTACAGCAGATACGCGAGAGCCATGCTGTTCAATCACCCAAGCGAACGCGCGCGCAGGCACCAAAGCGCTTCGAAGCAGGTAGGGGACTCGGAAGCCCAGGTAGGAATTGCCCAGTGATTGAGTTTGTAAGATCTGGACTGACTGAACAATCAAGTTTCTGGGCGTCCAAAAAAAAACCAACCCCTGGATCCTGAGTTTGATCGGTCTCGGTATGAATTCGACCATCCTGGCGAAGATGAAGGCGGTGGGCCCGTTAGAGCGGTGCAACAACGGCGCTTGTATGACCCGCAAAGAGACCCACCGAGCGCTTTTAGAGCCGAAGAGGATTCCTCAAAACGACTTGAAGATCCTCCTCCTGCAATCCGATCGCCGCGGAACTCTCGCCCTAAAGGAGATCAAAAAAAGAAGGAGAACAAATTATTCAATCCCAGAGCTCAGCCGCCACGAAGTACAAATATACCCGCTCAACAACAGCACCAACAGCAGCCTGGGTTGCAAAGAAGTAGGGAAGGTGGTAAAATTATGATCCTAAACAATATGCAAACTCAGACCCAGCTCCAATCAAGCCATACAGAAGAGGATGATGACATTCCGCGGATGGTTCCACAACCTGAAACAAGGCCGATCAGTCCTGAACAGTTGGTAATAGAAGTTAAAGGCATATATGCGGGGCTTATGATGGTTGAAACAAAATGCTCAGAGGTGGACAAAAAGCAAGCCGCAGCTGCCTTAGAACCGGACAAACATCCGAAGTTAAATAACGAGCAGTGGCAAGCGCTTATAGCACTCCACAGAACGCTCTTACATGAGCATCACGATTTCTTCCTTGCCTCGCAACATCCTAGTGCGAGTCCTTCTTTGCGGAAGTTGGCCCTTAGATATGCGATGCCAGCGCGCATGTGGAAACACGGGATACATAGCTTTCTAGAACTGCTTCGCCACAGATTACCGCACTCCCTAGAACACATGTTGACGTTTATCTATTTAGCGTATAGCATGATGGCCCTTCGTAAGTCATCCGCAAGCATTTTCACATTCTATTCTAACATTTCTATTTAGTCTACGAAACCGTACCCGCTTTTGAGGACACCTGGATTGAGTGTCTTGGCGATCTTGGTCGTTATCGTATGGCTATCGAAGATGACGATATACGTGACCGGGATACATGGGCGAACGTTGCGCGTTTCTGGTATTCCAAAGCAGTTGACAAAACCCCATATGTTGGGCGTCTGCATCATCACCTAGCTATCTTGGCCAAACCTAATATTCTACAGCAGCTATTTTACTACTGTAAGAGTCTAGGCGTGACCCAACCATTCTCTTCGTCTAGGGAGAGCATACTCACACTTTTCGATCCAATCTTTGCACCTGATAATAAGCCACAGAAGGCTCAGCCGGTGGATACTGCATTCATTCAACTACACGGTATCAATTTTACACACATTGACCTCGAGAAGTTTGAAGGAGCGCTTGACGATTTCTTGGGCGTCCTGGACAAACACATCAGCGATCCCAAGTCGAAATGGAAGGTTTGTGTACATAAATTTTCTTTTACTTATCACCGCTCCCTCAGGTTATTAAATTTGCAATAGGTTTCCGGTGCATATATCGCTGTGTGTAATATCACTGGCTTATTCCAATATGGCGCAAAAGATAGTCTTCTGCGCCAGGCCTGGCGGCAAGGGCGCAAAGTGGAAGAAACAGACGACCCTTCTTCTCCAAACACCTCCGGAGATGCCAACACTGCCGAATTCGACCTTCTTCCACCAATCCCCAACGAGGCCAGCTCTGAGCATGTGACTTCGCTTCTTCAGCCAATATCTAAACTAGAGCGCGAGTATCAAAATAAATCTGGGGATGTCATGCCCTCTTCAGAAGGCTTCACAGCCCAGGAGATATCCTTAGACTACTCCAAGCGTTTAGCATACGAGATATTAACAATCGCATTAGAAAGAGGAGGGGAGGACGTCCTGCCGCATATCCATATCTGGCTCGTATTCATATTGCACATAAAATCCTCCGAGCCGGCCATCAGATTGTTAGAGAATGACTTTCCCTGGGAAGCGCTGGTCTCCCTACTCAATTCTCTCACCAACGAACCCGAGACTGACAAATTTGAGTCTGAAAATTTTCCGATTCCGGAACAGGGGATTGGACGCCCATTGCCGGAGGATTATACACTACGTGGACTTGACTGGGCAAAAACTTATTTTCCAGAGGGCTGGTTTGAGGATGCCCAGGTTGATGATGAGGAGAGGTTGATGGAATTGCCATCTATGGAAAGTGTTAGAGTTGAAAGGATTCTTTGGATTGCCACAAGGATCGCTGCTGTGAGTGTGGACCATATAGACCTTATAAATATACCTACAAGAACTAATATGATATAGAGCGGTGATCACTTGATATATAGCAATGGAAGCTTTTCAGCTCACCGGTCGCTCTTAAAGAGAATTAACGAGTCTAAAAATTATGCCAAATTCGCGCCGTCTACGCCCAGCTATCTGTCGTCGGATGGTCTACCAGAACAATCTGAGCACGATTCTGACGTCGACATGACTGCTGCGGATGAAGACAACGAATCTGATGATGATGATTATGTTCTTGTGGGCCAATCCGAAGAATTCCGCCGCCTCAAAGAGCAACAACGTCAGTTAAAAGCTCAGCTGAAGTCCAGCTGGACACCCGATGTGGCACCTGAAGTCAAACATTCTCTCGTCAAGGGCCCAGAGGCGTTAAAGCCACAATACACTGTGAGTGTAATCCAAATTAACATTTGCTATCTTTCGATTTTGACATTATTTTATTTAGGTACTTGTGGTAGACACCAACCTTCTTTTAAGTCATCCCGAGACCTTTAAATTTATAGTTTCCTCGGGTAATTGGGCAATCATTATCCCTAATTGTGGTATGTTAGCTCGGAGTGTCCTGGAGTGCCCAGCCTAGTAACTGATTTGTGGCGCACAGTGATCACTGAGTTAGTCGGTCTAGCAAAGAATTCCGGAACTGTACAGAAAGCTGCATCTTCTGCAATCTTACTCATCAATGAATATCTGAGTGAAAAGAGAGACATTAAAGTTATCACATCCAAGGGCAACAACGTGACATACACCGGGTTCTACAAGGAGCAACTCGGGGGCGCAGAAGACATCCGTAATATAGATGATATCATTATTCAAACGACGAAGCAGCAGGGAGAGATTCGGAGGCAGACTCTCAAGGAGGCGGGAGACGCTGAGCCGGCTGTTCTAATCACCGAAGACCGGAATATGCGAGTGAAAGCAAATGCACGCGGTGTTACGGCAATAGCGGCCTCAGCTCTTATGCGCATTTTGTCACCCGAATGGAGTAAAGAAAAGGATCTTTCATCTGCCAAACGCAAATCATTCGGTACCCCTGTAAAACAAAGATTCCCTGATTGGCAAGAAGACGACGATGATTTGTTTACACCTTCAGATCTCAAGGGGGAGCTTGATAATAGCGCATCGCACATCGAACCCAATACGGGCGTGAATAAAAAGCGACAATACAAGCGTGGAAAAATGGGCATGATGGGTGGATAACGATATGAAGTGTTGGAAACGAAGTTCTTCAAAAGGATGCCGTTCTAGACGCACAGCACAATCTTTCAGACTCGAGCTCGATGGAGTCTTTCTGCGGTAAAGTTCGAAAACATGCAATCATTTACGGCAATAATCTCGATAAACATTGTTCGTGGGGATGGGGGGGGGAACAATGTGAGGCAGGGGGATATACGAAATGCGAAATGGTCATAGTCGGACAGTGACCCTGCTGGAGTCAGGTCAACTTCTCAAGTAATCTTTCTTTGTGTGTGTGTGTGGGTGTGTGTACGCGGGTCACTGGTTTATGTCTTTTCTAACTTTCAACTTTCCCGGTGAGAGCATTCGATCCTTCAATTGCTTTAGGGTGGCGTAATATGACAAACATGCCCTTCTCCCATTTTCTTTAGTTTGTTATCCATAGTTTTTCTTGATCACTCCCTACAATTTTTTCTCCTTTGTTAAAAAAAAAGAAATTTCTATAGCATGTACGATAAAAGGGAAAAATTTCAGATACGCGCAATTAGATGTGAACAATCAAACAAATACTAATAAATGGGGACTGTGATGTAGTGTTCAAAAACTCTCCACTTTCCCCATCGGCAGGGTTCAAATTAATGGCACCGTCAAACTGCCAATCTTTGAGGGACCACATAGTGCACCGTGCACAATGCCCCTGAAACCACTCAAATCATCTGTAGTTCTAACAATTCAGGAGCGATATATAGGCTTTACAGCGACGGGGGGTTGCATGCATGTAGGGGTTGGAACCTGTCTCACAGCCTTGCAAAGTACTTATCACCAATTGCAACACACCAGTTCGCCCCAGTCAACTCGGACTACCGTCAGCCTTGTAAATTCTGCTTGCAGTATTTTCTCAGCCTTGTTGACAGAAAAACGAGGCTAGCACTAATAGTGCCATTCCTAGGCTACCGCCGCATGGTGGGGGCGGTTCTATCGATCGGAGTATTGTTTACTTTCCGGCAAAATCTCGCCATACGAATCGTAATTTTCTCATTGGTCGACAGACGCTTCAGGCTGGCACCGCGTACTGGTAATTAACTTACCGCGAAATATGATTGATCTGAGCGATCAAAATTCTGGGGACAGGTAAAATAACCAGTCTAAAAGCGCTGTGAGTAACGAACATTTAGGTATAGTCTTTTCTGGACCAACCCCCCAATGGGTGTTTGTGGGACAGTAGAATCAGCGTGATCTTTATCCCTGCCCTACGTACCACCGCTGCTAGGTAGAGTTCTCGATCCGCAAACCGGCCTCCTACGAACTGCTGCCTACTATACTAAGCGGGAGCATATTTGTTGTATCTAGCTGGTACTATGGTATTGAGCATGTGCTATTGAGAAGCTTGATATGCGGGTTACTAGGTAGAGCAGGCATCATCTATTAAATATAGGTTATAATTGTGGGGACTGGTGTGTTTGGCTGACGGTACTTCACTACAATACCTACGCTGAAGATGAGGCCAGCCTATATGGCCCGGTCATTAGTTCGATTGGTAGGTGATAATCTGCATCTGGGGTAAGCTACGCACATACCACCAACTGGGTCACTTGGTTTCGACTAGACCAAATTCTTCTGTTTATATAAACATCCTGTATCCGTTCTAAAGTATGGATGTCGGTAGTATACATGTATGTATAGCTGAAAAGTCATAAACGCTAGAGGTAGGCGCATACATTGCATGATCGAGTAAATGCGAAGTTATAGCTTCGATCCCTTTTTTGATTCTGCTGTGCTTCTGGCAATACAGTTCGACCTTTGCTGGGCCACATACGCAGGTAGGTAGTATCGCACCAAGGCTTGCCTAATTGCCCGAAACACGATTAGAAAAACAAGCAGTCTTGCTTACTTGTAACTATATGAAGTTATTATATATATATCATTCTTAAGATCTTATCTTTGCAACCTCATCCTCCTCAGCTTTAAAATTACTTGACCCCTGCTCTTCTGCACCCCTACACTGATTGAAAGCCTGTGTATGCACTGCATGCATTCTTTAAAATATCCTAGGGCTCAGATCTTTGCGCTTCACCGTACCTTCTACAAACCCATGTCCCCAAGCAGATTGTGGTGAAGTTTGTGATGCCACTTGTACTCTACACCTAGCGGATAGGGCTCCTGTGATATGGTTGGTAGTCGATCTAGAGTACATACAAGAGATAAACTGACTGCATGATCTGTAGTAGAGTGTATAAGCACACATGTACCTACACACGCACTTGGATGCCTACTTATGACTTTTGTACTCCAACTGGATGATGTACACAGCGAGTGGTAAGCCTAGAAACTTGTACCTACATACATAGAGGCATTATAATCCCGCCGGCCCAGTCAGGAACACAATCCCGCTTAAGATTTCTCTCTACGAATGAGCGGTGGACATCTTGTGCTTGCTATTTGGGCTGTTATGACGTCAAGTTGCACTTTTGCTACTCTTTGAGAACTCCGGATCCGTATTTGCAGTGCTGTCCAATCCTACCCAAATAGATGACGCTTAGAGTACTCTATCATATCGTAAACACCAACGACAGATCATTTGTTCTATAGGAGCTTATATTTAATTTATGTTACCCCAAATATGGGTCTCTCCTCATGCCCCAAAGCCTCCTGGCGTCAAGCCCACTCCCGTCGGGCGGGCATATTGTAGGGTTAGGGATAAACGCTCTTGACTAATCTAGCGTCGCGGGTACTTATCCCATCGTCCGTTAGTGAAATAGAGCAGATCTTGTTATCTATGGTGGGGGGAAGCCTTGTCACGGAGTAGTTTGGACTCGACTTTGACCGCTTATAGCTCATCAACCACCACACATATTTTTTAATTTTATTAGATAGATCTGCTCAGTTTTATCTACTCTATCATTTTACCTGCTCAGATCTTTACAATTATTCTTCGTTGTTGAGTTATAAAAATATTTCAGCAAAATCAATGTCGTGGCACTCCGTGTCAAGGTTTCCCCCGCTATATGGAGTCAGCTTTTCACTAACGGACGGTGGGATAAGATAAATCTGAGGTTGCGCTGCAGCAAGGGAAAAATTGCATATTGACGTCCAATGCAAGAGTCCTAGCCTGAAAGGACAAGTTGAGCTCGATCCCATCCCCAAACCTCAATATGTAACACAGGCTCTGTGAGGCTCTGTGGAAACGTCTGCGTATAATCCATTACGTACACACACCAACTACAAGGCTCTGGCATTAAGTGAGTGAGCTAAATGGGTGTTGACTGGTGAGGATCCGTTCACTCACTTAATCCCAGAGCCTTGTGTTGGATATGAACTGTATAGGGTCGGGTATATATTGCGCTGATCGAGTGGTGTTGGATTGTTAATAGGTTTTCTACTGGTTCTGGGAATTGATTGGTAGTTCGATTTTAGCGGCTTGGTGGATGTTAAAGGGTCGATATACTTGCAGCTTGAACTGGAGAAATTGTCTATCTGGCCACTGATATATGGGGGATATCAGAAAAGGCACATATCTACCAGAGCAGATATCCCTTAAGCCGTCAGGAGGGGTCGAGGGCTGCTCAGCGGCATGGGAGCACCGACTGACAGGCAAATAGAGAAAATAAGCCATAAAGCGGCTTACATACCTATACATATATATAGTAAACTAATTGATATACATATAGTACCGGCCGAAGGTCTGAAACCACTTGTTATGAGATATAACTATATCAAACCCGCCCTGTATTGTTTAGATTCAATTTTTGTTTTTGAGATTCCTTTCTTCTCGTTCATTGTCAACGACTTGGTGCTCGGTTGCCCGAATGCGCTTACAGTCGTCGATGGGATAGGGTCTGCGAATATGAACAGATCTTGTGAGATCACAATTGTAGAACAGAGGATGCAGCCAGGTATGAACCGATATATCAAGCCCAGTACTATCTTCTGGAGGCAGGGAATTCAACTATCGCCTGGTGGGCCGAGACATCCTCAGAGTCTGGTGCTTTGCATATTGTACAAACCCGGTGCTTGTCTTGCTATATATATATATAGGGTAATAATCCAGTCGAGATTTCAACAAGAAACTCCTACAAACAATAGTTTTCCGTTCAAAGTTGCCAAAGCTACAGAACACCAGATTTTAAACATGTCTCAGACCACCAAGTGATAGCTAAAGCTTGATCCAATGTTTTTAAACAACGGTACGTTCAGGTCAGGAGTTTGGCACCCTTCAACCGTAGCTAGGCATGCAGATTAACTTTACCGAAATAGGAAAGAGCACAAGGGATTGGAAATTGATAATATACATATGTACCTTATCTCAATATTTCTCTATCCCTTAAACCGTCAGTTACTGGTCAGGTCTCATCATGATATATCACTCGATCGAGTGAGAAATTGTGACCTTAACGTTCTTTGCGTGGTCTCATGAAGCTTGTGGGATTGTTTTGATTATGAACCTTTATATCTTACTATTTATCTGATTCTGCACTCTAGGAGACACTATACGAAAGACATATGAGCTGGGTAGCTTGATCAGAGCCTATATGCAAGGATTTAGGCTGGGGTTGTGTGTGACGGATAGTAAGTAATCACTTGGGTTCCAGGGTCCAAACGTTATAACTTCGGATTCTATAAGTGTAAAGAGCTCGAAGAGTACCAAAAGGTATGTGGCTGGAAATTCTTTCTAGAATAGAGGATTTATGTGATTAGGGTACAACCCTCTCAGCCCTGATCTTGCGTTGAAGTCTGTTGTCCATGTGCTGGCCAAGAGATTTAGCGTATCTGGGTTTAGCCCTAAAACAACCCAATCAAGTGCTGGTCTAGCTAGATTTCCAGGGGACCACTTTGCAGCTGAGGGTTTTTTGTTTGTCCTTGAAGACAGCGCTAACCCGAGGGGATACTGTGCTGAGGGCGGTAGCATGGTAAAAAAATAAAACTCGTACTGATGACCCAAAGGACCGTACGGCCGTACGCGTTGCTGCACATCCTTTCGTACGGCTTCACGACATCCCTTCGTCTATTCCCGCGAACCTTGGCCTATTAGCGTCGTGATCAACCAAAATCTAACGAGGATTTTTTAAAACACTACTCGATTGAGGATTTTTGCGTGACGAGTGGGGGCAATTTTGCACCGCCGACCGCCGCTTTCAGCTAGGAAGCAGATTTTGTGTGGTGAGCCACGAATTACCACAAGTCCTGAATACAGACGAAGGGATACCAAAGGTTTCCATCACATGGGGGTGGGGAGGTGGGGAAGGCTGGGTTTGTTGGCCCTATCAGAAAGAGCCACGAGGGAAATACTTGCATTAGGGGGCCCCATTAATCTGGAGCATTAGAAGGTAATCATGGTTCGAGTAAACTGGAATTAAGACCATTTACTGGGAATCATCGAATGGGGGCAAAAGACTCTATCAATATATTAGGGGGACCCAGATTGGAAGACACCTGTGAATCAAAGGTATCATGAACTCGGCGGGGTCGGTAGCCAAAAGGCCCTATTGCCTGTGAAAATCGAATTGAAATACTGATCCCTATATAAGAAAGAAATCATTGGTAAAATAGGAACTGACGGTTTGTAAAGTTCTTTTTCATGTCTTTTAGATCTTCTGAATACACCCACCGTACTTAGGGCCCATTCGGCGGTTTTTGTGGTTACGAAACTCTGTTATGTAACGGCTCCGTTAGGCGAATGCATGTGGAGATTTTTGAAAACGGGGTTTGGGCCTGCCGAACAGTATTGTAATATTGTGGTACGCTAAAGAGAAAAAGGTACCCCCAAGCTCGACAAACTTCCTAGCAGTCGCGTGACTACCTTCCCAAAAAACATTCCACTTTAATGGAGTCTCAAAATTGGTTTGTAAAATGGAGTTATGAAAACAACGAAATGGGGTTATTCCGTTGCCATACAAATTTCTCCACCAAGACTGCTTTTTGACATGCAGCCGAACGGGCCCTTACATACATATAACTACATGTATTCAGTTGATCAAGCCAACAATACATGCATTTACATCTGGGTCCAGTACGGCTCTCCTAATGGCCCTAACCAGCCTCAGGAGATGAAAGCCGGCCGGCGTTAGGGCCCTGAGTCCTTATATATGCAAGATGCCTTTTGACCATTCTTCGGTACAGGGCTGTCTGGTGGCCGAGTTTGGTATCTAGAGCCTTTCCCCAATACTTCTAATTGGCTAACATGTATGATTGGCTCTATTTACGTAAAGACTGTCGCATACCAACCTTCTTCTACCCGAGCTTCCACCGTGCATCCTTGACATGCGAATTTGGTGTAATATCGCATCGGCTCTGACAGTTCGTGCCTCAGTGTTCATTTCTTCGAGATCCAACAAAAGCATTGACTGCCATGGTCACCTTTCCTTGTGCACTTTGAGTACATTTCGACACATCAGCTCATTAGCGGAATATTTCATTGGCTCGGACACTGCAGCTCGAGCCTCAGTGTTTGCTTTCGAGAACTAATAAATATATTGGCTGTTAGAGTCGCCATTTACATCTTGGCATCTCATTGGCTCGGACACTGCAGCTCGAGACTCAGTGTTTCCTTCCTAGCTAGCTAGAGGCAACAAAAATATTGGTTGTCAAAGCCGCAACTTGTATCTTGACAGCGTACAGACCAACAGCGGACGTTAATTACATTTGGCTGTGACAGCTCGAACCTCAGTGTTTGTTTCGTAGGGCCAATGAAAACAAATGTGTTGTCAATGTTGTCAAAGTCGCCATTTACTATATACCGCTTGAACTATAGCCATGCACCAGAACAAGATAGCTATAACGATACCGTTGTTCCAAACATTTAAATCAGAGTGATGTCTGTGGATGGTAGAAGTCTGGAGACTTTCCCCTCTTTTTCACAACCTAAATATGTATCTTCACCAGACCCCGTTCGAAAGATTTTTGATTTATATTCGAATTAATTGTGATAATTACAGAGTTTCCTAGTACCAATACCACTCGATTAAAGGTCTTGAGACTTTAGTGGGGCTAGCCCCTTGTCTCGAGATTTTCAACACTTCGTTCAGGGAATACGGGACGATCGCAAAACCGGCATCACAAAGAGTAAATCAAACACCGGGAAAACTGCGGCCTATACCCTACTGCAGACAGGAGTCTAGAAAAGCAAATCGGTTATTGAGTACCTGCAGCCCACCATCCAGAAACTGCAGAGTTGGTGAAATACCCACCCCCAGAAGGTGCGCGGCCGCCCTAAGACACCTAGCAAAGGCTAGACCACAGCACTGCTAGTAAATTTGCCTCGCTATCTGTGTTACTCGACCTGTATCCTGATGCAGCTACTAGCAGGCTTTCCATTCCTTTACTCGAGAGATGCACGCTACTATTGGGTTCATGGGGCCGGTTTGGTTGAGAGATACGCCGGCATGATTACATGGGATAAGATAAGGCTTTCTCGAGATGACTTGGCCAAGACTTAGACTGGTCTTAGTAAACCGCGTTAACTTACAAAATGACACCAGTACCGAGTGAGAAACCATGATTTCACAGATTATCACTCGTGCACTGCGCGGCTGCTGGTCCACTTTTTTAAACATGGCTCTGCAAATGTGTGTAATCCCGCATCAAACTGCACAACCGTGGACCGTAACGCATGTCCGGGCTGCTTTTTCGGTCGTTGCGCTCGGGCGGTCGCGTGGCACCTTCAGCTTGAGACACGGTTGTCTGTCGCACAAGCTGGCCGTGTAGGCACCAATAGGAAATCTTTACCGATATGTGCACTGCGCACTGTATTTTGGACATGCATGAGCCATCACTCGATACCGGTTTTTATCATCAGTAATCTGATATCCTCCCATTCCATGACCAGCCGGTCCCCGTTATTAGTTTGCTTCCCGGGGATCGGGTTCTTGCCGGCTAGGCGTCACGTTATGTCGGTATATAGCTGCCTAGCTCTATGGGGCCGGCCGGACGTGTCCGGCTTCGGATCTTCAACTACTGCTAGCCTGCTGCGGTCGATAGTTGCGCAAGGGCTCCTAAACATCCTCCTCTAACTCGCTCATAGGAACCAGGGAGTACAAAATACTTGGGCAAGAGCATGCGCATACAGCTGCAAGCTATGGCGGAACTCAATATGCCGGATCCCTTGCTGTCCCGTGAGGGATTCTCTGGGGATTCTGTTTTTTCTACTGCGGAGTCAATCTGTTATCCCTCGCCGTACAGGTCTTGGTGAATCTTGACCATCCGGCATATATAGCCAGCTAGGCCGTGTAATTGGAGATATTAATCCAATTTACTCCATAGACCTACAATAGGCGAAAGATTCTTGAAGAGGCGGTCGAAGCTCCAAACACACTCCGTCAGGTATGACGCACTTTGAAATTTATCGGCTCGAAGAAGCCGCTTTTGAGTTGCGTATCAGCTTGTGGGGGGCGGGGGGGGGGGCGGTACTGTTTATGGTGCGCTGTGAATCTGGGGACGCACTGTACTGGGGATGAGGTAGCGGTGCCGGTGTGGGGGGGAGTGGGGGTGGAGTAGTGGCGAAGGTTGGCTAACTGTGGTTATCCTGTGCCCTGGGTGTTGGGTGTTGGGTGTTGGACGCTGGATGTTGGATGTGGTGCCAGTTAAGGATTCTTACGCCCGATCCCAGATCCGCCATCATAGCTTATCACTCGACCTCCAACTACCCACCCCCCCAAAAAAAAAATTTGTTTAATCCATTTACCCACTCAATTAACTACTGATTTACTTAGGCAGTAGCTCATTAATACATATAACCACCATCTCAATAATACAAAGCGAGTCTGGTGGGCGCTGAACCCCTTTCCTCCGTTTGCGGATGTTTGGCCATAGTGGGGCAGCGCAGCAGTAATTACTGTACTAAGACTTGCGCTATAGTTAACACAATACTACTTTCGGTGCCGCTACCCCCTAGCTAGATCTCCAGATCTCGCCGTGGCCTGTATCAACCGTTTGGATTCAGGTACCTGCTTGAGCCTACTAGCTAGTGATGGGCCTAAAAAGCAGTGAGGCTCGGGGATCGATTGGAGCGTGGGAGAGCCGGGCTAGCTAGCTAGCTAGATTATCGAGCCGTGGGGCCGTTGGACCGCTGCATGCATGGGCTGCTGTTCATGTAGGTGGAGGGGTGTACTTGTGGTGGGTACATCTGGTTTTATACGGGGATGGAGGGATGGAGAAATGGATGGTAGATAGCAGCTGCTGTAGTAGAATTGGGTGTTTGGACCTAGGTGAATTGGTGGTGGTAGTGAGGGTGAAGAGGGTAGGGTGCAGAGGGTTATAGGGTACAGAGGGTAGGGTGTATATGGTGCAGACGGTAGCGGGTGGAGCAAGATAACTAGTGGGATAGGTACGCATTACACTATTGTCCGTCTCACTGCTCTACATGTCCTGTTCCTTTATACGTACGTTACCTTTACATTTACCGCTTCCTCCCACTACACTTATTACCGGCCGGTCCCATTACCGTTTGAATTCAGCTTCGTTTTCTTTACTCGATACAGCTACAGCTACAGCTACAGCTAGCTTCATGTCTTAATTCGTAGACATCATAGCTGGCATACCCGTATCTATTCGCCATGCACCCCCCCCCCCCTCCCAAACCCAAATCACAGTCCCCATACCTACCTACCCCGCCCCCAGAGCTACGGTTCCCACGGATATATTATGTATATGAATGCCCGCATCATTGTACTAGCTCCATGCAATCTCAACAACCTCTGATCTAACTTTACTACTCGCTCTTTTTGGATTCCCCATATGCTGCAAACGAATTCCTCTAAATAAACACATTCCAACAACACCTTCCTACCGCATCATGAGCATGTCGCCCCCAGAAGACCAGCACGCATCAAACCCCAACTCTCCGTACCCATCCGTGACAACAGCGAGATCGCCAGCGTCGTGGTCATTGGGATGGATAGCCACCGTGATATATCAGTAGCCTTTCTAGCCCTCAGCTCCAAGGCTTGGAAGATTTGGGAGGTTTGGAAAGGATAGAAGAGAACCATAGACATGTAGCATGTAGGTTAGGTAGCCACACAGTATCAATTATTGAACCCCCCCCCCCCCCCCACCGCCGCTAGAACTACCACTACCACTAGCAATATAGCAAGTTAATCACAATTGCAAACCCCCGCGCAAGGCATACATCCCGTTTTCGTCATGACCACCCTCCCTCCACAACCTACATGCAAACCCACAAAAACCACAAACGTAAAGAAAAAAACGTCCACAACAATACCAACAAAAAAAAAGGAAGAGGAGACCACCAATTCCCACCCCAGCACTAAAAAGTACCCTCCCCGCCAACCTAAAACGTACTCCCCGCCAACCGACTCGCCGCATTCTTCGCATCCAACCTATCCTCATCCCCCACGCCCAACCCCTCCTCCTCAACCTCCTTCACCACCCCCCCCACTCCATTCCCCTCCAATCCACCCAGCCCACCCATTCCCCCCAACCCCCCCAATCCCCCGGGAACCCTCTGCACCCCCGGCACCCTCTGCACGCCGCTCCACGCATCCCCCGCCGGCCCCTGACTCACCCTCAAACTGGCCCTCCTACTCGTCGGCGGCGCATCGCGCCCCAACCGACTCAACCCCCCGCTCGCATCAATGGCGCGTATATCCGGCCTCACGCTCTCCAGCGTCGCCAGCGTGCGTCGCTCGGCCTCAATCTGCCGCAGGCAGTAGTCGCGGATACTACACCTCGCCTCCCGCGCGGTCCGTGCGAACCAGCGGCGGCGCTCGAGGACCAGGTTTGTAGTCACGCGCTTGACCTTGTTCTCGAGGTGTGTCTCTGTGCCTTTTGCCTCCTCGAGGGCTTGCAGCGCTTCGTCGGCCTTGTCGCGCTTGATTGCGCCTTTGGATTTGAGCACCTCGACGGTCTGGAGTTTTGAGCGGGTGTCCTTTCGGGCGGCTTCGAGCTCGCGCATGAGCAGTTGGCGGTTGGTGAGTGTTTCCTTGACGATGAATGCGTCGGATGAGTGGTAGTTGAGCGGGTCGCCGAGGGTTGTGGCCTCGGCGGTGGCCTGCGCGGCGTGGTAGTCGCCGACGGACTGGATGGTTTTCCCGAGCTTGCGCAGCGCGTTGGACATGCCGTTGTGCGTCTCGGTTTGTGAGAGCGCAAAGAGACGGATGCCGAGCTCGGACTCGGCGAGGCCGACGCCGCGCCGCGACTTGACGACGCGGTCGACTTTCTGGCCCGTCTCCATGGCGCCGAGGTAGAATGCCTTGACGACGGGGCGGGCCTGCTCGAGCTCTGGAGTGTCGTCGGGCGGGGGCGCAAACTGCTTGATTACGCGGCGGCGCACGCCCGTGGCGGGCTGCTTGCGGCGGACGACGGGGCTGTAGCCAAAGTCCGACTCGACAAAGAAGACGATCTCCTCGTCGCGGATGAGCACGTCGTTGCTGCAGACGGTGTTGAGCCAGCGCTGCATTGCGGCCTTGACGCGGGCCTCGTCCTCCTCTGTGCCGACGCCTGCGCTTGTCGCGGGCGGGGGCACGGCCGGCACGATGCACTCTGGGTTGCTGGAGAGGAGGTGGTTTGCCAGCTTCTGGAACTCGGGGTGCGTGCGGCGCACGTCGCGGAACTGCGTCGTGCGGAACTTTGGCAGGTTTGTCTGTAGAGATGTGGTCAGATAGTACACGTCATCCGGGCTGGTGATGTGGGGCGGGAGATTGAGGTTCTGGCTTACGTGGACGTCGAATTTGAGGATGAGGTCCTTGCGGCCGGTGCGTTCGAGGGCGGTGATCTTTGCCTGGAGACGGTGCTGGGGGCGGTTCTGCTGCTGGGGCTGCTGCTGCTGCTGCTGCTGCTGGGGCGGCGGGGCCTGCGGGTGATGCTCCTCCTCATGGTGATGCTCGACGTCCTCCTCTTGGTGCTGCTGGGGCTGCTGGGGCTGCTGGGGCTGCTGTTGTTCCTGCTGCGGGGCTGCTGCTGCTGCTGCTGCTGCTGCAGTGGAGGGGAAGCGGGGCGTCTCTGGGGCAAAGCCAGGACTGCGGAAGCCATCGTCCTGATGGTGCTGGATGATGTGCTGGGGCTGCCCGAAGCCGCCATGGTCGTCCATGCTGGGGTTGAACGGGCCCGGCGTGAACGGCGGGTCGGTGTCGTCGTGGTGGTGGTGGTGGGGCGTGTAGGAGGTGTGTGTGTGCTGCACGCCGGCGAAGGGCTGCTCGGTGGGGTCGTCCCCGAAGCCGCCAGTGTCGGAGGCGAGCGCGGAGTAGTCCATTGTGTGTGTGTGTGTGTGTGTGTGAGGTGAGGATGGGGTGATGGGGGAGCGTGGGAATGGGGGTGGTTTGGGGAAGTAGTGTAGGGGGGTAGAAGGGCAGAACAGGGCAGAGCAGGGAGGGATCAATGGATCAATGGATGGATGGATGCCCGGGGGTGTGAGGTTCCGAGTGTCTGCTCAAGAATATATCGAGGGTGTAGATGATTCCCCCCTCTCTTCTCTCGTTCTCGTCCGTGATGCGTCCGTTCGATGGCTGCTCTCCTCCTTCTTGACAGAAGAGACAGAGTGTGCGTGTGTGCAGCTCAACGGCAGCTGCAGGTCTTGTGGACAGGTTGGCTGGCGGTGGCTGGCTGGTGGCTGGCTGGACAGTGGCTGGTGCTGGTGGTGCGTGCATGCGCCACAGCACGGAACTAACGCTCGCCACTGGTCAACGCGCATGTACGCACATACCATACCGGAAGTAGGCATCGAGTGATATCCCATGCCCCTGCCCCTGCCCCTGCCCCGCGGGTGTGCGAAATGCATGTCTGATCTTTCTCTGGGTGTGTCCCGAATAAGCTGTATCTACGGCCATCTTCCCGTCAGCACCGGCACCGACACCGCCACCCACCGCACACTTGACACCCACTCCACCGCATGCACACCCACCACCCCCCCGTCGCCGCCGCCGCACACAACCGAGTGACACACCATGACTCACCCGTCCCCCCACCACTACTCCACCCCACAACGCAGTTACCCTGTCTACCCTCCCACTCTGTCGCACTAACTGAAATCCAGGCCACCCACCCACCCACCCACGCACCCACCGACCAACCGACAACCGCAATGCTCCTCCTCCGCCGCCGCCCGCCCGTATGGCGCTGCCGCACACCAACGACCCGTGTACTGGGGCTCACGGCGCTGCCGCTGAACAAGGTGCCAATGGGAATGGGGCACAGATGCTATTCGGCGAGTACGACGGAGCAGACGGTGCCGCTGGCGCATACGAGGAATATTGGCATTATTGCGCATATTGATGCTGTGAGTTTGTATAGCGCCCGGTTCTGGTTTTTGATTGAGGGTATTGTGGTGCTGGGGGGTGGTTGGGGGAAATATTTGGGGAGGGGAATTGGGATTGAATTGCACTGACTCGGTGTGCTGCATGGTAACTAGGGGAAAACTACGACGACGGAGAGAATGTTGTATTACAGCGGCTTTACAAGGAGGATTGGAGGTCTCTATTCTCTGCCCAATTCTACCATCCACCATACATACGCAGCTACTCGTGACTCTGTGACGTCTCTGCACTGGGCGTGTCCACCACCCCAGTCCCGAAACCTCACAGCTTCAGGAGCTCATAATCTGCGCCATACCATTACAAACACCTACTAACCAGTCCACAGAGGTCGACGAAGGCTCCACCGTAATGGACTACCTCCCCGCCGAGCGCACCCGCGGCATCACCATCACCTCCGCCGCCATCACCTTCACCTGGACGCCCTCCTCCTCCCCCACCGCCGCCCCCGCCCCACACACCATAAACCTGATCGACACCCCCGGCCACGCCGACTTCACCTTCGAAGTCGAACGCTCCATCCGCGTGCTCGACGGCGCAATCACCATCCTTGACGGCGTCGCCGGCGTCGAGGCCCAGACCGAGAAGGTCTGGCGCCAGGCCCACGCCTACTCCATCCCGCGCATCATCTTCGTCAACAAGCTCGACCGCGTCGGCGCGCGCTTCGGCCCCACCGTCAAAGAGGTGGCCGCGAAGCTGAACGGCTGGCCGGCCGTGTGCCAGCTGCCGGTGTATGACCCCGACACGAGGGGCGGCGAGGATTTGTTCCGCGGGGTGGTGGACGTGGTGGAGAAGCGGGTGTTTCTGTGGGATGGGGGCGACGGGCAGAAGATTGAGCTGCGCGATTACGAGTGGCTTGAGGAGCAGCGGCCAGAGTTGTATGAGGAGGCGAAGGCGGCGAGGGTGGCGCTGGTGGAGCTCCTGGCGGAGCATGATGAGGAGTTGGTCGAGGTGTTTATGGAGCTGGAAGACCATGCTCTCATCCCTGCGGCGGCGATCAAGGCGTCGCTGCGCAAGTCTACGTTGAAAGGAGATGGAAAGATCATCCCCATCTTTGCTGGGGCCAGCTTCCGCAACATTGGTGTGCAGCCGCTGCTGGACGCTGTTGTGGACCTGCTGCCGTCGCCGCTGGACCGCCCGCCGGTGGCCGTGTCGTATAACCAAGGGAAGCACCGGGGCACGCTGGACGTCACTGACCAGAGTAAGGTGTGCGCGCTGGCCTTCAAGGTCGTCAATGATCCGAAGCGCGGGGCAATGGTGTTTGTGCGGGTCTACTCAGGGACGCTGACCCGCGCACACAACCTCTTCAACACGAACCTCGGCGTCAAAGAGCGCGCCACCCGGCTGGTCCGCATGTACGCCGACGAGGCGGTCGACATCGCCGCCATCCCGACCGGCCACATCGGTGTCATCATTGGCCTCAAGCACGCGCGCACGGGCGACACCCTCGTCTCCGAGACCACCGGCCCGAGCACCCACAAGTCCAAGCAAAAGAACAGCAAGACCCCGCAGCTCGCCACCGACACGCTGCAGCTGCGGCCCATCGCCGTCCCGCCGCCCGTCTTCTTCGCAGCCATAGAGCCAAACTCACTCAGCGACCAGAAGCACCTCGACGAAGCGCTCGCAATGCTGCTGCGTGAGGACCCCAGCCTGCACATCAGCATCGACGAAGACTCTGGCCAGACGCTCATCAGCGGCATGGGCGAGCTGCATCTGGAGATTGCGCGAGACCGCCTCGTGGGCGACTTCAAGGCGAACGCAGAAATGGGGCGCATCCTCATCTCGTACCGTGAGACCATCGCCGCTGCGTCCCAGCCCGTCCGCACGGTGTTCGACAGAGAGATCGCGGGCAAGCGCGCCGCCGCCGCCTGCACCGTCTCTGTCGAGCCCCTCGACCCCACCTCCACCACCGCCACAACAGACGACGGAAACACCATAACTATCACCATCACAACACCCCAGATCACCGATCCTGCCACGGGCGAAAGCACAGACACCCGCCTGCCCAAATGGCTGACCACTTCGGAGCTCGAAACCGCGCTGCAGAACGGCGCATCAGCGGCCCTCGGCCGCGGCCCCGCACTCGGCTTTCCCGTGCGTGGCATCGCAGCTCACGTCAGCGTCGACGTGTCGACCGACGTCCTCGGCCCCGAGAGCACCCTTGCTGCGTTCTCGTCCGCGGCACGGGTTGCCACGACGGCGGCGTTGAAGGAGGCGGCGGGCGGGGAGAGCGTGCTGATGGAGCCGGTGATGGACGTGGTGGTGACGTGCGAAGAGAAGGACCTTGGTAAGGTCGTTGGCGACATCTCGGGTGCACGTGGGGGTCATGTGCTGGAGCTTGGGGGACTGGATGCTGAGGCCGATGCTGAGGCTGCAGGCGGTGAGGTGGAGAGAGAGGTCGACTTGATGAGGGTGTATGCCCCTGGGGTAAAGCGGAGCGTGGAGAGTAGGGATGAGGGCGGGAGGAAGCGGAGTGTGAGGGCGAGGGTGCCGCTGAAGGAAATGGTGGGGTACTTGAAGCACCTGAGGGGCATCACGGCCGGGAGAGGCACGTTTGTGATGAGTCTGGAGGGATGGGAGAGGATGAATGGGAATAGGGTGAGGGAGGTGGTGGCGGAGGTTAGGGGTGGGTAGGGGCTATATACCATAGATATTTTTTGTATAATAGTTAGAAGTGTGTAAAATAGAGCCAAGACTGGGGAATTGAACCAGGGCAGGGAACGACGCCAAGCTACGAGTGATATCTGGTGAGCTTGTGCTTAGTAGGAATTGATTGATTGATAATTCATTAATTGTGCTTAGTAGGAAGCTCTTGTTAGGAAGGATATCGGGTTTAGATACGTACATGTATTTACATGTAAGCGATCCATTACGATGGAGGGGATTCTATACATGTTTTAGAGCAAGGACAAGAGTTCAGTATACTTTGACCCCATGTGAAGCACAGGAGAAGGCTCATGCCCAGTTCATGGAAATAGAAAAGCTCGGATATTATATTATTGTGATGGTAAAAGTAAAGGGAAAGAAAGCAAGACGCAAAATGAATATGCGAAGACACGCCACATGTAGCTACTAGGGACACAGTAGTCTCTGTGACCTGTCCTTTGACCAACCGGCTACATGTATTTGTCCTCGGGTTGACAATAGGTACATGTACATACATGTAACTTCCGAGTTAAACAATCTGTTTGTGCCATATCTGTAGGGGCTGGGCTCTGGTAAATACATGTATATGGGCTGCACGTTCTTGCGGAGCTGCGGATAATGGCTTTGGGCCATTAGAAGGGGCAGGGACCTTTGCTCTGCGCTGGATACATGATAGCTAGAGTTTTGATTACACCCTCATACCCTACTGCTCCGAAGCCTTGTCTGAACATTGGAGGGACTTGGCGGCCTCCCTTTCCACCAAAAGAATAAAAAAGATGCTCTGGTTGGGGTTTGAACCCAAGTCTCCCTGCGATTTTATAAGTTTTTAATGTTTTTGGTGAGGGCGTGCTGACCAGTTGCACCACCAGAGCTTGAATATATATATGTTTGAGTGGGTAATAACCTAGTGTGTGTGTTTTTGGATAGGGTATTGGGAAGATTTATGGAAGGAATGTACTTATGTAGGTGGGAAAGGAAGTCGGTGCTGTGCTAGAGTATCTCTGAAGCTCACTTCCAGAATATATCCGATACTTTGCCAGCCTTCTGGGCTCTAGCTCTCAAACCCACTTTACCTTTGGGATTCTTTTAGATTAGGATGTTTTGATTCTGTGAGTACGTTTTAGGGAGGTTTTTGTAGGTATTTCACTCCTGACCATTGAAAGACCAGGGCCTTTGTCTCTTTGGTGATTAGTTATGAATGGATGGTTACCAACGGCACTTTTTTATTCGAATCGAAGTATGCTAAGTCTGTACGTAAATATATCACTCTAATTAGCCCCAATAACCCGTGGCTTTGTGGTAATTCTGGTTAAGAATTCAGATATATATAGAAGCCAAGTACGTATTGATCTTGAAGGCCCTTAGCTTGTATTGGTAAAGAAACCAACTTGTCTGTTCTAGGAGGAGATACTATATGCTTGGCCTCGATGTTGAGGTGACCTCGTATTATGCATCGTTAATACTTATTATTGGATTTAGACCGAGATTCCGAGATCGAATCAACCCATTTCTAATAGCCAGAAACTGGCTGTTTAATATACATACCTAGATTTCCTTATTCCCGGCGGCCTGCATGTGCGAAGTGGCTATATGGGGGTATACTCGATCTGAGAGGGTGCCAGTTGAATACGTGTACAGTGTTCATATATTTGGCTCACCTACATAGTATACGTAACTGCGCCAGCTAACCTTTAATTATGAGCCCTAGTAATAATTGACATAACTGTTGATGGTGTCATAGTGACAGGTATTATACATGTGATTTAGGTAGAGCACAGGTAAATAGTGGCATTTGAAGTATTTAGATGTAGGCATATGTATACATCCAGCATTTCGTTTATATCGCTGGTTTGTGTTCTTGTTTCTGCATCAGCTGCTCTCCATTTCTACCCTAATATCTGCACTCCTGCTATTGGCCCCGTTCGTATTGGACCCGTTCTCCTGCATGACCAGAGCTTCGAGCGACACGTGACAAATTTACCTTGGCGAGCTCTTCATTCATCGAGATTCACTCCTAGTTAGGTACATGAAGACTTCTGTATCTATTAAACCTTCTAGTTGTGCACAGAATCCTTCTTTTACGATTCTGTATTTTTGGTAAGGCCCCTCGAGCCTTGTTGCACTACCTGCTCCCATTTCCCTTTTCGTTACGCACTGCCGATCCCTCCCACAACGGTACAGCCTCACCACCGTCTTCAACCCACCGACACCCCATCGCATCGCAGGGAGTTAACGCACAAACTCCTGCCATCGCGACAACCCTTCCTACAACCTGTCGGCGATCTTCTCGCGGTCTGGGCGAAACGAGTTCTCGGTATCAGTCCGGTGATCTTCGCTACGTACATACGTTGTCTGGTTTTTGAGCGCAGGGCAGCAGCAGCACTAGTAGCAAGAAGCAGCCACATAGCAAAGGTTGGGCAAGTCACCATCGAAGGGACCTCCCCAAGACCAGCTCCTTTATTTTTTTCTTTCGTTCATTTCGAATATTCTTCAGCAATACCTACATGGACAATCGACGCCAATCCTCTGGTGGTCGCGGGGGTAGTGTCCCCGCCAACAACCCCAGCTTCAGCGGAGGTGCTGGCGCGAACCTCTCGGCTCTCGACTGGGCCATTGGTCTTCGGTACCTGCCTCCCCTTCTTGCATATTTCCTCCCTTTATTTATTTCACATCTGAAGACGCTGCCTCTTTCAGCTGCACTCGCTAACTAGCACCTCCCATCCCAGCGTTCGTGTCCTCACCATCATTGACGACACTTACGAAGGCACGATTTACTCCTACGACCCGCTTACGTCTACACTTACTCTTGCGCAGAACCCCACATCTAGTGCTCCCAACTCCCCAGCCGACTACCGAATCCTTAAAGTCTCGTTCCTTAAGGATGTCACGGTCCTCGGCAACCCCAACAAGCAGCAACGTAGCAACACGCCATTCACAAACGCCGAGCCCAAGATTGGCCCTGTCAATTTGAATATGCTCGGGGGCAAGGAGAAGGACACTGCGAGGTCTGAGGCAGCGAGAGTTGCCAACATAGGCGTTGGGGTCACCGCGGAGGCGCAGGAAATCTATGATGCTTTATCGAGGCTGTAGGTTTTTCTATAGAGATGGTAGTATTCTTATTTGTGCTGACTGGAATGGTAATAGGATGCCTTGCCGATGGCACGAGAAGCAGATTATCGTGTCAGAGAATGTCATCATTGATGAACCCTATACTCTCGATAGAGTAAAGTCATCGGACAAGAACGCCCTGAGCCGGGTTAAGAAAGTTGTGAGTATTCCCCGTGCTCTCTGACGCATGGGAGAGCACCGCTAACACATTTGCTATTAGCTCGATGGAGAACGAAAAAAGATTGAGACTGCGCGGAGATCCGCTACACCAGTTTCGGGGGAGAGGAAGGGCGGTTAGTTAGTTTTGGACCAATTTTCTTTTTTCTGGGATGTGGGAGAGGTGAGAGAGGAGGTGATGGGCAGGGGGTGACCGTAACTTCTATCTTTTAGGATAGATTTCTGTAGTGACAAATAAAAATGGCGTAGGGGGCGTTAGACGGCTTACTACGGTAATTTATAGTAAAAAATCTACTGCAAATTGTTGTGATTGGTTTCTTTTTTTTTTGGTTGTGTGAGTATTGTAGAAGGTTATTGGATGGGGTTTATCTATGAGCTCAGGTCTGACGTTATCGACGCAATATTTCTAACTGGCGGATCACGGAAGGTGTTGCATAACTTGAGGGAGCGTCTTTCGAACAAGCTCCTGGACCCATAAACCATCTGAAACATGCACTTTTCACAGTCATATGCCCCTTTCAATCTCCAGTCGATCTAGATTTTAACATGCGCATACCTATCCATGAGACATCACTCGCGACCAATGATTAATTGGAGATTCTTCCGGGTACTCGTAAGCGTAGCCCTAAGAGTGTGGTTCCACTTACCTATAATTACAGTACTATACACGAGTAGTCCAGTGCCACCCGTACTATACTGGGAGTTGTCACTCGGATGCGGACTGACTGTACAGCGCCTGGAGAAAGATGAGCACAGTAGATATGGGGTTTATATTGATGGACTTGGCGGGCGGTTCTAATATTAAGTAACATATAGCGAATTCCCATGCTTAAACTCGGGTGGGTCAGCGGGAGATCGGAACTGAGCTCTGAATACATCTATGTATCACATACTAAGGACGATAGAAGGCTGTTTTGTGATTTTGTGATAATTAAATCCAGCGTCTATTGCCAGGAAGTCTAGCAGTTTCAATAGGCTCATTGCGTAATGGTATACACGTACCAGCCCGTACTGCGAAAATGGTCTAAACAGGAGAGCAGGCTCAAATTTTTGGGAATTTTGGAGTGAACTTCCATATACCAGTTACCTGTCCACAGTGGTACCTTAGACTATTTCGAGTCCCAAGTATCGAATCCATGTCGGGCAGGTCAAGTATCCACTAAAGGGTCAAATTAGTTCACGAGTGATTTCGTGTGATTCCGAGATATCGACAAACTTTGACAACGATTTATTCCCTTTTTTCTTCACAGATTGAAAGAAGAAGACCTCTAGATTCAATCTATACAAAATAGCCCACAATTTGCAATCACTGAGTCACGGTCCGTGACTCGACATCTAATGAGGTCAAAGATCCGATCATAACCGCACGATCGACAGGGTAACCAGAGCCTGCCCGCTTCCTGCACGCAGCCCCACCTTCCCGTATCTTGAAGTATCAACAGCCCCGCCTCATCCCAAGCACGCAGCTCGCGAAAATCACTTCCCCACGCATAGAAAAAAAAATCACGACGCCAAAGATCGCCGCAACAAGGCCAAAAGAGAGATACTAAAAAAAAAAAAAAAAATTTATAAATTCCTCTTTACAAGAAAAAAAAAAGATGGCGACAACTATTCAAACACCCCTCCCGACAGATCCTGAGTCAACAATGCTTCTGCTGGCTGCAACAGACCATAATATCCCCGTTCTAGAGTCGCTGCTCAAGACCACGTCGGCGAATGTCTATGAGCCAGAGACAAGACAGACGGCACTGCATGTTGCGGTCGCATCTTGTACGCCAGAGGACTCAGCAGACGAGCTCAAGGCTGCAGAGGAGACTTTGAAGCTGTTGCTACTCAACGGGGCTATTTGGAATGACTTGGACGTCTCCGGGGAGACACCAGCGTGTATTGCGGACAGACTGGGATTGAAAAGCCTGTACGGGATCTTGGTGGAAGCAGGTGTGAGGGCCGAGTTAATCCTGGGAAGGCTAGGAGGGTATTTGCAGCTTAGTGATGGCGAAGAGAGCGAGGAAGAAGAAATTGGAGATGAAGAGGAAGCTCCAGAGTTGGTCCAGGAGGCCGACACTGTAGGAACACCGCAAACAGAGTTGACACAACCAGAGCTGGAACCAGAGGAAGAGATTAAGGTGGATGTGAACTCGAAAGATTACCTAGCCTCGAAGTTGACCTATCACGACGACAAGCTACTTGATGAGGACAACAACGGGGTTATGATGGAGTGGGAGAGAGGCATTATGGAACGGAGTGTGAACGTACTCGTTAAGGAAGAAGGAAAAAGAATTCTCAATATTGGATTTGGAATGGGAATAATAGATGGATTGTTCCAAGAAAAGAAACCCAGCCACCATGTCATCGTTGAGGCGCACCCAGATGTCCTGAAAAAGATGAAAGAAGACGGATGGGATCAGAAAGAAGGCGTTGAGATACTCGAAGGAAGGTGGCAAGATGTAAGTCCAACTTTACTAAGGACTTACAATTTAGATCTCTAACAAATAGTAGGTCATTCCTGACCTGATAAACCGAAACATCACCTTCCACGCAATTTACTTTGACACCTTTGCCGAGTCCTACGATGAATTGCGTCTTTTCTTCACCGAATATGTTATCGGACTTCTTGCACCGCTATCGGAAGGTGGTAAATTCAGTTTCTTCCATGGTCTCGGTGCAGACAGAAGAGTCTCATATGATGTTTACACGCGTATTGTTGAGATTGACATGCTAGAGGCTGGACTAGAGACCAGATGGGATATTGTGCCCTTGAAAAAGGATGACGAAGAGGAAGATGGAATGGAGGAGGGTGGAAAGGTTTGGGACGGAGTGAAGAGGAGGTACTGGATACTTCCAGAGTACAAGCTCCCTATCGCCGAATTTTTGGCATAGTCCACATGAGAACAAATAACGGCTGGGGTGAAGCAGATATGAGAGGATACCAGGGATAGAGGATTTCCCAATAGGCGGTCGTTTTTTTTGTACGGATATATAAGGAGATTAACATGCATACATAGTGCTAAGCACGATGGTTTCGAATGGAGTTTGTGAAGGGGTTATTTGTTAGTGATATGGTTACTCTGGGTTTCTGTCTTTACGTTTCTCTTCCTCAGTTATTCTTATTACTTATATAGATAAGTACATGTATGTTCTTAGCAAATACTTTTGTTTTAAGATAATTTCCACACTGGTGATATCTCTGGTCCCATAATAAAGTAGTATACTGGGTATCTCAGTTCCTGCATAACCGGACTTTAAGCTTGTTTGTTTATCCATCCCAGAAACGTGGCAGCTTGGGTTTGGAATTGATGTTTGGGCTGCAGTGGGTATTTTCCCGCCCGTGACTCACCCACATGGCGCGAGGCAGTGCATACATGTATGATAGGCTTGAATATTTTTCGAGAGGCAATCTCTAGAGTAGATGACGTCTAAAGATACGTTCCGTGTCTCCGGCTCACTTATATTCCCGAGCCGTTTGGCAATTGGTCCTGTCTATGGATGTTCTGGAACGTCACGTAGTGAAGGTGATTGTAGTCAACTATACTGCCTAGGTATGTAGAATAATACGACTTCAGGCACCTCATCTTTCTACTATCCAGATACATGTGAGTCCATTCTTGTACATGTAGTTTGCGTTGTATCGATGTGGTTGAGACTCTTGTGTCACTAATGATAAAGCTAACCTAATGCAGTCAAAATAGGTACAGAACCAACAATCAGGGCCCAGCTAAGACTTCCGAGGAAGGTTGTTTCCTTCACTAGCGAGTGGGTGAAAGAATTGTTGACAGGAGGATGTCAGACTGATAAATAGGTATCAACGGTGAATTAATTTCGTTGGTTGAAGTGTGAAGTGAAATCAAGATGTCCAATCCTCGTGATAATGACGGGTTCGAAATATGCAGACAGATAGATTATGGATCGGAGACGAGCCATTGACCAATAAGAAGGTTGAAACCCGTTCCCCTTGGCCTTGCTCGGTTTCCACCTCCCCCGCAGTCAAATTACGCCAACCTCGTCCAACGTCGCTGCTGGGTCTCCTTCCCTGCAATTTTTTTTTGTCCTAACAGATCCTTCGTCACCAAGTACAGCCCACATAAAGCCCACCGAATTCCTCCTCCCCACTTGAGCATATCGCAACATCAATTTTGCAAAGAAAAAGGCCTACTTCTGACCGAAATTTTCTTTATTCTTTTCGAATAGCCATCTCCCATCCAACGTACACGTTGGCAAAGTGAATAATCTCAACAGATAAAGCCCTTCGTGTCAATCTCCCTTTTAATTCCTACAAAGGAGGTCTCTCGCAAGTGAAAGTCGCCCGTATGCGATTTGTTCCCTCCGTATTCACTTCACAGGTATGTACATGGCGAGAAATTCCGGCCCCACACTAGTTCGTTTTTGCATTGCCCCTCCCCCATCCAGCCGCGTGGAGAAAAAACTTTTTTTTGACATCCACCGTGACCTTTTGTTCCCTTCATAAACCTCTTATGCTTTATTGCAACTGGCCTGTCCTTTCCTCCACTTCTTCCTAAATTTACCCCAAACTCTTTACTGATCCGGGTTCTCTTTTTAGGATTATCTCTCAGGTAAAAAGAAGAAAAAAACCTTCCCCATCAAAGCCATGGCTACCCCCACTCCCCCCACATTCAAGAGCCTCAGTATATGGTACATCAGCGACAGGACTAATACAACCTTTTCAATTGTATACAGATCACATCTGGAAGAACAGCTCCTATTAAAAAACCTTTTTTGCGCACACGACTCATTATATCATATTCTCGAAGCAAATCTATCACTCGCACTCCCGCTAACCAGCGCATTCCTTTTTCTCTTTTTATATACCCATTGAAATCGCCAACATGTTTACTCGCCAAATTTTTACCAAGGGCTTCAATGCCACTACTCGCTTCAACGCCTTGAGGCAGGTCAGGAATCTTGCTACCGTCACTGGAAGCGCTGGAAGGCAGATGCCCCAGCCAGAGAGGGGGACTGGCACCCCTATCAGCAACGACAGAGCTACTTTCACCATCAAGGTGGGTTTTATATTCTAGGCCTCTGCACCAGCCACAGCGCATGATTATATATGTATATATGGATACTGACTGAGTACCTCCAGAACGGTCCTATCTTCCACGGAAAGTCCTTCGGTGCCCGTTCTAACACTTCCGGAGAAGCCGTCTTCTCTACTGCTCTCGTTGGATATCCCGAGGCTCTTACCGATCCTTCCTACCGTGGTCAAATCCTCGTCTTCACCCAGCCGCTCATTGGGAACTATGGTGTTCCCTCTGACCAGCGCGACCAAGATGGTCTTTTGAAATACTTCGAGTCTCCCCATCTCCAGGCCATCGGTGTTGTTGTTGCCGACGTCGCCGAAAAGTACTCACACTGGACTGCCGTTGAGTCACTTGGCAACTGGTGTGCTCGTGAGGGTGTTCCCGCCATTACTGGTGTCGACACTAGGGCCATTGTCACCTACCTCCGTGAGCAGGGTTCCTCCCTCGCCAGGATCACTATTGGAGAGGAGTACGATGCGGATCAAGATGAGGCATTCGTCGACCCTGAGCAAATTAACTTGGTCGAGAAGGTCTCCACCAAGGCGCCTTTCCATGTTGAAAGCTCAAACGGAGACCTTCACGTCGCAGTCATTGACTGTGGTGTTAAGGAGAACATTTTGAGGAGTTTGGTTGGCAGGGGTGCTAGTGTTACCTGCTTCCCATGGGACTACCCCATTCACAAAGTTGCGCACCATTTTGACGGAGTTTTCATGTTTGTCCTCTCCTCACCCTTTTCTGTTGAATGAATCATTGACCTTTGGTTATAGTTCCAATGGACCCGGTGACCCAACCCACTGCACTCCCACTGTGTACCATCTCCGCAAGTTGATGGAATCCTACACCGGCCCCATCATGGGTATCTGTCTTGGACACCAGCTTCTTGCCCTGGCCGCAGGTGCCAAGACAATCAAGTTGAAGTACGGAAACCGTGCCCACAACATTCCCGCTCTTGACCTCACCACTGGACGCTGCCACATCACTTCGCAGAACCACGGATATGCCGTTGACATGAACACTCTTGATGCCTCTCAATGGAAGGAGTACTTTGTCAACCTCAACGACGGATCTAACGAGGGTTTGTAAACCCCCACACCTCATCTTGATAACTTTACTGATTTGAACTATAGGAATGATCCACACTTCTCGCCCTATTATGTCCACCCAGTTCCATCCCGAGGCTAAGGGTGGTCCCCTCGACTCCAGCTTCCTCTTTGACGCCTACCTCGAGCAGGTTGCCGCCTTCAAGGCCGAGCAGATCCTCTCTGCCCCCGGACGCGTTGGAAGGCCTAGCCCGCTCTTGGTCGACATCTTGTCCAAGCAGCGTGTGGACGTTGCCCCCAGCCACGTCTTGAGGGAAGTTGAGAGGAGGGCTGCGAACGCTAAGGCTGAGATTGACTCGAAGCAGGCTGCCGCTGCCACCGCTGCCTAAAGAAAGGTAGTTAATTTGGGTGTTTTTACGGGGTTTTCTTTTCTTTTTTTTAGCAGTACGAAATTTTTTTCGAACTTTTTTTTTTTCGCTCTTTGTATATCAGTTGAGTCCTAAAAAATGAAATTGGTGGTTTGATACAAAACAGTTTTGATGGAATGGGGCGCGGGTTACCCTGATCGTGAGTGATAGTTGGTGCTAAGGATTGAAAAATGCCAGGGTCCAAGCACTTAGACCGCACCTTATCATATTAGATTCAAACCACTACCATTAGCCCGTACCACTAACGGCCCCCAAGGCCGCAAGCATCATATGCAAAAATAGGCAGTCCAAAAGGTAGCCCTTGAGGTAGCGCAGCTTCTCATCTTGACACTTGATGCTAGTTGTAGCTCGTATTAATCTGGTCTACGTTTCCTACTCCTACTGTAGAGCGGGATAAGCAAGATTTATATGATCAGGAACATAGAACATCGTCCATTATAAGGACTAGGTATCAATGATCACTGTGGCAAGTTTCCTTCCTTACAAAATGGCTGTTGGGATCGATGCTTGCTTGGTTCCTGGTGTGTATATATGTAGCCCCGTGGATCGAGGCAGTGCAACCGCCCAGGTACTCGGGGTCTCAAGAACTACTGCAGTTAGTGGAGAAGCCATGGATCTGTGCATGAGCGAGGTTTGGTGTTTTTGGTCGTAAAAGCTCTGGGGTGGGGGACTCGGGGGGACTGGAGTTGGGGTGGTTCTGGGTTTTGGGGGTTCGGGGTTTTTGGTGGCGGTTCTGGGGCTTTTGCTGTGGGTGGTCTTGGTTCTTGGTTCTGGACGGTTAGGTGGGGGGTTGGTCACATGGTGATAGATGGTTGGATTGGTCCCAATGGAGAGCGGGCTTTTTTCTATTTGGTTTATTTGGGTAGAACCTCATGATGGTCACTTCACATTGACACCCGCCGTCAGCTCTAGTAAGGTAAGGTAAGTTCCACATGCCATCATGATCATGTCAAACATCTTTTTCAAGAAGGAAAAGGAAAAGAAAATTTAGGCAAAAAAAGAACCGACAAAAAGAAGAAGAAAGGAAGAAAAGCCGGAAAGAAACCCCAAACCACCACCACTCCCACGCACTAAAAGTTCCCATACCCCCCCGTATACCTCCTCTCCCCCCTGCGCCCCTCCGACCACTCCCCCAACCCGCCGCCGCCACCTCCGCCGCCGCTGCGCCCCGCGGCGTTCGCCTTCCCCGTCTGCTCGATGCCCCAGAACTTCTTGCCCACGCCGCGGACCTCCTCGATGCTCTTTGTGAGCGTTCCCAGCAGGGCGACGAGGTGCACGTCCGACTGCTCGGAGAGCTGCTCCTGCCGGAAGCCCTTTGCGTCGGCGGGCGTGAGCAGCGGCAGCCGCGAGTGCGTGAGTGATTTCAGCGAGCGCAGCAGCTGGTGGTTGGGTTCGGCGTGCGGCGGGGAGGAGAGGTAGGTGGTGAGGAGCTTGATGCGTGAGTGGAGCATGCGGATTGCGTTGGCTTTTGCGGTGAGGTTGGCGAGTACTGTGGTGTAGTAGTGTAGATTAGTGATTGATCTCTTGGGTTAGATTGGGGGGTGGGGGTGGTCATACGCTCGTCATTCTGGGTTCCGGCACTAACTACAGCATCAGCCTCCTCCGCCTTCTCCTTGCCCTTCACCTGCTGCGCCTCCTCCGACAGCTTCACCTTCTTCACCGCGCCATCCTTCCCCTCCGCTGCCGCTGCCGCCGCTGCCGCCGCCGCCCCCGCAGCACCCTGCGCGGTGCCTTCCAACCCCGACAGCTCCGCCGCGGCATTCCCGAAGCCGCCCTTCGCGACAAAGTCCACGCCGATCATCTCTGCCTCGCCCGTCTCGATGGTGTAGTTGAGCGGGACAAAGAGGAGGTTTGGCGCGCCCTCGTCGGCAGAGTCGTCGGCCTCGAGCACGCTCTCGTAGATTGCGAGCGGGAGGGTGCCGCCGCCGCCGACGGACGCGCTGGGCGAGGGGTTGAGGCAGAGCAGGATGAGCGACTCGTTGAAGGGGAGGAGCTGCCGGTGGAATTGCACCATCCACGGGGAGGGGGCGAAGGTTGGGGATGGGGTGGTGGTGAACCAGCCGAGGAGGTCCAGGGTGGGGTGGGTTTCTTTGACTGTGGTTTGTTAGTGGGTGTTTGTGGGGGAGGGATGGGGGCTGGGTGGACGGACAGAGCTTGAGCTTCTCCATGAACCAGGGCTCGTCGGCGGAGATCTGGTCATCGGTGCGGAGGAGGAGGATCTCGTAGGCGTGCTCGATGTCGATTGAGCGGCCCTGCTGGGTGCCGAGGAGGGCGCCGAGAATGGGGCCCGACCCGTTGCGCAGCGTGTGGCGGGTGATGTAATCGGAGATTGTGAGGAGGGCCAGAGGGTGCAGGGAGATCTGGAGGCCGGTGGTGGACGGGTGGGAGGAGATGAGGGTGTTTGCGTCTGGGACGGGCTTTTCGGGGTTCGTCATTGTGACCTTTGGGGTGATGGTTTGTGGTGGTGTGGTGGTGAGATGAGGTGAGGTGTGGTGTGGGTTGGAGATGGAGAGGTGAGGTGTGGGTTTGAGGTTCCAAGAGCTATGGATGGAGCTTGGTGGGGAAATGATGGTGGGGACGTGGACGGTGACACAGATAAGGTGTTGACTAAGCGATGAGGGACCTGTTCATGGAATATCACTCGGTGATCAACTGCATCGTGGTGTTGAGAGTTGCATTTGGTGTTAGGTATTTGGCTTTTCAAATGCTACTGAGACCGCACAGACGGGCTGCCAGCATCTACTCCTGTCACTCGTGCCATACCGACACTTGTCCAATCCGTGACTATATACATGTATATAGCTAGCTAGACTCTCTGCCGGTGAAAGAAATCAAGTCACTTCAGTGCCTCGTCCTACCCAATACCAAATATGTTATACTTGGTTCTTGGGGTCTTTGTAGTCTGTACATCATCGAAATAGGCTTGAGAAAAACACATTCGAATGAACCCCCCACAACCTCACGGCCCCCACGGCCACCCACCATAGAACTACGGTCACAGCACTTAGGCGTAAAAGCTACAACCAAACCATACCAACCAGAGGACACTCACCGTGAGAGGGTGGCTTGCGGTTTGAAATAGCGCGGGCCTAGGTTCTGATTTGTACAAGAGATGGATTGAAGAGAGGAGACATGGCTGACGGGCTAGGCAGGTCAAAGATAGGAATGGGTTAGCCATGTAGCCTATATCTCCATGGAACCTATCCTGGGTACATCTCTATACTAGCCATGTTTTGCGTACTGCATAGATTCTCACTCGGTCTGCCAAACCTCACCGCGCCTACGAATATTGTAAAAACCATATATACTTGTTGTTGCAATTCTATTGTCTACAACAGCAAACAGAAAACACACGATCCTTTGTTTCTAGTCTGCCCGACTAATCTAATTGATGGAGCTGAGGACTGTAACGAATGCAAGACCTACAACGCGCCCAACTCCTTCAACCTCGCCACCAACCCACCAACATCCTCCACCTTCCCACCGCCCTTCCTCGGCGCCGGCTCTACACCACAAAAGTCAGCACACTCCCCAACCTCACCCCCACCAAAAAAACACACAGAAAACTCGCGGGAAAAAAAAAAAAAAACTCACCAACAACCTTCACCGTCTGCAGCCTCGCCCCCACCTCCACCCCAAAGTCCGCCACCGCCCTCTTCACCAGCGGCTTCTTCTTCGCCTTCATAATATTCGGCAGACTCGCATACCGCGGCTCATTCAGCCTCAAATCCGCCGTCACCACCGCCGGCAACCCCAACTCCAGCACCTCCTCCCCACCATCCACCTCCCTCGTCACCGTGACCCTCCCCCCTCCCCGACCACCACCGCACTCGCCTGCGTCGCCTGCCCCCACCCCAGCAGTCCCGCCAGCATCTGCCCCGTCTGCCCCGCATCCCCATCAATGCTCTGCTTCCCCAGAATGACCAAATTGCGGTCCTCGTCCTTCACCACCCGCTGCAGCAGCTTGGCCACGGCCAGCGGCTCCAGCTCTGTGTCGGTCTCGGCGAGCAGTGCCCGGTCCGCGCCCATGGCCATGGCGGTCCGGAGCGTGTCTTGCGCCTTGGCGGGCCCCGCGGAGAAGGCGAGGATGTCGGTGACGGTGGTGGGGTGGCGCTCGCGCAGGCGGACGGCTTCTTCGATCGACAGCTCGTCGAAGGGGTTCATGGACATTTTGACGCCGGCCGTCTCGACGCCGGTTTGGGCGGCGTTGACGCGCGGTTTGACCTATGGGTGAGGTTAGCGGGGAGAGGTGGGGAGGTGGGGGAGGGGGAGGGGAGGTACGGCGTAGTCGATGACGCGCTTGACGGGGACGAGGATGCGGAGGGCGGTCATTGTGCTGTGTGTCTCTCTGTCTCTCTGGTACTCTTTGGTGCTGTCTGTAGTGCTATAGTTGCAGCGGTGGTGAGAGTGTGTGTGTGAGAGAGTGAGAGGAAGGAGGGAATCGGAGTTTGTGTGAGGCGTTGAAAGAAGGCCTCGCTAACTCGGCATTTTCCATGTCACGTGAAGAGGGTCTACTCCACATGTGCCTACCATATACAAAATACAAGTATCTACAGTGACAGATATGTGGATGGAAATACTGTAGTAGTCTTTGACAATGCCATAAACTGCGGTAGCACCATGACAAAATACAGTAATCACACGGCATATTCTCAATGCCCTAGGGACTGATGCGGCCTACATTTCTGGTACTGAGGTCCGCATCACAGGCCCTCACCCACCCCGCGGCAGCAGCACCAATAATCTGACAAAAAAGGTAAAGGTGAAAAAACTCCATTCCCGTCTAACTACAGAACCGCCCGCCCACCCGCCCTCAACCCTTTTTTTGTTTTACTACAGCCTACCACTCCGCGCCATAGAGAAACACGGCATGTATGTATGTATGTATAATATGCAGCTTCACAATAGCTCAATTATCCCCTCTCCTCCTCTCTCCCCTTCTCTCCCCCTCCTCTCCCCTGGTCTCCCAGGCCCCGGCATGCTCCTCGATCCTGTCATATGATACTAGCAAATAGCATACCCAATAACTACTTGTGCAAAGAAGAGAAGAAAAAAAAAAAAGGAAAGATATCAAACCCATAACGAAAGAAAAGAAAGAGGAAAAAAAAGGGAACACAATAGCTATAAAGTAGTTAAAGAATCACAGCTAAGAAAGAAAGAAAAAAAGAAAAAAAGGGAAAGGGGGAATAGAAAAGACACATTTTTTCCTATAAATAACGAATAACGTATAAAAAGAAAAAAAACCGCGTATTTCGATATTGGCAGACACAGCTATAAGAGAGGGGGACGATTACTCCACCCACACTCAGCGTCTATCCCGATGCCCGTCTCTCCCGCCCCTCGCGGCCGCCAGTCGCTCCCGCGCAATCTCCTCACTCACAGGCATGTAGTAGAGCTTCGGCTTCGCCACCGTGCTCTTAAACAGATCGTCCAGATCCACAAACCTCGTCGTTCTCGCTCCCGCTCCCGCTCCCGCCGCCGGCGGCGCCACATCCTGCTGCGTCGGCGCACCTTTCTGAACTGCAAGTACTTCCACCCCCCTCATCAGCACACCATTCCCACTCCCAGCACCATTTCCACATCTGCACACATCAGGGGGACAAAAGCAAAACTCACCACTATTCTTCCTCTCCCCCACCCTCTCCCTCTCCCGCTCCCTCTCCCTCTCCCTCGCGCCCCTCGGCCCCGTCGGCGCACCCAGCACCTCCACCCCACCACGTCCCCTCGCGCCCACCTCCTCCAGCTCCGCCACAACACCACCATCCTCGCCCTCCCCGTCCTTATACACAACCTCCCACTTCTTCTGCCCGCGCACCTCGCGCTCCCTCGCAACCCACCCCTCCACCGCCTCCTCGGGCACAAAGTCCACCCACAGCGCCCTGCGCGTGCGCTCGTTCGGCCACACCTTCCCGTGCAGTCCAACGCGCACGCGCGTCGCCGCGGCCACCGACGCAAAGATAACGAGTGCGTGCGACTTGATAGAGTCGACAAAGAAGTACGCGATTGCCTCTGCGCCGGGCGGTGTTGCGCCGGCGAGGGCCGTTAGGTGGCTACGCAGTAGCGGGTCGTTGATGGGGCGGATGAGATTGCGAATGTAGAGTGCGCATGTGGCGGGGTGGATTGACGGCGGGACCGGGGGGTCGTCGTCGTCGTCGGCGGGGGCGGTTTCGTTGTCGTTGTCGGCGGAGGGGTCGTCGTGGTCGGTGTTGGCGGTGTCGGTGGTGTTGTTGAAGAGGCCTTTGAAGCGGGCATCGCGCTGGCGGGGTTTGGGTTGTGGGGAGGAGGGGCGGGGCTTTTTGGTGGTTGTCGGGTCGTCGGTGGTGTCGTCGTGGGTGGGGGCGGCGGGAGTGTCGGATGTTGCTGCGGCGGCGGCGGGAGGGGGGCTGGCGGAGCGGCGCTTGCGCTTGCGGAGGTCTGTGGGTGTGTCGTCGCGGGTGTCCATTGGTTCTGAGGGCGCTGTGAGAGCGGCAAGGTCGGATTGTGAGGTTACTGCGGCGGTGATCTCGTCCTCGGTGGTGGTGATGTGGGTGGTGGTGGATGGCGCTGGGACGGGTTCCCCGGGGATATCGACGAGCGTGGGTGGAACTTCTTGGGGCTTGGCTGGGGCTTCTTCGTGGACTGTTGGTGCTTCGGCCATTGGTGAGTCTTCCTCGACCTGCTTCTGCTCCTGCTCAACGGTCTCCTCCGCCGGTGTGGCTGCCCTGGTCTCCTCAATTGAGGCAGGTTCCTCGTAGATGGACACCTCGTCGTCCTCGGGGGTCTTTGTGGGCGCGGTGTCAACCTGCATGCTGTCCGCCTCGGCCTGTACTTCTGGTTCAGCTACAGCTACCTGCGGCACTGGCTCCTCGGCGACTTCTTTTGACGGTTCTTGCTGCTGCTCAGCCGTGATCTCTTCCGCAACGGCTTCAAGCTGCTCCGAAACGGATGGAGGGCTGGGAGCGCCATTGTCCTGCACTTGGGGTGGTGATTGCACACTCTCTACGTCCTGCTGTTCTGGGACCGGTGTTGGCTCTGGCTCTTCGGCCTGCGGTACTGGCTCAACCAATTGTGCTGGCTCGGCCTCCTTTGCGGGTTCGACTTCTTGCGCCGGTTCGGCGGTTGTTGGCTCTACCTGTGCTGGTTCGATCTCTTGCACTTGCTCAATCTCCTGGACTGGCTCAGGCTCCTGTGCTGGTTCGGCTTGCGCTGGTTCGGCCTGTACTGGCTCGGGCTCCTGTACCGGCTCTGCATCCTGTACCTGCACCTGCACCTGTTCCTGCACCTGCTGCACTGGTTCCTGCACTTCCTGCACCACCGCCGGGGTTACTGCGCGCACCTCCTCGGCCGCCTCAACCACTACCGGCTCTGGCTCCGGCTGGTCACCATTGACCTGGGTCGCGTCCTCCACGGGTGTCTGCACTACCTCTGGCTGTGGCTGTGGCTCTGGCTCTGGCGCGGCCTCTTCCTCCTCCTCCGCTTCCGCTTCCGCCTCTGCCTCTGCCTCTGCCTCTGCCTCTGCCTCCCGCTGTCGCTCCTGGATTATAACCTCTGCCAGCCGCTCCACGAGCGCCTGCTTGAGGCCTCCTACCGGTAGTCCGCGCTTCTTGAGTTCGGCTTTGAGCTCGGTGACTTTGAGCGAGGAGAGGGTTGTCGGGTCTAGCATTGTGGTGGTGGTATTTAGCTAGTGCGCGGCGCGGGTTTGTGTTTGTGTTGTGGGTGGTGTAGATGTCGGGTAGGGGTGGTGGAATGGGATGGGATTGTGGGATTGGGGGTGGGTGCTGTTTTGGTTGTGTGTTTGTTGATAGGTTGTGATGATTTGGTGGGGATCAGTCAGGTATAGGTGACGGAAGGGAAGGGAGGGAAGGGGAGGGAGGGAAGGGGAAGGGGAATGGTAAGGGTATGAGGAAGAGAGGAAGGGTAACAAGAAGGGTAACTCGAAGAAGAAGAAGAAGGGGAGGGGAAGAAGGGAAGACAGACGGAAGGACGGAAGGAAGGAAGGAAGGAAGGAAGGAAGGAAGGAAGGAAAGAAGAGAAATGGAAGCAAGCGTAGAAAGACGGGCTAGACTTGGCTGGCTGGCTGGCTGGCTGGCTGGTTGTCTGGCTGGTTGTCTGGCTGGCTTTTTTGACTGGCTCGACTCGCTCGACTACCTGGACTGGACTGGCCTGGCTGGGGAGTTGCGTTGCGTCAATGTGTGTCTGTCTGTCTGTGTGTCTGTCTGTCTGTCTGCCTGTCTGTCTGTCTCTCTGCCTATCCCGCTAGACCCAACGTGGCAGTGACACAAGCAGCCGCCCGTTTGTTTGAGCCTCACCCTGGGCTGTCTGGCTGTCTTTCTGGCTTGTGTGTACAGTGTGTTCCTGTATCTACGTCTCTCTCAGCTTAATTAGGGCTGTCCCGGATAATCAATCACTCTTCACAGATACGCGATGATGATGATGTCCCCTCCCTCCCTCCCTCCACACAGCACCCATCGCCTGTGCTGTGCCTGGCCTGGGGAACTGTTCTCCAAGGGTTTGGATCGGAATGCACACACACCACTGACGGAAAGGAAGGTGCATGCGCAGTGCTGCATTTGGGGGGGGGGGGGGGGGGGGCCGAGGATGTGTGATTAGTCATCCGTTCTATCGGGGTAGGGAAAGATCTGCTACAGGCCGGGTGCAGCTCCTAGAGTGCAAAGTCACAACAAACCCAATCGTGTACCTACAGTCGCAACTCGATATGGCGGAACTCAATTCACCGGATCTCTTGCTAGCTGTCCCGTTATACGAGATGCTCTGAGATTCTTATTCCCCCCCCCCCCCCCCACCGCAAAATCAGTTTGCTATCCAGGATTTTTTTTTCTTGCTATCCTGTAGAGTACGAGGTCCTTGGAATCTTAGCAATCCGGCATTATATCAAGTTGCGACTGTAGAGTAGTTGATTGTTGCGAGCCGAAAAATATATACATGCAAGTATAAAAAGGGATCTTCACTACAGGTATTGGATTCAATTTGGGTTTGTATACCGTGGGTTTACTCAAAGTATTGTAAGGCGGTGTGTGTTCCAATGGCTGTGTGAAGGCCAAGCTATTCTATGGGATGAGATGAGAAGAGACGAAAGTTTCGATCTAGCTTATAGTACATAGTTGAGGACAAGTGGTCATGCCATCTACTCCCCGCCATAAGTCCATAGTTGTAAATCCTGACAGGTCCAGCAACCCCATTTCTTTTGAAGTGAGAAGGTGCCCGCATGAAATTTTAAGCAGACAATACAGTTAAAATCACTACCCTACCTGATGCTACGGGCTGAGTTCGCTATAGAGAAACAGATGTGGTCTTGAACCTTTACGAGTGATCTTCCATGACGCAAAATGAGACATAAAGCGTCATAGAATGAAAGATTGAGATAGTGAGAGATAAGAGATAGGGTAGTCTCGTACCCAGCCCGTTACTGGAAGCATGGAAGTAGACGGGTTGGGGACGAGCCTAGGGATAGGGCAACGAGTGATTAGCTGTGCCCGTAGGCGCCGAGTGATTTCTGCGATGCCGGGCTGGGACATGGGCACCAACAACCACAAAATCACTACTAGATATGTATATTTACAATCCCCATCTGAGCCTTCCATCCACAGCACAAACAGGATCAATGGTCATTCCACAAACTATCTACACACACCGCCACCCCTAAATGCTCAACTCCTTCATCACCGCCGCCTCATCCAAGCCCAGCGCAGTCATCACATTCCTATACCTCACGCCGCCCTTCTCCTTCCTCTTCAAGTACTTCAGCAACTTCTGCCTCTTATGCACCAGCAGCCGCAGATTGCGCTTATTGTGCTTATCCTTATTCCCCGTCGTCTCCAGCATCTTCGCCAGATTCCTAATCTTCACCGTCAATATCGCCGCCTGCACCTCGCTACTCCCCGTATCCGGCCCGGCCCTGGGCGTCTTCTTACTCTCCTCCAGCGGCCGCGCATCCGGGTCCCTCGGCAGCGTAGCATCAGTGTTGTGGCGCCCAAACGTCTCGATGCAGCGCACAGTGTTGACACGCTGGCGGTCGGCGTTGCTGCCAATACTCAGACTCACAATGCGCTGGATTGCCGCGACGGCATGGTCATGATCCTTCTGGTGGGCCTCGAGCTTCTCCGGCCAGACATACGAGTCGACCACACCACTCGCCGAGACGGGGTTCGCAGGGGCGGTGAGGCGCTTGCTGTTCTCAATTGCGGTTTCCATGTCCTTCGGGGTGAGGTAGAAGTTCATGTGGAGGGCGTCATCGTGGCCTTTTGTCGGGTCGATGTTGTGGGTGAGGGCCCAGTCAACGGGGGGCAGGAGCGGGGAGGGCGTCTCGAGGGATTTGACGAACGGGGTAGCGCGGCCGGTTACGGGGTTGACGGCGTTGGACAGGCGCTCCTGTTTTAGGCGTTCTTGGAGGGCGAGGTTGTCGAGGCGGCGTTTTTCAGAGGTTGCGAGGCCCTCGGAGCTGCGGTGCTCGCGCTTGTGGGGGACAGGGGTGGTGGAGAAGGCGGCGAGGTGGTGGCGCGCTGGAGAGAGAGGTGAGTATTGGGTGTGGTGGTGGTGGTGGGGAGGATGAGGGGGGGGGCTACATACTGGGTGTGACTCGCAGGTTTGTGAAGTAGCGGGTCAGCGCTGATTGCGAGGGGAGCGCAGGTCTAGGAGGCATGGTTGACGGTGGTCTAGATGTGTGCGTGAGCGCTCAATTGGTCCTCCGGCGGGCGGTTTGGAGGTTTTGGTGGGGGAACGTTTCACGAGAATTTCTGGAGTTGAGGCTAAAGGTCACGTGATTGCAGGACAATGGGATTGTGAGCAGGCTAGCAATCATACTCTTCCGGATTGAAAATGCGTGGAGGTATTAATATCTAGGGCACTGATACTGAGTGCGAGTACTTATGTAGATGGCTGCATTTTTCGTATTTGATTTTTGTTGTGGGTACTGTATGTGAGGCAGTGTGTGTTCCTATGGCCCATGTAGGAAGACCGAACTATTGGATGAGAGATTAAGAGAGCATGATGGTATTAGTAGCTACTTGTGCATATATAAAATTTCTAGCTTTATAATAAGACATAATTGAGGACAGGTTATCACGCCACCTATTCCGCGCTGCTGTAGTATATGTAGCCGCAGGACAATCACGACAGATTATATTTTGTAGTCACCGCGGCGGGCACTCTCTCGGCGCCGGCTGACCTGTCAAATAAGGCTTTTTCTTTACATATAGTTCTGAGCAGACTTTGATAACCGATGAAAAGTTTGAACTGGAGAAGTGTCAATACAGGTACCAGCGCATGTTACAATTCTATATTTTTGACCACAATAATAGCAGCAGCCGGGCACAATTAAATAACAATAATGCACCCTCTAAAATAAAGAGAACACTTAGTGGATATAAATCTATATACTTACTCTAGCGTGCGAGGTTTATCCCGACAGCTAGGGTCAAAGTTGCATGGAATGCGTGGCGGTGGGCGGCCATGAGACAGAACTTTGGTTTCTGACGAAGGATTAACTTCATGGCTTTGAACTATCAACTTCGTTACCATTGGCATCCTCGATGATATGGCCAAACACAATTGTAAATAGATTCGGGAAGTTGAAACTTTAGAAACGTACCTATGATAGACACCAGGATGGATGAGCGAGTGATATTTCATGATTAAACATTCCGGATCTGGTTATGGGTACGTGCCAAGATTTCTATGGGGCCCGGGGGGAATGTTGGTGTGTCTCCTATCTACTATACTATAAAATAAAAGTATGGTCTGAAAAGGTTTTGCTAGACTGGCCTAGTCATATATCCGGTCCTGACCATGCGTATAGGGTTTGGGGGTTCGGTTTTTTCTCTTTTCTCTTTTTTTTGGGTTTGGGGGGGGGGGGGGGGGGGGAGAGGGAGACCAAATTATGAGCGAGAAGCTAATTAGGTAATCAAGCCGGCAATAAATTTTGAAAAATAGAATTTACAAAAAGTGATGCTGTGGCCATATACCCTCCACAGGGCTATGTGCTCAATTCGCATTAATGGACTCCACTTCCCGCTACCAACATACATCCCACAGTATCACTCCCACCCCCGGAGCTGAACCTGATGACCATGGGGACTCAACCCATTCGGTGTTCCTCCGTGACGAGGCGCCTACCCTAGACTATACTCGCCTACACAAGCTTCAGCAGCTCGGAAGTAATAATTAAGGGGAGGCGAGGCCGCAAGGCCCCTAAAATTAGGCCCGCTGGCCACGAAAATCTAAGTATCATGATGCACATCATGACCCACGGCCAACCTCTTGTAGTATAAGTGCCAGATTAATTTCGATCCGGCGTGAGGTATGCGTGCTCGAAGCACATGCTGTCCTGAAAAAGCCCGGTGAAAACCGCATGCATAGCACACGCACGTCTCTTCCTAGCCCTCACAGCCAAAGATGTCTGTCTCTGTGCATGATCACCCAAGCTGTGTATCTAGATTTATAGATACTTTCCCTCCCTATCTCAGCTTAGGCAGTACCTGTCGGCCGGTGAAGTGGACAGGCTCCCGGCTGGCATCTAGCTATGCAAACACCGTACTCATTAGAATTGTCAACCCGCCCATAACGTAATAGTACTAGAGGAGCCTAAACCGAAAAGCCTAACAGCTCGTTACTCTGAATTATCGGGAGAATGGGTATTTGAGCTCAATCGCCCCGAACCCCTCAACCTTGGATTGAGACTCTCGGTTGAGGAAAAACAGCCTGGCCTCAGTGCTTCCAGAGCTAGCGATACTAGTAGCTCAATAGGGCCGTCAATGAAGAGTCTTTTTCGGGAAAAGATATTTGTTTTGTTGCCTGTAGCGGAGAGGAACTCTTTTGTTCCATGGGCCATCTTTAGATCCGAAAATGATTGAAGAAAAAAATCATTGCCAGGAGAGTTCAGCGATAAGTAGGAGTACATGTATCGAACAATCTTTTTTGGTTGACTACAATTTTAGAAAGAGCAACGCCCCCACCCACACAGCATTCAAAAGCCACTCTAATTGAATCACAAACGCGCCTGCCACTCTGTACCTGGGAGGTAAAGAAGCCTGAGTGCGTTGCCGTCGGAACAGGTCAAACCCGACCCCTTATTTCCTTATGCTTCGGCGGTGCAGTTGGTTAGCACCAGTTGTTTTGCACGACAGGTTTAGGGTTCGATTCCCTACCGGGGCTTCATTTGGGTCGAATGATGATTAGACTTCTCTAGTTGTTTTTCCTACTTGATGTTTTTGTGCTATTTCCTCAACACGGGGCGGTAGTAGATCTTCTTTTGATTTTGCAAGTACGGGTGAGGGTGACGTTAAATAAGTTTTTTGCATATTAAGAAAATAATATGGGACAGCTACGTGCGCATGTCCGCCCTCGTGAGACGGTTTGTAAGAACCGAGTGATATTCCATGATCCAGATATTTTGCTGAAATCTTTATCTTGTCCGACTCTTTTACTCTAAATCCTGTAACTGGATGAAATATATCGTAATAGATAACATATAACGTAGCACCCTCGTTGTAAATTGTGTATTTACATTGTCCTAATTTGCAGTACAAGAACTCGGACAGAGCAAAGGCTTCAGAAAGTACACACGATTTCGATCTGAGGAAAAGGTAAGTAAGGATGCTTTTCATGGTAGTGCATGGTCTGAAATGTTACAAATTTGGCGTGAAAAAGTCATAATCACAAGGCTTCGACTGTATCGGTTCTACGGGTAGACTAGGGCTGGGTATAAAAGCTATATCTCAAGTTCGATTCTAATTTAAAACGGCAGAAACGTTCAGGACCCATGTAAAAAGCTTCGTTTTTGGGTATAATTATTAATTGCACCAAGGCATATGCCATCATTCTATTTCTGAAGACATTTTGTTCTGCCGTTGTATCAACTGTATTGCCATGCTTATGAAATTATTGTGGCTTGAAGAACTTAAGCTAATTTGCGCCAAAGCTCTTGTGATCAAGCTTCCGCTCGTGCCGCTATGCCAAGCTAGTTTAACGGTTTTTTAGGCGCGCCAATAATCCTAAGCGGGAAGTCAAGGCTCATGGAAGAGGTTGATGCACAGTTCACAAACGCTTCACAGCGGGGCCTAAAGTGGTAAGAGCAGCAGCTAATATCCATAGTGGTTAGCGGTCGTACCTTATCGAAAGTGGATGGAGATCATGGTTATTCAGCAGCAGCTGGCTGACACTACCATCTCCTAGTAAGGGTTCGAAGATGTCTGGCCTGATGTCAAGACACAAGATCATTGGCTGGCCCTCAAATCCGGCGCTTGCCCGTAGTTTAAGCATAGAAAAAAGCCAATGCGCATGCATGTACCGTCTGGTTTTCACGTCACTAACTATCACTTGCCAGCTCCCTGCCAGCGGAATAATCCCATACAGTCTGAAAACCCCATCCTAACGGTAGGTATCCTTGATCTTTTGCGTATTCCGGAAAATCGGGGAAGCACGGTGTCTCGTCGAAAAACAGGTGATTCTGTGTCTCGGCGGTATTGACTAATTCATCTAATTATAGATAACCTCGTGCGAGATATTCCCGATTTGCTCGGGGTCTTTGTTGCAGGAAAACTCACCGCACCTCTCGAAAAGCGATCCTTGATTGGCCACGTTTGACTTCCTTACACCACCTTCTCCTTTCGAGTTGAACAAACTATAAGATCCGTTAAGCATGAAGATCTGTTGAAGCTCCGCACAAAGCGTCTTGAGAGATTTCATAGGGCTGAGAGAATAAATGCGTTCATGGCCAAACTTGACAAGCTTTCAACGCCCCCAGCAGATAACACCCTGCCAAGATTTGGTTTTCCAAATCATGTGACGGAAGAATAAACCGGGTCAAATCGCGAGGACCCCAGTAGGAGCTAGCTATCTAAATGTGAGCTCGAGTCGATCATAGAGTCCCTATCTGGTCTCGATTAATTCTAGACCGTGGATTGACGCAGGCGGGAGCCGGGCGGTGGTAGGTAACAATAGTCGAGATAACGGGTCTCACAGTTTTCGTAAACGCGGGGTAACCCTTCCAGAATGTCGAAAACCGCTTTGGGTGTGGTGCTGTTACCAGTAGGCCGGGAACGGTCTCAGTAGGTACACCTTTGTAACCCCCAGGCCGTGAAATCACCCTGTGCCTGATATCTGGCCGGTGATATGTCTCCTTCAGGAACCTTTTGCAGAGAAGGAAAGAACTCCGGAGGGATGTCTTTTGATATGCCTTTCAAAAGACGAATTGGCTGGTCGAATTCACATTCTTGATGGTTTCTCGGTATGGTGAAAGGTTGTTTTGGCAGCTCGGAGCTTTGGAGGGCCACATTTCGAGATTTCCCGATGGCCAAGCAAGACTTATCTCCATTATCGTTCTTCATATGTACCAAGTGGTATGATTTTGATAGACCTGCTCGTCCTGGTAATGACTATCAGCGCATTGACCTCAAGATATTCCCTCCATTGATGCAAGCCTAAAGAAAGCCTCACGCCAAAACTATGAAGTGTATGTACGCCACGAAATCTTTATCCATATGTTTAGCTGCAATTGGGTATGGCGGGATCATAATGGACAAAAAGCGAACCACGCTTGTACTCTAGAGTACATAAGGTGTTGTGTCAACCAACTAGTTCCGATAAGCATCCCTAGTAGAAACAGATGTAGATCGATCGACTTGGCTAAAATACCGCGAACCTGGTTACCACACTTGGTGCATGTACCCCGGATTGAGAAATGGGCTGAATAAGAGGTGATGACAAACGGCTCTCTGGTGGTTTTGGGCTTTCTTCAGAACGAGAGGGTCGAATCCCTCTTTCTGCTAGTGGTGATGCTTGAAACGAAAAAGATTGGGTGGAGGGGTTTCGGCTAGGCGAGGGTGACATCACAGCAAGTGTGTGGACGGCAAAGGGATCCGTGGGTATCGATTGGCTGCTGGTGAAGCTGCGATGGGGCAATACAGCCCAGACAAACTTCCTAGGAGATACCGAAAAACCTTAAACAAACTTCTATTGATGCGGGGAATCTGAATATAAACCCTTGTCACCAGTACATGCATCTCAGGATTCACTCGTACCTACCCCATAAAGCTCTCAACAGCTTCCTATCATACAACCTTTACAACACTTCAACAGTACTTCCAACTGCCTCTTTTTTCATCTACCTCTGGAATCAAACGACATCTTTTCATCATGCCTTGCGGAAACTCAACCCAAGTCTTCGCCTTCACTACTCTATCACCCACCTCCCAGCTATCCCTTGCATCAAGCATGACTACCTCAGCACTTCTCGATTTTGCTGCTGATTCTCCCGCATTCATGATCTTTCTTCGAACCCATTGTGAGGAAGTTGTTCTCGCTGCGTTAAAAACACAGTATGGGTATATTCCCGAGAAGGCTACATGGAGTTGTGGTCTTCTTCCCCTGTATGAGAATCTACCACCTCATGTCTCTGATACCCCACTGGACGATTCGACACCCCGATCAGCCTATAGATCATCAATTGGACGTCATAGACGAGGACATCAGGATACCACCGAGCTTCTCCAGGAAATGCCTGTTTTACAGTGGTTGGTGGATGAAGAGCAGCTTTCTGACAACGGTCGGAAGCTCCTTGATATTCTTCCACCATCTGACCACAGTCAAGGCTTATACTACGCCGGTGTTCGGGGGTTAGTACGATACTGCCAGAAGTACACTGCTCTGTGCAGCTTTGTCGTTACGAAAAGGGAGATCAATGAACAGATGCAAAGATGGTTGCAGGAGCGGTATACCCCTTGGGGTGTTAATGAAATGTGGTTTGTTGTTGATGCTCTGGGCTCACGAATTGACGAGATTATGCCATCGCTACGGAATGATGAGGCACGGAGGGAGAAATTGCTGGGAATGCTCTTGTACAAGATGGATGTACTCCGACTGTTCAACGGCTATGATTTTGCTTCATCGTCGCCCACAAGCGAGGAGAGGGCTCTACGGAGACTCCTTGAAGAGGAGATAATTGAGGTTCCATCCGCCGCTGAAGGCACACCTATTGCTGAACTCCAATGGAAAGTCCGTGATGGGTCTCACTCACACTGGTTCACAACCCCCGCACAGGAAGCGTTATTAGGAAAACCTATAAGCTCGTCTTCTCGCATACAATCACGCATGCACTCACGTCCTTACTCTACATCATGGTCTTCCGAGGCTTCACCAAATAATTACCTCTTTGGATATGGAAATAATTATATAGCCTCTCAGGGCGTGAATCTTGATCAGGCAAGCTTGGACCTCAATATACCGCGTAACTGGCGCGACCTTGAGAGTATGAAGCTGATGATGATGGCGGGAGTAGCCGCAAGAGCGCGCAGAGCAACCACGAGAGCCAAGGCCTTCGGTATTCGGGGTGGCATGTGGGCCGATCGGGGTTTTGTAGATTGGGGCATGATTGGTGTTTGAAGAGCTTTGCGGAAAATTTCTCTTTAGCTGTGCATGTGCAATTTACGGGCTTGGTGGCATTTTTTTTTTTGGCGTACATAGGAGTTCTCATTTGTTTTATCTCTTTCTTTCTTTCGCTACTTGGTTCTTTCATGAGGTTTTCCCGAACGAGCGGGTATATGTGGTGACCCGGTGATAGAAAAGGGTATGCTATGTTGGTACACCTGCACGCCCGGCGATAGATGGATGCAGTTTTTTCCTGCGAAAAATGTCCGTTTTGAGCCTTCTGGTTCCTTTCAATGTACTCAAGCATTATACATACAATACCGATACTTTGGAACAAAATCCCGTCTCGCTACCGAGTGACGAAAGCGGGTGAATTATCACCCATTAATTCCCCAAACATACATCGCTTATTATGCTTTATGGGAGACGTTGTGCCGAAGTGCTTGCGTAACGTCAGATAAGGTTTTTTCGGCCGAATATGTAGACTTTGAGGTGTTTTGTTTTTGTTGTGGAGGTAATAATAAGCTTTGGGAAGATCGGTATGATTCCGGAACCCTGGAATGTTAAGTCTTGAGTAGAGGGGGGGCGTGCGCTTCTCCTTGCGTGAACGAACCCTGGCCCTAATTATGGAGCTTGATTCGACGACGGGATCTAGATCTTTTGGGGATCGGAAACCATGTACGCCTTGTCTTTATTTTCATTGCAGTCAGTTTTGTCTTTTTTTTTTATCTGCATCCGATCCATAGTCCTAGGGTTTATTATCCCGATATGTAAATACGTGTACCCATCTGTTCGATTTTGTTGTTGTCTGCCTATTGTACTTCTGCTACTACCCTTTCTATGAATAATGCACCGTACTCGATCGGGTGGCTTTCGGTTTTATAGGCCAGAAAGAGGGCAGACGGGAGGCAGATACCATAGAAGAAAAGAAAAGATCTATACCTTTACCCAAACACGTAGCAGTTGCTGGCGTGTCTGAGTCTTCGCTGCCGCTAAAATAATGGACTGCTTGTGTTGGGTGTTGGTGTTTTGAAGAATGAAGGTGGTGCCTGTCCCTCCATTATCATTTAATGAGACGTAGACGATTCCATGGCCCCTTTTATCGTAAGTCTGATTGACTGCTGTATTGCATTGTTGCAGGAAGATTTCGTCTCCATCATGGTGTGTCATTCGAGATACATGGGTGTGGACTTGGACTCATGGAATATCACTCGATATTACCCATGATGCGATTTTTTTTTTGTTTAATTCACTAATTGCATGCAACCTTACAGTTATGGCAATACCCATGATGCGATTCGGGATGAGTCTTTTTCAAGTTGTGGTTTGGCTTTTCGAGCTTCTATGGTGACGGTCGAGTTTTGTGTTTGATTTTGAAACCGAGGAACCAAGATTGCTGATCATGATAACGTCAGTCAAGTGATCATCTCTGGGCGGGATCCGAACTTGAAAAACCTGCTTATCTATAAGGGGTGACCCCGCAACCTATCCCCTCAAAGTATCAATTAGCACACAACGATAAAAATCAATAACAGAATCATAAATATGCCCCCGCCACCGTTCCAAGGCCCCTACCACTTCAGCAATCACTTACTCTACACTCTATCCCGCGTAGAGGCAGTCGTCACACATGTAGTTGTTCAAGAGCGGCGCTATGTACGTAACTTTCAGACAGAACATGAAATAGTAGGGGTGCTAGAGAAGACTCCAAAAGAACTTATGAATGATGTGTTGAAGGAACTTGTGGCGAGGGCGAGGGCCGAAAAGAGGGGGGTAGATGGGATGAGGGCGCTTGAGAGTGCAAAGATGGTGGAGGAGATAGTAGGTGTGGTGAGGAGAGCGAGAGTTAGGGTGGGCTTGGAGTGATGGCAGGTGCGGCGAGAGCTGTGTAGTTGTATGGGGGTTGCAATGGCGCACGGAGTAGCTAAGGTAATCATATTAATAGAGAATGAAACCAAATTTTAGAGATACCGAGGAGATAATTGATTACTAAAAGCTATGCCTAACTAAAACCACATTTTTTATGGCGATGGACAAACGTCCCATCTTCAAGTATAATGTATAATGAAACCGTTTCCGAATACTCCCACCTCATTAATAAAGCAGTACCAGCCTCAACTTCCAAAAGACTCCTTCTACAACTTCAAATACCCATCCCAGATATTAGATTTTTAGCTATGCCCCATAAATGCAATCGAACCCAAAGGTTCCTAATTGCTGCAGCGCCAATTCGAAGTGCCGTTCCCCTCTGGCATCCTCATCCTCCACGCTCCCCTCACCCCCACCATTCGCCTCTTCCGGCAGCAACAACTTTCTACAATCCTGGCCCATTCCTATTAGGGCCGTTTCTACCTCCTCCAGCATATGCGTGACCCACTCATCCCCCACATGCTCATTCAACCTCTCCAAACGTGGGTGCTCATCCTCCAATACGCCCAAAAACGCACACAGCGGCATCAACCTATCCGTAATCTCTTCTTGCGGTATACGGCCCTTAGTTATCTCGAAAATAACGTTTTCGAGGGTTTCTATTAGCGAGTTAGTGTCAATTAAGAGCTGCATCATTCCTAGAGTTAGCTCTAGTCGTTCTCGAGCAGCGATTGCTGATTCTGGGTTGTCCGTTTTAGGCGTGGAGTGACGCGGTGCAGCTGAGGGTGAGGATAACTCTGAGTGTGGCATTTTGCTGATTTTTGTGGGAATTGCGTAATTAGGTGTTGAGAAGCGATAACGGTTATGATTGTTATGAGAATTTTTCGGTGAGCAGGAGATTTAACGGTTTTGCTCTTGAATCTTGGTGGACTTACGTTTGGGATACTTAATGAGGACAGTAACTAACGGAGGCGACAGGGGCACTAAGGAACTTCTATGTACCTGGTCTACGAACCAGATTTTTCCAACTGTGGAAGCTGCAGTAGATATAATGGATGTAGACCTGAGTTGACTATCCTATCATAGGAGGAGAGGGGGCGGGTGACGCGAGGTCGGGCGTGTGCTGGATTGAATGCCGGGATGTAATTCCTCACATCAAGAAGCCGCTTGGTGTTAATGATCATCTGATCATTACCAGTTGCTGAATAGAAGTGGGCTTATAGCTAGATTGGGTTTGACGATAATAAGACTCACCACCTGGGAGTCATACCGGATAGACACGATCTTGGACATGGATACAGCCTAAAGCACTACCTACATGAATCGAGTGATTTCTGGTGATCGAACATATGGAAGAGAAAGATATAAGAAACAGCAAACAGAGCTCTGGTATTAGTAGGATTTGGACCCTAAATTCCTCTCGGAAGCTAGAGGTGGCTTGGTGTTGAGATATTAATTTATTCTGGCATTACGGCACCTATGACAAGTAAACTGGTTTTACGGCTTCGAATTAGTTACGCATGACTACTTGTACTTATGTAGTTTCAATACGCGACGTTCCTTACCAATAGGCTTTCGGATATTCTTTCATCACCGAACTTGAGTGTAGGGCGGAGACATGAGAAGAGTTCAAATAGATCTATAGAGGAAATAATTCTCGAGGTCAGTGTTAGCCCCGCTTTAGTGGTCGTCGAGAAGGGAGTATTATGTTATTAATAGTGGATTGTGTGCTACCTATTGAAATATCCGGTCTACTCCGTTCTCAAATAAGTCAGTAAAAAAGAACCTGATGGCGTTCATGGCAATGTAAGCTTACATGCACGTAATTACCAACCTCAAATACCAAAGATAAAAGTAAAATTAATAATAATACTTGTTGAGGGGCTAAATACATATTGTAGAATCAAACAGGAAAAAAAAGATGACCGTTTCTGGTGAGACGAAGAATTTGAGTGGTTCAGTTAGAAGTAGCAAAACTTCGTAGGCATAGCCGTACTACTGTAATGCCTTCAAACCTGAGCTCAAATCCAGAGCCCTCCAATATAAAAATATTAAAGGGGCCATCAAAGAGTAGACCATTCGTCAAAATCCTTGTTGCCGTTTCCACTTTTCCCTCCAACCCTTAAACCACGGGCTGTCCTCCAATGTGGTAACCTCCCAATCCTTCTCGACTAAACCCTCCTTCACTTGCTCCTCACTCCACCTGTCCAACATTGGCAACAAGACATGCTCTAAATGCCACGCATTCTTGTAATCCATCAAGTTCTTCTTCCCCTCTCTCAAGACCTTAGATGAAATCTGCGGAACTCCCGGCTCATCCCTGAGTTCAGTTGCTGGGGTGAACACTGCCTTGAAGTTGAATACAATCGCGCCAGATAACGGGATTCGCCGCAGGGTTTGCCAGTCAACGCGGAGGTAGATTTCGTCAACGGTCAGCGCTGGATCTTGTGAAAGGCGGTGGAGCTCTTGGTTATCGCCAGGTGGTGCAAATAATGGCTTGCCAAACTCGAAACCCCAGGAAGCGCGTTGAATAGGCGCGCTGGGGAGCAGTTTGGTGAAGAATCTAAATTTATTAGGGCAAAGGCACTACGAAGAAAAGAGGAGAATAATGAAATACCTGTCTAAAGATAACTTAAGCTTCTCTTTATAATCCGGAACCGGAGAATGTATTTCTGCCAACGTCATTCCCATTTTGGTTCCTAGAGTCCATCCGATAGCGCTGCAAATAACACCAGCCTTAAGCCTGTATTGCCCCGCTGATTCTGGGTCTGGAATCGTTATCGCAAAGTCTTCCGGGACGTTCTCAAGCAGAACTACAAGTGGGTCTATTTCATTGAGACGAAACCGCTTGTCTAAGATTTTGTTGATGAAGAGGTCTGGAGCCTTCCCTGAGACCGTACTGACGAGACAGAAGTATTGAGGGTAACGAGTTACGAGAAATTGGAGAACCATTTCCATCAATTCCTTACAGGCCGCTTCGGAGCCGGGAAGACTATCTAGGATAGCCTTCCCATGAAGGGCAAACAACTCTCTTCGTTCGTGAATACATTCGATATAGGTATTTTCAAGCTCAATCCACCAGTCAGGTTCCATCTTCCAGAATGCTGAGGGTGTGTTAGTGTTTAGGTTATAGGGGAAATAAACTGTTTATTATTAAATAGTGGTGGTTATAACATACCCATAGTTTGATGGTATGCCCACCGAAACGGTCTATGTGGTCTGGGTAAAGCTTTCTCAATATTGAATTCAGGATAGACATTTGGTAATCTTACTCCGCTTAACATAGCGTAATCAGGAAAATCTCCAAAAGATTTGATTTCCTCTTGACTTCGAGTGGTCGTTGGCAACTCCCCTGAAGAAGTGCTGGAACTTGGGGTATTCGACAAAGGCGAGGCGATGGATCCACGTCTTGAAGGTAAAAAGTCTGTTATCAATTTCGCGAGGGACTGGTTCTTTTGATTTGAGGCATTCTCTAGAAGTGATGCATTGGCCAGGGCGAAATCCTTCTTGGTGCATTTCTCGGTGCTGAGATACGTTGAGTCGGAACTTGAGGATTTAAAAGAGGCATCTCTAACAGTGGTAGCTTGTCGATTCAATTTCTGCTGGTGTTTGGATGAAAATACAAACCAAATCACAGATCCGAGGACCATCAAGACCGCAGCCGCAAAGCCGTAATATAGCAACCATACATCAAGCATTGTGTCGGCTTTCTTTTGTGATGAGTTAGAAAGAAGAACAGGAGATGTTTAGTCGATGATAAATGTAGCTTGTCTGTCCACGAGTGGTAGAAGTGCGGTTTATATATACATGTATATATCAATCGGGCAAAGGGGGCTTGGCTTTTAGGGCTGGGTGAGGTGGTGGGAGCTGAGGGCTGGGGGGGGGGGGGGGCTGTACCCCGATTGGAGATAGCTCTAGTGTCAAAATTTAAGCTGAAGGTTGAGAATAGTATTTTCCTGTACCTAAAACCAACAATTAATTCCCAATTCTATTAAGAACTTCTACAGAAAATCTAATTTACCTTGCTCCCAAAGCCCATCTCTGATCTCTGCGGGGTGATCCGATATTTGTAGCAAATAGAGGGGTGAAGTACGTACCAGCAAAACTCCGTATCGAAGGGTTTAGTATGCGGGATCTGTCTCCTTTAAACCCAGAGGGAGATCTTCTGCAGCTTCCACCATATACATATGCGTGTCATGCTCTACTGTCAATATTTCTATATATCTCCTAATAAGGTGAAATCATCCACTCCCTCCGCCAGATCATATGTATGTGCGTTGTAATTATATCGTAGCCAGTGAAATCTTGAGTTGAAAAATGTAGTCGAGAATAACACAGGTGCATGTGGTACGATAAAGTAGAGTATAGGCTGTTTATGGTATGGTGCTTGCATATAACTGAGAGTAATCTATAGATATAGCTAGTTTTTCAGGGAGTGGAGAATAGTGAGCTTACACCACATATGTTTCTGCTTCATTTTCCCGCAGGTGTGGTCAATCGGAGAGGTCGGAAATCGTGGCCACAAGATAGGAAAAAGAAAGAAAATCCCAGGCAAGCGTGCGAACAGAAATTAGCGAAAGCACTCATCACTTTCCAGGTTTTCATGTAAGTTTCACAGAGCCTTATCCAACTGGCTTCCTCCTATTCGTCTTAACTGTCTCATTCCATGTAGGTTGCGTACCTTGCTCAGATCATCACCATCGGCACTCGGATCTACTCTGATAAGCGGGGAAACGCCTTGTCCGCGTGAAGAGACCCAAGGACTTTTTTCCCCTATTTGGTATGTAGCTCCTTGACCTGTGATATTCGCTGCATCGAGATATCGAGATAGGGAACACGAACCGCACATTAAATTGGCGAAAGGCATACCTTACCTACCACCCTAGGTCTAAGGAATTTCAAATTCCAAGCTGGGCAATTAATTGAATTTTTGCTAAGAAACTGATATCGATAAGCACCTTAGACCTCTAGCTTCAAAACATCTTACCGGCGAGTAGCGCGGGGTAACCATGGTATAGGAAACACAAGATGAAATGGTGGGAAGATTGCACCTGGATTATTCACCGGTGGATGGTGTCATGTTGGTTCCCTTGACTATTGTTTCAATAATAATTTCTGGGCGTACACGAGACATTGCACCTACCCAGTAATACTTGGAGCCTGATTTGAGTCAGAAATAGCGATAGGAGGTTGAAATAACATAAAGAGTAAACCTACTCTACATGTACCCATCCTATCGGGGCATTGGCCTAATACCTACCCCGGCCCATATGATCGTCCAAGCCACACCTACTTTGGACGTCCAGGCGAAAATATTTTTTAAGCGGCAGTTTCACCTCTATCCCCTCTTCGCGCAGAAGTGGCTGCGCATTTGACCGGCTTCCAAATATATTGAAGGGCAAGACCGACCCAGCGACAACCACATCCAGTGGCTTGGTCTGTAACTCGAATGTCACGAGGTAACGGGTAACGAATAGCTTGCATCTCTATTTGTTGCTAACGTCGTATTTAGGTCTTGGATTGAACGCCTCTATTGCCACTGTCTTTGGTTACATGTATGTATGTGACATCAAAAATCGGATAGTTCAATAGATAATCTTGTGGTCTGATGTTCTATGATTTTGGGTGTCCAAAGAGGAAATTGAATCCGGGGCAGCTACATGTAGTGACCAGTACGGCTGATCGCGAAATTTGAAAGAAAATTGGCATATGGACCACGTTTGGACAAGTCCAAAGAACCCGAGACAGCAGTGTCTTCAGGTATTTGATGCCTATTTTGGAATCGTGCAGCTTATAGGGCTGATGCAGGGGGCGCGGTTATGATGGTACCCGGCCCTTCTAGAATGCTTGTTTCATCGTTGTGCCGAGCAGGAACAGAGCTACTTCCGAATCGAAGGGTTTTTGTTGCTATTGATTTTATGCTTTCAAAGGGTTGATATTGAAGCATGAGACTTTTGTACACTTTAACTTAGCTGTGGATTATTATGGTCGTGAGTCAATACTTTGAGGCCTGGCTTTCAGGATGCTATACTGCTACTTGCGATCGATGTAGACTATGATACTAGATGGTGATGAAGCTTCGAAGAACAAGATACATAGCTTGATATTGTTGGAATAAATGGCCGAGTACCTATTAAAACAGAGTGCAACCAGGGGAAATCAAACCTTGACTTCCTGTCAAATACACGGAAAAAGACACCAAGTTGCGCTGATTTATGGGGTATTGCGTCTTAACGGATGCCTAAATGCTGATTGGGTTGGATCCCCAGACCGTGACCAGACACGTCGTTTCAAAAATTTCTTATTATCTAGACTTCCTAGTTTATCATTTAGGGTCCTTTTGGGATTCGGCCCTTATAGAGAACATATCACTCGACTTCTGTTTTGGGGCAGAAATTTTGTGTCTAATAGAAGTTGATGGCAACTGAGGGTTGATGATAACGACAGAGTTTATGGTTATGGGCTGGGAGTTAGTAGCGTAATTGTTTTAAAGCTCTGCTTTCATAGATTTAACGTTGTTATCTGGATCCGCAAAATGGCCTGCCAAACGCAACTTGTTTCTTACAACGGGGCCAATTACCTAGAACGGTTTCGGACGGCTTTCAAATTAAACGCTCTAATCACTTTCGATATCAACCAGTCGAGTGACGAATCATGAATGATAGTCCAACTGATAATAGTAATGGGTATTATTGTATAGAAAGGGGCTTTCTAGGGACGAAATGATAAAGGAGGATGGATTATGTTTTCTGGAGCAGCAAGTCAGTACTATTTTCTCCAAGTTGGTTAGCACTCCAGCATGTGGGGGCTGACTAATCTGAAATGCCCCACCTTCTCAACTTTAACAAGCAAGCAAACAACGAAAAATCACAAATAACGAAGCAGAATGGCTACAGCTACCCCGCCTACCTTTACTGAGCTCAACGAACATCTCACCGAGGTCCTCAGCAATCCCTCGACAAGTATACTTAACGTCCGCCTCCTGGAAACTTTCACCGCTCAACTGCCCGGTTCGCCTAAGCTCCTCCACCTTACCTCTCCGCGCACACTACTAACAAGTCCAACAGAGCAACCCACAACTCACCTCACTGGTACTCTTGTACCACTCCTCGCAAAAGTCCTCGCAGTTGTGAATGAGGATCCCACACCCATAACTACGCTCCTGCAGCACCTCCTCACCACGACAACCTTCACAGAGCTTTTGGCCTTCGCCTCCCAACCCCAAACCCTTCAACTTCTCTCAGCGGCTTCCCCAGCAGTACGCATACTCGGTCTCTCGATTCTGGAGAAGGCGGCAGCAGCCCCATCTGAGGTCGGGATCGTCGCAAGCTGGTCGGACGTCGTGCAGAAGCTCGTCGAGGTGCTCCTTTGCGACTCTGACACAGGCGTTGCATCTAGAGCGGCAGATGTTCTTGTGAAGTTGTTAGCGGCGGATCTAGGCGTTGGTTTACTATGGCGGAGGATTTTCGAGGATGAGGGTGTGTATGGGACATTTTTCCGGCTGTGCTCATGGAAAGGAGAGGAGCTTCCAGAGGGGAAAAAGGCAAAGACAGAAGCGCAGGGGAGGCTCCTACAAGTAGTCGCACGGATGGCAGCACTGGACTTCAGTGCTGTATCAACCTCAGCATTCCCAGCGATTGATAAGAAGTACGCGGCATCAGAGGAGGCTTGCGGAGGACTACTAGAGTTTGCCGCGCGTTGGGCTGTAGATGCTGACGGCGATGTTATGATGCACATGGTGCTCCTCGATTTTTACACGTTATTACTACAGTCGACGAAAGCACTCGACTATCTCGAGACCTCTGGCCTTCACGGTGCTACCGCTGGCCGCTACATTGCCCCTGCAGCATACTCAGACGATATAATCGACCAACAACTTCTCGAATCTAAAGCAGCTGAATACCTTGCGACCTATGCCCGTCTACACCCGACGAAGCTCTTTGACTCTCCGGCCCCCAAGATCCCCGACGGACGGAACCCAAAACGGCGGCGCATGTCATTGGGTACTGGCCCACCGCCGCCCGCAAAGACGCTCATTGATGTGACACTGGAGCGTATTGAGCAGACGCTCAAAGACACCCCCCAGCATCCGCATACGCCTTCTATGGATATTCTGATGGCGATGCCTCCTTCTGTGCTGGTAACGGATCTTGCAAAAAAGGTTGTGGCGATGATCCCGCTGTCGCCGCCCCAAACGGCCTACATTGATGCTTTGACAGCTGTAATCACAAAGCAAGGTAGCAGCAGTGAGGTATACGATAACTATTATGCCACCCACACAGACATGTGGCAAAAGATCAATAGCTATGTGTCTACACTAGCCCTTAGAGATGTTGTTCTGGCATGCATGAACTTTATCGAGAAATTATTAGTCGCACAGGACTCTACGGGCACGTACTGGGGGGCCAAAGAAATCGTAAACGCGCCCAATGTGATGGCGTTCCTGATTACCCCGCCGCAGAGGTTTTCTGGAGCGAGGGATCCCATGAGTACCGCTTTTGTGGTGGCTACAAGGAAGCTAGAAGTCCTAGAGACAGTGCTACGGGTTCTGGGCAGAGCTGGTGATGAGGTTCCAGGCGCAGAGGGATGGAAGGTTGTGGTGCAGGAGAGGTTAAAGGTCGGGTTGTGGGGCAACGGCGCTGGTGGGGAGGTGGCCACAATGGAAATGTGAAGACTGTCAGAGAAGATTGTCCACTCTGTTGCTTGTAATGTTTTTTCCGGTGATGTCTGGTGGTTGTGGGGCCGCTCCCCTGTTTTCCGTATCCATCAAACGGCCTATATCCGAATACCAGCAAATCTAGCTATCTAGCTAAATACAAAGATTAATGCTGAGCTTTTTCTACCATCTTCATGCAATTTCCAATATATAAACCTGGTGACACAAATTAACACAACTAGCGTAGCACAAAGTCCAGAATCCAGACCCCAAAGTGTATTCCATGGGTACAGCCAGATCCTATAAACCTGTCCCGTATCAACCAACATGTCTCACGTCACCTCGCATAAACATCTCCCAAAACCTTTCCTTATAACGTCGCTGCCTAGCTGCCGGCCTAATATCGTATAAGCCGCTATGCAACAATCTTAGTGTCGTTTCACAGGTTACCCGGTTCCAAGATGTGGTTACTGCCCCAAAGTCTAAACATATCGCTACGTCGTATACATGAATCACAAGGCTAAGGGCGTGCAATTAGATTCGGTGGTGTAGGGAAGTTTACCGCTCCCCCCCATCTTTCTTGGCAGGGCGAACACGTACTCTCCCGGGAGAAAATCTAACCTCGAATTTATATGGGCCTTACGGAAAATTGGAAGAGATGTCGTAGGAATAGCTACCGGCCTGTCAAGGTTCCCAAAAGGCTGGAACCCCTTTATTCTCCATGAGTCCAAGAAAACTAATGAGTTAGATGACTTAATGAGCGGGGCATCCGGGCTCGGAGGTTGTCTGGCTTACCTCTCAGGTTTGACTACTTTCGTGATATAAGCTTTTCGTTGATTCTCGGGACCCCCCCCCCCCCCCATGTAAGACCGGTACAACCAGTGATTCTGGCTCTCGTCTCTTAACCACCTGTGGGCAAATAACGGCACTGATATAGCTCGGGAGAGAGTGTGGGAGAAGAAATCTTCCTCTCCACGATCTGGGTGTACGATGATCATGCGGCATTGTACTGATTAACCTTAAGCAAGCAGTGGTCCAGGCTAATCCAAGTATCTATTGAACATTATATTATTGAGACCACTATGATGACGGACCTTTGAGCTTTCGTGGGATTTTGTTACCGCAGTGGTATTCACCTCTCGTTAAAGGATCAGGAAGTTCTCTTCATCACCTACTTTCACGCACCCTCTGGACCGAACCAAGATACCGTGCATCAAGTGACTATACATTATATCATCGGTTTTTTCTACACCGCGGATATCGTCTGCTGACATTTTACGCTCAGCCATCAACTTTAAATTTATATTGACAAAACCTTTTTGGAGCAGGTTGAGTTTTATGAGAATGAAAAACGGTCAAAGTGAGGCGGTTGCCTTGGATAGGAATGGTTGAGCGAGTGAGGAGCTGTGACCCTATACATCGCATCACACTCGATCACACGCACTATAACCGAACTGCCCTAGAACCCCCACAGAAATACCCACTCTCTTTCATAACACTTACCCGATTAACAAAACCCTGCATATGCTGTCTCCTCTATACTGCTACCCCCATACTAGTATTTCGCTGACGTTTTTGAACTAGGCCATTATTGCATACACCCAAAATCATGAGCTTGGCGTATTTTTGTATGGCATGCAATATCAGTCGCGTCCACAAACCTCAGAGAAATACGAGTACGCGAGTGGGCATCTGATTACTTAACTTTGGCGCAGCCCGTTTGGAGATCTATTCCCTAGTGGATAATATCGAAGCCTGGGATTAACAGTAACGAGCGGGAAGAAATCGCTGCGGCATTACTGCTAAAACTCGAAAAATTGGCTATCTCCGGCCAGGGATTATCACTCGAGTGATTGGTTGAATGGCATTGATCTGCATCAGAAGTTTCCCATACAAGTAATTTTGATCTCTGGAAGCTAGCCAATTTTTCGAGTTATGGCGGTATTAAGAAAACAAAACTTCGATCTAGCACCCGCGGACGCGATGCGCGATTCTCGGGACCAGAATGCGGGTAGGTAGAAAAAAGGAAGTGTAGGTAGTACTAGTGTACTCCCGGGTTTCCGGACTGCGGGATCAGCCTTAAGGTTACTGTACCGGTCGGTCATCTCAATGTTCGCTTTACTCGTAGAGAGTTTAAGCCACCAAATATTTCTGGCAAGAACAAAAAAGATCAGCGCAAAAATTACCAATCCCGTTTTCGTTTTTCCTCTTTTGACCCTGGACCGCAGATCTTTTTTGTTCGACGATCTTTGAACTCTCTTTTGCAAAGCTTGGAGTAGCTGGGGAGGCCCGGTAGATATCTGCCGTATCTCCGTTCTAACGTGTTTCACCGGGAACGCAATCGTCACCGGGAAAGCAATCAAGCATGACATGAACGGGATCGCGAATTGCTGTGAAAATTCAAAATCACCCAGAATTACAGAACTAAATACACTAAAGTCATTTTGAGATATCTTTCGAATATTTCTGATGATTGTTACTAATAGGTAGCGAGTATATAGCTGTGGGAGGGTCATCAAGGCTTGATGACAGCTGATGACCCCACAGCTATATACTCGCTATAATCGTAAGAAATAGTCAAAAACACCAAAAGAACTCTCCTATACATGTATGGCTTCATAGATATTGTTTTGGTGCTCATAATGCCCTTCTGTGAGCTTCGGTTGCTTTCCTGGTGATGATCGCTTTCCCGGTGAAACACGTTAATACAGCTATCGGTAGAATTATTGCGTTGGAAAATCGCCCTGCTCTCGGCGTGATCGTCGGTCCCTGTTTCCGCAATAATTCTACCGATAGCTGTAGAGTACAGTCACTCATGGGGTGAAGGCAGATCCTGTCTGATGGCGGTCAGGGATTTGAGGCCAATAAAAGAGTTAGGTTTTGGACGCCAAGGGAAAATTACTGCAAACAGAACCATCAGACAGGATCCGCTATCAGTAGGTGTAGGTACTCGCGTGTACAGCTTGCGGTAAGATTATTGTAGAAATATGGGAGGAGTCCTATTGGCTTGCCCAGCCACAGAAACCCTGTTTTTAGACCCCTGTTTCTACAATAATTTTACCTCTCACTGTACGCGAGTATAAATGGATAAACTTGATTCCCTACTAGCTTTAGCTAAATACGAATTACTCTACTCGCTGCTGGAATAGTAATTGCTGATCGCGATGTCGTGGCGATTAATACTACATAGCAATATAAGGCGGTCGGTTTGAACTGTGGCGGTGACCTGGAACCAACGAGAGCTGACTCATTTACGGCCCCCATACCATTTGCTTTTTCTTTTTGCTTGATTGGCTTGATACCCGCTTGGACTAGCTGAGAGTAGGCCATCGGACAAATAATGTATTTACTTACTTCCCGACTCATAGCTTAATATAACGACTCATAGCTGAATATACGGAACATACATGGTGATGACTACAACACCTACCTATCCTTGCGCTTCCGTTACACACGAGCGTACGTGCTGTAGAACTTGACGATCAGAGTTTGAACCCAATTATTGAGCACGGAGTTCCGCACCATGTACGTGCGCGCGTTGGCCTTGATTACTTAGAAGTAATTAAGATTCATATGCCAATAACTGGAGAGTTAATACCCAGGCCGCGGGGCATGGTTACCTAATTTGTGGCCTAAGTGCAACTCGGAAATCCGATATGGGGCGTAATACGAGGCCTGATACGAGGCCCAATCCAGCGCTGCAGATAAGTAGGTATCGTGAGAAGCACTGACAGTGTCAGTAAATTAATATATAAACCCATCAGGACCCCCAACAAATATTTCCATACGGATTCCGCTACTATACTCGCCATAAACAATATGGACGCAATACTAACTCCCAACTGGGGACTCGTTCTTCTAATATCACCCTTCCTCTTTCTCATTGCCGTCGGCATCCGTAATCGCTACTTCCACCCCCTATCCTGCTTTCCAGGACCATTTTTAGCCAGCACCGGTCCCCTTTATTCGATGTGGGCAAGTAACACTGGCCGCGAACATGAGATCATCGCAAGCCTGCACAAGAAGTACGGACCGATAGTGCGATACCAGTCTGATATGCTTCAATTCGCGGAGGCGGGCATGGTGCCCGTCATATATTCTCGCTACGCAAACAAGACCGAATTTAACCGCATAAACCTGCCCGGACAGGTGCCGGGTGTAGCGGGGTTGATCGAGCATAAGGAGCATTCGGCTCGTCGCAAGCAGATTGCGAGCATGTATAGCATGAGTGCGGCGAAGCAGGTGGAGGATATGGTGGATATGAGAATTATGGAGTTCAAGAGCAGGGTGAGGGAGAAATATGTAGGTGTAGGGAAGAAACTGGATTTCGCGAGGTGGACACAGTAAGACATACCTCTGATTCGATGCCTAATACGCATACATACTAGTAGAGTGTTATATATACTGACATAGAACGGTAGGTATTTTGCATATGATGGTTAGTGACCTTGACCCAAGATTAACTCAGTCTAAGTAGTTGTACATATGCTCATATGTACGGCCGCACAGTGATCAGCGAGGTAGCGTTTGGCAAGCCATTGGGGTTCATGGCCTCCAACTCGGACGTGCATAATCTCATTGCTTCAGCACACAACGGCCTAGTCGTGCTGGTTACCCTTGCCAGATCCGATTGGCTCAAAAAAGCAGTGCGACACCCGTTAGTAATGAAATATTTTACACCAGCCATGAGCAAAGAGACAGGAATTGGGCGGTTATTAGAAGAGCGGGATACAATTGTTGCAGAGAGAATCAATGAACAATCAACTGGGGCTCATATAGGGAAACGAGCAGATTTGATGCAGCAGTAAGCTTCAGGACCCATCGCACCAAAAAAGAAAGAAAGAAAAAACATGAAGGGACAAACAATCATACTAATAACCATTTCATAGCCTCCTAAATACCCGGGATACCGCCGCGCCCCTTACACTCAATGAAATCAAAGCGGAGCTTCTCGTGGTCATGTTTGCTGGCTCCGATACTACCGCCGCTACCCTCCGTGGGATCCTCCTCAATCTCCTCCACACACCTAGCTACTATCAAACGCTCATCTCTGAGATCGATGCCTACACTGCTGCGCGCCCACCCTTCTCGGTGATCTCCTACGACGATGCCTACGCCCTCCCTTACCTCACCGCCTGCATCAAAGAATCCATGCGCTTCTCTCCTGCCACACCCTCCATCTTGCCTCGGTACCCAAATAAGGGCGGCCTCACGCTTGCCGACGGCCGCTACATCCCAGAGTTCACAAAGATGACTGTCAACGCCCGCGTCTGTCAGCGGGACCCCAAGGTGTATGGCGAAGATGCAGACGTGTATAACCCGCAGCGGTGGTTGGAAGGTGGGGACAAGGTGCGAGAAATGGAGCGCCATGATATCCACTTTGGCGCGGGCTCGAGAACGTGTCTCGGGAAGAATATTGCGTATCTGGAACTGTGGAAAATGACGTTTGAGTTTTTCCGCACGTTTAAACCGACGATTGTGGAGCCGGAGAAAATGACGATTAGGAATATCGGGTTGTTGGTACACGATAAGCTGTATGTGCAACTTGAGGAAAGGGCATAGGGTGGTTCGTTTGATGAGATTATGATGGGATGGCTATAGTATACAATATAGCAGATTGTTATTTATTTTACTGGTTTTGAGCGATAAAATTGTTAATTATGAACATCACTATTCTTTAGTTTTGTAATAGAAACTTTAGGCCAACGGTCAATTTTGAAAAATTTGCCACCAACCAAAACGGTTCCCCCAACTAGCAGTTTTGAACTCATTTTTGTATGGGGATCGACATGGAACCATCAATTTTGGTACCCGAAGCCATCAATTTTGCAACCAGCATTTTTCACAAGTGATGATTGGCCTAGACTTTCTAATAACGTGATTGCATTCGGGTATCTCTATCGTTGACTCTGTAATTTCGTTGGTTTGCTGATTTCTATCTTCAATAGTGCAATAAATATCATTGACCATCATAACCCTAACCCACCAATAGTGCAATCTCCGCTGTTTTCAGGATTTGTATTGTGGGGATTTGTGACTCACGCAAAAACTAATCCAAAAATGTATGTAGTGGTGTATGCTACTTAAGGTTAGGCCTTTGTTAATCACGGAACCATCGCGAGCCTAATATATTGTGATTACCGGGGATAGACGAGGAGATATGCCGTTTTTCAGGTAGGTACCAAATGATGTGTCATTTTCCGTACCAGCAATAAGAAGATGCCGTTTTCACATACCTAGTAGATCGCTCGCGGCGCGCGCGGCGGGGAAACCAAAGACTCGGCCCTCATCTGTGATCGAACGGGATTAACCCCACCAATGTAAAGAAATCTAGTTATCACCTCAAGACCCCTCAAAACCCCGTGGATTCAGCAGATATGGGAAGCCATCAAGATATTGACAGCGCCATTCCCAGGAACCATTACTACATAGCAAGCCCTGAAAGATGTGCTCTTCTCACTTTAGAATGCTGCCGCTGGCTCCCTGTAGGCCTACAGTTCGTACCATGAGGATGCAAGTCCTGCCGATACTTTGACCGGCCGGCCGGCCGGCCCAAGTAGAGCATCCCTGAATCAATGTCCGCTGGCTCCTAACTCGCTTAAAATCTCTCATTGCTCACCTTTTCTAGTTAATGTTGATCGAAGAGCTAGAAGCGTTAATGCCGAGGAGCAACAGCTTTGAAGACTGGAATGTGGACCATGAATTATTGGTATGTCATTTTGGGTTAAGTTCGGCCTTGCGGAATCCCTGTCAATGCTTGACAGCCAATCAGAAGTAAAGTCCCCTGGCTTGGCAGACCCTGACAGCGAGCCACTTCGAAACATCGTCTGGTGGGGTTGCGCCTTGTCCGGCGAAGCTACATGTATCAACTGCGGTACTCTAGCTCTAGTTCGGTGAAGCTGCTCTAGATCTATATGCCCCTCACGTCCGTACCATCGAGCTCGACAGTTTCCCCTCGCAAATAACAAAAATGCCGATCCTCCCCACAGGCGCCTATGTTATCTACAACGAAGTATTCGAGATGGTGCTCCACGCAGAATACGATGCAGTCGATCCGGATGATTCTATCACACTCAAGGTTCGCGACGAAAATAGAGCAGATCTGGTGGGTGGAGCGCTGCCCGGAACCTGGTCATGTTACTAGCCCCAAATATTTGATCACAAACACAGCTAGCAATAAATGTCTGTCGAGGAATATGAACTATTCACTGCTAGCCGAGAGCATTGGTGCGAAGCAGGAAATGTGGTGTCTAGACGACGATGGCGAAGACGACGATGGTGAAGACGACGATGGTGAAGACGACGATGGTGAACCTGGGTGAATATTCGGTTGCGAAATCTATGCCTTCTTCCTATCTGCTAATACTTTAAGTAAATTAAAGGGTTCAGATAAAGCTGTATCAAACGGATTTTGGCGGGGGTAGCAGCTATGTTGAGCTGCACCTAGCTGTTGAATTCACTTCTTATACCACGCGGTTGTAAGTTAAATGTGGTCTGGGAACCCCGCCCAGAATATAACATATATGGAGTTTACGATTAAAGTAATTAATTGTAATAGTACCGTGTATATGACCGAGGGCATAGGGTTATCCACCAAGCACGATGCGAATCTAAGCTGGAAGTTCCTAGCGCCAAAAACCAGGTTTCCAGCCGGCTGGTTCGAAATTGGGAATGTTCTTTACAACAAGATTCTAAGACAAACATATCTGAGTTCACCGCCCCTACTTGTCGAGATTCCGAAGTTAAACAACAAATTAAAACTTCCAATGTATCGCGAGAGGTGGGCAACTCAGTGGAGAATTTACCGATCTCCTGCTCATGCTAGCACCGAAACAAAAGAGGAAGACAAGGGTCCATCATGGATTATAGAAAATCGACTTACTGGGGGAACGTTGGGATCTCCTGGTGTTTTAAACAATATTCCTTTTGAGGACGCGTCCATAACACCTTGGATTTTGGAGTTCTATTGGGGGGGGGGGGGGGGGAACTTCTTGGAGGATCAAAAATCAAAAAACGGCAGCCTACCTAAATGCGGCATATTCAGTGACTTTAGACTGTGGTAGTACAGCATATCGTGTCCAAGCCATCCCTTCCGGCTGTAAGACGTCCCCATATGATGAGGATATGAAATGGTGGTTCAGGTACGTCTCCTGATCATATTCAGTGTCCGGGCCTGTAAGTAACCTTTCATAGAAATGTATATGACCACAACTGAGCTATGCGATTCTTCGTTGTCACTCCTGAAGTTAGAAAGTCGCTGAATTACAATTTCCTCTCATACCTCCCGGTATATAGGTTGCAACTATGCGATATAAATACCCTTGTCTATAGAGTAAACTCGAAGTAGAGTTTAATCAACGGCGTCGATTTGATGTGGGCAGAACAACGGGCACCCCACGAGCTACGAACCCGGCGGCCGTTGGGAAGCCCACCCCGCAGAGGCAGAGGTGCATGTAGCTCTAAGGGGAGTAGAGTAAAAAATAAATAAAAAACGATGCCTTATAGAGCTCAGGAGTTGGGGGGTAGGATTTGCAGGCTTATATATATCTATATTGCTAGAGTCCTTCTAGTTATAAGAGCTACTTGAGCTATGAATTCAGGTACACAGTAAGATTCACTCGGGCCACGTGACAGCAAGATTAACACAAAAAAACATGTTCGTGACGTAGCTAGCGTACCGACCTTCTCGCAAATTTGTACGCAGAAGTCATGATCAACTCACGCTTGGTAAATTGAGCGGTCATGCCATGACGAGGTGGCTTGTGGCTAGTGTGGTGGTGGTGGTGGCAGTAGTGGTGCACCAGTAGAGTTGTCTCACATGTACCTACTAGTAGAGAGCAGCTGGGCCGCACGTAAGACCGGTACCAGTTACACTGACATTGGATCATTACTTATCCGCTCGACCCCTCACACCTTTATGCACCGAGGGACACTACCGTACCACTTCTTCTAGATTGGGAATCTGATGCCCGATTGCAATTGTGAAAGGTGACCTTGCTAAGTACCTAGAATACTCGGTGTGGTCCAACAACTCGCAATGATTACCGTACAGTACTATTTTGCCATATTAAACTAACGCGATTCACTTCAACACAGATGAACAGCTGTGATAATCTGCAATTAACCAAGCCGGTCGTATGTTTATCCGGGGCACAGCTGCAGAAATACATCATGGTACATGTATTCTGCGGTATTCAAGATCACTTCTGACCACAACTATTCGTAGATCCCCGAGAGATACTCGAGAGTAGAATAGACACATCCCATCTAGGTGCGGCTTATATTCCATCTGTCCCACAGATCGGAAACCGGCTAACCATCCAATCCAGTAGCGAAGTCGAAGCTGCTGTCTGCACGCCACGGTTGCACTCCCAGGGTTCGGCCGGGCACTCGCGTTCACCCGACCCCGGACAGTATGACAAATCCTGCACAAGCCCGTGGAGGGGGTCGTTCCATGCGACGCTCCCCGTTATTGTCTTATCTCTTGGCTGCCCTCCAAGGCAATCATCACCAGAGTCCTTATGTAACTAGGGCCTAGAGGAGGTGAAATAGGTGTAAATACCAAGGGTACCTTACCTGCTCTGACTTGTCCCACTTCTCTCTCTCTTTTCCTTATACGCTCTCCTCCCACTCTTCCACGGTTGCTGCCGCTTGTTATAATAACTCATAACAGCCCACCTAAAAGCTAGAAAGAACCTCAAATAAAAGGAAGAAAGCATAAATACCATAATGGCTCACTCACGCCTCTTCGCAATGGCTTCAGCCACCACTACCATGTCGACCGCAGAATCTGTCCCCGAAAACGCGCCTATGGACCTATCGCACCACTTTAACGCTACCAGTCGCTCGCGAAACTCAAATGCCATGAAGGAATTATACAAGTACTTCATGACTCCCGGAATGATAAATCTTGCTGGAGGTATGTCTCCTTGCTCCAAGCGAATATCTTCATGCCTGCTAATGGTTGTTGCTTAGGTCTTCCATACCCCGAGTATTTCCCTTTCGATACACTCGAAGCTAAGATTGCACCCGCAACCCGCTTCATTGCCGAGTCAGCAGCGAAATACCATTCGCTGCCACCAAAACCCTCAAGTTCCATCTTTTCCCTCTTCTCCTCCAAACCAGCACCCACAGAACTATCCGAAGTTCCAAAAACGGAACACTTCTCAATACCCAAATTCTCCGTTGGGCACACCGGTCTCGATATTGCCACTGCCCTTCAATACAGCCTTGCCGAGGGCCTTACGCCACTCGCAGATTTCATCAAGGATTTTGCGATAAATCATCTTCATGGGGGCAAAATCCCATACGCGAGTCCAGAGATTGTTCTGACATGCGGGAACACGGATGGTCTCAGCAAGGCCCTCTCATTATTAGCAGAGAGAGGCGACAACATGCTCGTCGAGGAATACACCTACCCTGGCGGTCTGCAGACTGCTGAGCCGCTCGGTGTTGGTATAATTCCTGTAGCAGTCGACTCCCAAGGCATGCTTGCTCGTGGAAAGGGTGGTCTTCGTGATGTTCTGGAAAACTGGAACGAATGGGAACAGGGCAAGCGACCACACATGATGTACACCGTTACGGTCGGCCAGAACCCTACCGGTGGTACCCTCTCCCTCCAAAGACGCAAGGACATCTATAAGCTTTGCGAGAAATACGATATCATCATCATCGAAGACGATCCGTACTGGTATCTCCAGTATACCAGCTCCTCACACCCCCCATCTTCTGCCCCTTTCAAGGGCCCGGATGGCAAATACTCCTTCATGGAGGCGATGACACCCAGCTACGTAACCATTGATAAAAGCGGTCGTGTCATCCGTCTCGATACCTTCTCCAAGACAGTCGCCCCTGGTTGTAGGCTCGGTTGGATAACTGCGCAGCCGGCATTTGTTGAACGCATCACGCGCATCGGCGAGGCATCAACCCAAGCACCATCCGGCTTCTCCCAGGCAATGGTCTTTGAGCTGTTAAGTACATGGGGTATGGATGGGTGGATCAAGTGGCTCGAAAATCTCCGACGCCTTTATGAGGAGCGCATGGTAATGATGCGCGAAGTGTTAGAGAAGCACTCCAACGCAGTTCTCCATTTTATCGAAGGGGACTCTATCGTTGTGAAGAAGACCCGTGTATATGAATTTGACTCCCCCGACGGAGGCATGTTTATCTGGGTGCGTGTCCTCATCGAGTCACATCCAGCCTATACCGAGTATACATCAACCCTCGGCCACAGCAAACTCGACATGATGACGAATCTGTGGTCATATATTGCCGAAACGCAATTGTCGATGCCATGTCCAGGCTGGACGTTTGCGCCAAATGCAGAGATCCGCGAAGGAAAGTCTGCCGAGAGGATGCGATTCTGCTTTGCTGCCATCAATGAAAATCAAATTCGGGAGGCAACAGAGAGATGGGGCAAGGGACTACAGGACTTTTGGGGACTGGGGGCAAAGGACATTGATGATTGGGGAAAGAGGCCAGAGAGTGTGAGGGGAGGAAAGGAGGGGGTTGTGTCTCTTGGGTGGACAGGAGGAATGTTGGGTGGGTGCTAGTAAAGAAGAACATGGGGGGGGGTTTACATTATTCTGGTGTTATTGTAATTATTTCTAAAAGTGAGGGTCACATGTATTTTTTATTCTTTTTTATGTCGAGTCATATAAAAATCTTTATGAATCCATCATGTATTGATTGGAAAAACATAATTTTGAGAGAATATGGTGCCAGTATCTAACGTCGTTCGTGATCACCACGGGTTAGCCATGCACCTGATGCATAAAGGGACATCTGCTTACTTGCCATAGAGGGAGCAACAGGGGTTGAGAAATCGAGAAAATGGTTTTGCTATCTTTCCATGTGATGATTTCGCTGCCTTGTATGTACCCAGACAATTCAGTTGCGAATACACATCAAGTCTGTATCCCGTTGCGCAAGAACCAGACCAAGTAGGGTGGGTTGTAGAGGAAGAGGTGAGGGTTGAAGTGATGTTGACGATGTGTACATGTATGCAGGCACCCGTCTGTGCACGTGGGTCTTGGGGCGGGGCTGGGGTTCACGATCGACATGCAGGAAGCAGTGGAACAAGCCCAGTAGCTATCATTGACACTGCTAGCAAATTTAAAACGTTGCACTTCACAACCTCCAGATTAAACATGTTCCAGCGAAACAACCAACCACAACATGTATTTGATGCTACAATAATGCACTTACTAAGGACGAATGTCGATCAACACCGATGGGCATAAAAGTGAACCAAGTTGGGCCATCTACTTTGTCAGACAGATCTGTGGCCATGGGTTGGCGTGAACGTGACGCGGATGATTCCTGTGGATCGGGATATCCTCAACCACTGCCTCGCATATCAATAGGTCACAAACAGCTCCAAACACCATAGGTTTGGTTTCCTATATCTGACCCCTGTATAGAAGTAAAGTACCTATGGCTCAATTTTCGATAGTGGGTGGGTGTGTAAACTTGAGTGGCAATTGACTTTGGAGGAAGAGCCTCAAGCAAAGAGCTAAAGGTCAATTTCTGGCAATGAAAATCCAAGTTGACACACCCACCCTCTACCATAAATCGCACTATATGTGTGTAGATCTAGAGAAATTCTTGCCGGTTATAGAAGGGACTCTCAAACCAGATACAAAAAACAAAAAGCCTTTGGAGGGTATTCCGGTTGAGGTGGAAGGCGACTATGGGACATACTCGTCTATTCATAGCGTTTGTGAACACCACCGCTATTGCATGCCATACAAAAAGGTTGTCTTGGCTATTTTTTGTGTGTACATGTATGTAATGCCGGTTGTGTTCACAAACGCTGTGAAAATACGAGTACAGATATATCGAGTGGTATCTTGCATGGATACCTTGTTTTAAAGCGATCGTACGGTCATTGGCCCTGCAACATACAATGACATTGGGCCAGGTTGCTCGCCATCGACACCGGCATATAAAAAGCAGTCACAGAACTTGGTTTGTGATTTCGTCACATCTGATCGAACTTTTTTTGTTTAATTCATTAATTGCAATCTGATCGAACTGGAAAAAGCTGGAGGGAAAAAAACCCCCTAGTAATACACAGGAATGAACGCCCTTCATATACTCGTTTACCACGAAAAGAACCAGAAAATGCAAGTGGCGGAATCAGGGATAGTTTGTATGAGAAATCACCGCCACTCCATACAAATAATCCTTGCCCTGAGCAACTACATTTTCTCGTGGTAAACGAGTATAGTCTGCTCCATGGAGAAAGTGGTGGGTAGTAAGGCGCTCGATTCAGGAGTGATATAAAAGCAGACCCTCATGTAGTCATATGATGTGGTTCCTGAGAAAAAGGAGCATGATAACTGATATAAGCTCCGGGTTAGCCTCCGACCCAAATTTGAAGGAGAAACTCTAGTATTAAGAAAACTAATAGAATTTATCGTTGATGAGCTTGGGGAAAGAATCAAAAGCGTCTAATTCATGCATAATACGTGAATACCAAAAGCCACTAGGTCTTATTTGTCAAATATTTAGATGTGATATGAGGTATGAAGAACCTGAAAGTGAGTTTTAGCAGTGCAGCCGCTGATTCGCGCATACCCCGCGCCAAATGCCAATGGAACCTTGCGTGGGTATCTCATTCAGTATCCAAGCTCTTCCAGATACATATGTTTGCGACATTTAGGATACTAATTGGATCTAGATGAGAGGCCACTGGGGAGATCTCGATTAATTGACGTATATAAAATAAATATGTTAATTTTGAAAAAAAGATTATGAATAGTTTGAATTTAGGGAGCGTTGCGTTGTGCGAAGATATAGGTATTTGGGGTTGTCGAGCCAAAATGTGCATCACTCCGACACCCTGTGTATGTATGTGCGTGAAGCTTCGAAGTATTATAGTTTCTTCACTGCAGCTATCTTCTGCGTTAGGGAGTCTACAAGTGCAATGTACAATTTCAATTCATCTCATGCTTGAATAGTAGCAATCAAACCTTTGGCTTCCTTTTTGACCTCTGCGCGCACTTGCACGTTACGTTCCAAATCCTTTTATCAGCTAGATATCAAGTCGATGAATTATAACTACAGTATAGCCTTGCAATGCTTGCATATAAATAAATACACAAAAAGAAACCTAGGCTTTAACTCGCCAACCAAGCAGCTTTGCTCTTTAAGCAAGATCGAAGGCGATATTATGACTATAGTGCCCCAGTCTTAAAGGTGACATGGCGCATATGGAAGTGGAACAATCGTGACTCCAAAGGCCAATCAGAAGGTCCGTTTCTAGCCATCTTGGCACTGCCACGGCTTAGGTAAGTTTACCTTTTGGGGTATAGATGGGTATAAATGGGTATAATACTGTTCCACTTTGTTTACTCCTGGCGCCTTTTAGTCATTTCCCAAAAGACCCGGCACCTCGAACTCCCTCACGGCCTGTAGCAAGATACAGATTACAAAACGGCAACAAATATAATAGAAAAACTAAAGTCGAAATATAAATGTATACACTTGACTTACTATTACCATTTGATCGCGGCGAGAGCGTATGTGGTGGAGTCATAGTTGCAAGTGAACGAGGGCCGTGATGCTAGGTTTTGGCGAGGTGCCAAGTCTTTTGGGAAATCGCTGTACATACAAAAACAGCCAATTTCAATCTCTTATAACTTTATGACCATGATAGATATCAAAATCTGTCAGGTTATTTTGTTCTTCATCATTGTCCCTAGCTTTTGTTCTGACAGATTTTTGGTGTCTATTGTGGTAGTGAAGTTATAAGCAATTGAAATTTCGTTACCTTTAAGATCGGGGGCACCATACATGCATGTACCCCTACAAGCTGGTGCTGCTAATTTATATATGCGTGCAACATCAATTGTTCACCTGATCACGTGGCTGTACGTTCCTACAGGTTCCCCCGAGACTTTCTATACACTTGTACGTTGTCTTCATACAGGATTTCATTATACTTAAAAGAAAGCCCCAGCTAGACTACTCTAATACCTGTATGAATATATGGTCCTATAAATAGATGTTTGCAGTGGTCCCAATCGCGAGGGAAAAACATCTGCCGAGCCTACAACCTACAAGTAGATCAAGGGTGGGCCAGTGGCATCGGGGATCAATAAGCTCTAAACGAATCATATAGGCGAGACTTGGCAATATAATTAGGCTTCGGATAATTTAATTACCCTAACCCTCGATTCCAAAAGAGAAAAAAGGACATTGATATAAAGTTCATGTAACCCACCCCGCTGACATGAGACTCGCAATGCGGGCATATAAGTAAGCATACATGTAAGTAAGCGAGGAGCAGCAAGTTTCTTTCGACAAACAACAGAGAAGGGTGACACAAAGGTTCGATCGCATTGAAAAAACATCTCAGCCTTATCAACTTTCTATTAAAAGCTGAAGAGTAAAAGTTCGCAGCATATGGTGGGGGGCTAAGTGCATACAGGCGCACTGATATCCGCAAGGTTAACTTATTTGGATCGTAATTAACTTGCCATTGGCCTAGGCTTTGTTAAGCTTCCACTTAAGATTCATTATATGAAAACCAATCGTTGGGAGTCAAGCAAACTGGTACATACCTGGCCGAATCGACTTTTTAGGGGTCAACCGTAATAGCCTCGTGGTTATACACAGAGTTTCCTTTGGAGCCGAGTACGTACATTATCTTGGTGTTCGAATCGAAGCATTTCTGGTGTAACAATATGCAATCATTCTGCATTAATACCCATGATATCCTCGATATTAAATGCAGGCGTGAGGCAATTACCACAGCCCTCATTCAAATATTAAACAATTGATACTTGTAGTGCTAGGTGCACAAAGACATGCACATATAAAAAGTTGATACTGCTAGCACACACGATACGATAGGCGTCATCATGCTAGTGGGCACAGTTTGCTTTATGTTCAGCGCTAATCCAGATCTTATATCTTTCATGACTGACGATCTTAAATTTTAACGTTTCTACTATCATAGTAACCCTGAAAACTATTTTTGAGACGTGAACATGCGCATCTGACAATGCCCACCTCCAATCAGAAGTCATAACAATCACCAATTGAATGATTCGACGGATTCTGGAGCTCTCACCGGTTGGTCTTTGCGTCAACTTGAATGGACCAATACCGATAATAAGCCACAAACATTGGCCCCCTGCTTTCAATAGTGTTTGGAGGTATGGCTTTTAAACTTGTGTATTGTCTGACTGCCAAAACCTTATGCATTCTTCCCACTCAAGCGCATGGCCGAGATATGCATAGACCCAGAAAATTATTTGCCTGCTTGTGAATAGTTATTTGCATGGCCTAGAGGCTGAGGGCATTCGGAAAGGTGGGTGAGAGGCAGGTTAACGAGAAGAAATACTCCATATGCTTGAGCGGTGGGTAAGTGGCATAGATTGACAAAAAGCTCTATATATTTCCGTCGAATCTCTCCTTCCTTTCGAATCGTCCCCACAAGCACGCAGTAGTACTACCCTTCCAACAAATCATGTCTGATACCAAAAAGCTTGATGTGCCCATCTCTGTTGAAGGCCTTTTGGCCCTCACGTGGTCTCTTAACCTGCTGGTGTTCGTCTTTATGGTGCTCCGCCTGTGGATGAATCGCCGCCAAAGTCTAAAAACCCCTTCTATTATTATTTCTGACTCGCTTCTTGTGGCATCGTTTATAATCGGTATTACTGCAATTTCGACGGATGCGTGGAAGTATAATTTGGAATTGATGGGGAGAACGAGAGTGGTTACTCCCGAGCAGAATAAAACAGCTTCCTTGGTATTCCACGCTTTCAATAGCCTATTTATTTGTTCTGTATTAATAGCATGGTGTTAGCTTTCTTTTATCTGTGGATATCTAGTATTTTCGGCAATGTGGCTATCGAAGGGGGCATGCGTGATCTACTACTACCACCTGTTCCCAAACCTATCTCCATACTTGAGAAAGTACCTTTTCTTCGTCACCGGATTCACTGCAGGAACATATGTCTTTGTGATATTTCTTCACAGTTTCTGGTGTCGCCCAATCTTCACAAACTGGTAGGCATCCCCTCCTCATCGTATTCTCAAATCTCTCTAATACCATTTCCGCAGGGACGGAACTTGCAACGCCACTGGCAATACCATCACCTTGCCACTCTGGAGTTTCCTCAACATCTTCACCGACATCTTCATTCTCATCCTTCCAATTTTCATCCTCCATACCCTCCAACTCGGCAGACGTCAACTCGCTGGTCTTGTAGTCGTATTCTTCATTGGATCGCTCTCTATTATTGCTGCGATCGCTCGCTTCGTCGACATCTACCCCAAGATACGCAAGGACCCGAATGCGCCCATTATACATACGTATGAGCTATGGGCGTGTATCGAGATTACTATGGGTCAGTTAGCTGTGTGCTTACCTGCACTCAGAGCATATCTCAGAAAGGCAAGAGATAGAAAGAATACTAGTCACTATCAGTCAAGTTCGAGCTTAAGGAGATCGAAAAAGGCGATCTCGGCAAAGTCGAGTGTAATTAGGACGCCAGTCGGTGGGTCGGATGGAAGACATAGCGAGACAGAGCTAGTGAGTAGTGGGCGTGAAGAGTGTTAGTGTGTGTTAGTGTGTTTTGTGTCTTTCAGGTGAGCGAGTGATGATACATAAATTTATAAATGTAGCTGGCGCGAAGTTCTAGACCTATTCTCTGGTAATAGAGTCAAATGTGAATGCATCAAGTAAAAAGCTAGTCTTATCTTGATCCAAGTATGTGCCTCCATTTGAATAAACTTTCTATTATCTAAATATGGTCCACAGCACTTATCAATATGAGCTATACGAATCCTGTTAGAAGACTTACCCACAGCACCGGTATATAACGAGTGGTGTCGTCGACGTGACCCAGTGCACCACACTGAAACGGAAACTCTTCCAGGCGGCAACGGGATACAACAGCCCTACATGTATGTATACATGCATGTACCTAACCGTATTGTGGGCAGCTTTCTGTCAGTAACGGGCTGGATACGAGACTAGTACCTAAACTATAGCTACATGTATGGCTTAGTAGGTAGCTTGTCGTAAGAGATGCCTAAAATAGGAATCTTGTATATCCTGCTTCGTCGGGTGTAGTTTGAAAGGCTTGTCTCCTTTGACCGCGTACTAGGTCCTGTTGTCTGATCACAGAATCGTGTGAGCTCTATACACAGTTAGCTAGAGATGAGAGTGAGTTGGATACTCTCCCTATCTGAATAGTTATCGGATGTTTGATTGTAAGAGCGAGGCAGCACAATTACTGTTCGGATCCCTCTACTACACTTCCGATAGATTATCATGACTCATTATTGGTATTAAAATCGCGAATGCAGTAGGATTTCCTGCCCCCAATTGGTTATTGAAGTCTGTTTATGTTGAAATCGAGTGATAACGTATGATGTGCATAGTTTGGCTATTAGAGCGGTTACTGGCCAAGGTGGGCGCACCCATTCAAGGTTAAGCCGTGACAGAGGTTCAGACATTTCTTGCTTCTGTTAACATTCTATTTTAGGTCGTTGTCCTGTCTGTGCCCGGCGCGCACGAGACGGGGGATCGAAACCCGTGTGGCCTCTGAAATCTTCGAGATGTTTCTCGTGGTCATGCCACTAACAGAAAGATAAGGAACTTTGAACGGTTTCTGCTAGTTCTTTAGGAAGTAACTTTGCGCGGCGCATCTATTCCCTGAGACCTGGTACCGACGGTTGGATTCCCTTTGTAAGTGCAAACAAATGACCAGGATTGCGAGTGCATCATCATGATGCACTCGCAGGTTACATGACAACTTCTAGCAGGAATAAATATCAGATCTGAAAGATTTTATGTAGTGATTGTGGGGAACACAAACTTGTTTTATTTCCGCGTAAGGAAGGGCTGGGCAATAAAACGCATTGGCCCACCATTCACACCCCACCCCACCCCCATCGACATCCACCCCACCTCGTCGACATCCACCCCACCTTGTCAACGCACACCTCGTCAACACACTCCATCCCGCCAAAATCACAATCACATCCTCTTGTCATCTGGCCACTTCATCTTTGCCCCGCGCCAAGTTTGTTGTGCTTCACATATCCATCGCGCCCTCTGTACACATCTTTCGAAGGAATGTCGCGTCCTCCGACATGTAGCTATCGCAGACTCAACCCAAGTCGGACCTTTACTCAGAAAGCCCCAACGAAGACGTTTTTTTTGGACAGGACCAAGTACCCCACTAGTGACAAATGTTCCCTAGAAGAAACCGGCGATGCAATAATTACCGAGGGAAATAACGATGACCCTCCGATATGGTGGCTTCGAGCTCAATCATCCTTGCCCTCAAACACAGTCATGGTCGAACGCCAACTCCCCCCCCAGAGGGCCCAGTCTCAGTCCTCTCCTTTCCACAGGGTGATTAGTTCAGGGGACCCAGAAACCCGTCTTATGGGCCAGTGGGGCGGTAGTGTAAGAGATGATTATGGTCTTCCTCAAGTTCTCCCCACTTCTAGCACTTCCACATATCCTCTCTCAACTACCTCTGCAGTGCATGCTACCTCTGCTTCTTCTGTGCCTGCTCCTCCTGTGCCTGCTCCTCCTGCAATAATAACATCAAACGGTGAAATGGAGCCCGCATGTCAGTTGGTTGTTAAAAACACCCACGAGGAGAGTGTGCATTCTTTTGGGACGAAAGTGAAGGACTACGGGCAACAGGATGTGTTGGAAGACAAGAGCGAACATGAAACTGATGGAGGGGTTTCTGAATCAGGTTGGACAACTGCCTCTGGAGGAATGGCATTCTCATTTTCATTTGTGGACGGGAAGCCCTTTGCTCAACCAATTGTAAGTACCTTGCTCAAAAGGGGATTGTTTAGTGCACCGTCTCTAATTGTGATATTTGGTGGCTATAGTTTAACCCGAATGGCACTCCATTCAAACCCTTCATTCCAATTCATATGCGTCCCCCGGTCAAAAGTCCAAATACTATGGTGAGAAACAAGAGTTCTTTAGTCAACAGCAGCACGAACGATTTGAAGAGTGTCAATAGCCAAAACCTTATTAAGAATAAGAAAGAAGAAATGGAGGTTGTCAAGAAGAGAGCCGAACCTCCTACACAGAGCGTTCGCAAGGTACCCGATACAAGCACGAAATCTAGTTCAGCTTTGTCAGGAGCTGAGAGGCAACGCACATATTGCGAACTCTATAACGCTCATGTTGAGACAATGTTTGCTGGAATTTCATCAAAATATCCGCAACCCACATCTGCCAGTGCGGCCAAGGAGGCCAGACAAGCCGAATTAGATGCAAAAAGAGCAGCAGCAGCGGCAGACTTTGCCTCATCTCCTACATCTATTATGGCTAAGGAGGTTCCTACGGGAAGGGACAATGAACATAAAGCGTTTGAATCAGGTGATGATTCTGGGGTGCCGCCAAACTGGGAAGCTTGTGAGCCGGATCCGTCTACTCGACCTAATTCTACAAACGGATGGATTAATTGGAAGGTGAGTAGTATCAACCCTGCTTCTTATCTATATAACTAATATTCTTTCTCTATTCAGCCAAAGCCTAAAACCGGTCCTGCGTCGGCTCGTAGCGGACACATGACTATGTCAGAATATCAAGCTGCCATTGCATACAGACCTCAAGGTGTCGATCGTGAATACGAGGCAGCCAAGGAGCGCGCCGCCGCAAAGCGCTTCAGTGGGCCTCAATACCAGTACTATAATGAGCAATCTCATAAGAAACGCCGGCCAAAGAATTCCCCGCGGAAAACACAACAACAAAACTCTTCACTACCTCCTATGTTTCCAGATATCCTTCCATGGCGTGATGTGGTACCTCAGCCCCTTAATGTTACTGGTAAAAAGATGCCGAAGTTAGACTTTTGCGGTGAACCGATAGAAAAGGGAAGAGGTTTCGATGGCACCATTAAGCATTGGGGCGTACCAACAAAAAATCAAGACCATGTTCCATTCCTTGAAGTAAGGCTCTGCATACCTCCCGTATCCCCCCATCTTGACTAATTACTGTATCATCCAGATTAACGCGATTGCATCTGAATACACTACAGACTGTGACAAAGACACAGATGACCCGACTAGAAAGGTATGTTACGAGGCCCCTAATCATACCATTAAACTCGAACAGTTTTTAAACATTACAAACAGTCTGTGCGGCGCTTTCCGCCACCAAAGTCCTGTTCAGTGAGCAAATACCCTACAGATGCTCAGATTAAAGACGATGTGAGTGTTGGAGAATTCCCAAATACATAACGGCATACTAAATCATTCATTATATTTCTAGTACCTTCAAGATAATAGTACAACAAGTCTGAAGAAAGAGCAGGAAATGGCGGAGGCGTTAGAATCATCTTCTCCTCTTCCTCGTCTATTGGATAGCTTTTTCGAACAGAATCCATTTACCCTTCGCGAACGGATTGGAACATTCATCAATTCTCTAAACCCAGATTTCCCAGATCCTCCGGATATGCCTTACGAAAAGCATGGCGATAAACCTGTGGCAACCTGTGTTAAGAGAAGGCAGCCTTCAGACGAGCTGGATACAAATGAGATCATCATTGACTGTGTGGAGGATGAACTTGAGAAGCCCCGCCGCGAACCTCACATGGAGCCGATCAAGGGGCGCGCTGATATGGAATGGTATAGAACTCATGATGGATGCTGGTCTCAGAGAGTCCCGTTGCCAAAGAAGACCCTTCCTCCTCTACCTCCTAACGAGCCTGCCAATGATTGGTAGTGTTCCATTCCAATATCAAAATTCTGGATATTGGTATACCATCGACATCAGTAGAATACTATATGGAGCCGGAAACTTGTACAGAGTGTAACGCAGCAAGTTAGTTATTACTTCTTGGAAAGTTTAGGACGGCGTTATGTCATGGGGCCTGGTTTTCTGCCGTGGAAAACATTGGAACATGCTCTATAGTACTAGCCTAGTATATCTAGTGTATTACTGATATTATGAGTTTTAAATAAAGGTAACAACTAAAGTCACCTTGTATTTAGTTAAGGAGCCAAAGATAAATTCAGGTTGCACTGAATATTGAGTTACCTTAACGCATGTTTACACTAGTTTTGTCACATCCTCCGGTTCAACAGCTCTATTCTTACCGCCTGTCTTCGACCCCAAACCTTTAACTCATCTACTATGCACCCTCACTGCCTCTTCCACACTCGATTTATCCTACGCCCCAAAAAAGCTCAGAGCTCTAAGGAGCAGATAAATGAGCAGGCTGGCGGGCACATGGGCTGATTTTTATCCATAGACATCAAAAGTCTCACTATTCTATCATCAGCAACTTTTTCAGCTTTTCGCACTAGCCAATGTCTCTCTCTCTACTGTACCATTTCCTCCAACCAATAGCAACCGAACCACCAGCCTTAACACACCCTCTCATAGTAATGGTATGCCACAGAAAGGCTTAAGTGGGCTTTCAAGAGAAGTGTGATGAACATCCTACTATTTTCCTTGTGTAAAACTCTGTTGTTTCTATACGAAATTATACTGTAAATGAAGAATTATCTGGGTTTCTGGGCTCATCATATGTGAAAGTAAGATGTGCCGGAAAAAAGGCAGATTGTTTCTATGCTAGTTGATAATGAAAGTCATTTGTAATCCCGCTTGGTGTTGGTCTCATAGGTGGATCTTAAGTGGTTTGTTTTTGTATCGCGTAGTTGGCCGTGGACATCTTGGTTGCTGAGGGTCTTGGAAGTGTGGGGGTGGTTTCTACTTTTGTCGGGTAGCGTGTGTCTATTGGGTGTGGTTCATGTCACTTGTCGTTTTGGCGGGGGGGATTTATGGGATTTTCGGTGTTTTTCGCGGTTGGTGAAGCTGTTTGCAGGAGATGTATAACCTTATCGAGTGATAGTGTATGACTCAATGCCACATCAATTGAAACATGCATGACCGGTAATAAGCCGGTGGATTCACAGGCCTCGGGATTGTGGGCGATCAATCGGTCGGTGAGCTCGTGCGACTCGGTTCTTCGGACGCGGATGGTGGATGTACGCGCTGCGCCACCACCACCACCACCAATGCCGCAGACCGGAGATTTTTCCCTCATACATACATGTACGTGTGTGGACTAAGCTCGGACGGAGTATTGCTCAGTCTAGACTCTAGAGTGCAGTTTCTTTTTTAACCACCAATCGACTTGAAAATTAAAATTGCATCGCGGACTAAGATGACAGCCATACATGTAGCCTCACGCAAGATAAAAAGCTTCGCTAGTCGTTCCTTGGTTCGAACCTGGTGAGATCATTGGGGCTGCCAGCCAGTGGAGTACGACAAACAAGCCCGTCTCTAATTGAACATGGCGGAGTTTCAGTTTTTTTTGACTTTACCCGGTTGCTGCTGCACTGAGTTAAGGTACATGTATGTATGAGGATCTCTAACGCGTCGAAGGATTGAGTAGCGAATCGGCACCGTTCCTGGGGGATTGCAGTTACAGGGGAGGTAGAGGTAGAGGTAGGGCCCTGGTGTAGAGAGAGCTTCTGGTTGCTGAGCTGCTGCCAACGCCGAACGCGTCAACCGCGCTTGCAGAGCTAGAGTAGGTATAGTTGTACATGTACTCAATTACAATCAGCTAGACAGCTGCAGCAGCTCATCCATCCATCCATTGTGAAGAAGGAGGAAGAAGTCGTCCTCTCAGACACCAGCCAGGGGCAGGTACTCAGATACATAGGTGTCCGGTTTCAAGTAGGCTGTGGAGGGTATAGATTAGATCCTCTCTCCAGGTATGCAGATTTAAGTCATAACATCTTAGACACAGCCGCAGTAATACACCTCAGTCAGTCAGTCAGTCAGTCAGTCAAGCAACAAGCTTACTTACCTACCCTACCTACCCTACCTGACTGACTCACCCAACACCACCCGGACAGAACACAAACTGTCAGTTAACTATCGCCCACAACCCAGCCCAGCACCAAACCCCAGATTTCACCACCGACCACCGCCGTATACCCAGCTACATACATACACACACACTCACACTTAAGCATCCACCCCCCCCCCCCCCCCCCAAAACCAATGTGCTACTTCCTCAGCGTCCGCTACACGCGCTGCCACCACCGCATCGTCTTCATCGCACAGACACCCCCCTACTCCTGCACCGACAACTGCCCCACCCCCACCTCCCCCGTCTCCGACGACGTCCAGCACTCGCGCTCAAACCGCACCCTCTGCCCCTCCTGCTACGCCGCGCGCCACCCCACGCGCCCGATCCACCCACCAATCCTCCGCGAGCCCGCGCCAGACGTGATTACGTTTGTCAGCCCCGTGGTGACGGGCGAGTACGACGGCGACGAGCACACGCTTGATCGCTTCCGCAGGAAGCGTAGGGAGCATCGGGCGCGGCAGGCGCGGAGGGGGAGGACGCAGGTGGAGGGTGTGGGTGTGGCGGAGCAGGCGGTGCTGAATGGGGGGTGGCTGGCGGCGAAGAGGAAGAGGAGGGTGTATGAGGAGGACGACTCGGACTATGAGGAGGAGGATACGAGGAACTTTGACCAGGTGCTGAGGGGCCTCAGGGGGATTCATGATGGGGAGCATGATGTGGAGAGGGAGCGCGGGGGGGGGATACGGTGGGTGGAGAGGTTCTTTGCGGGGGAGCCGGATTACGATGAGGATGATGAGGATGGGGATGAGGAGGACGAGGAGGAGGAGGCCGAGGGGGGGTTTAAGGATGTTGCGGAGTTTGAGAGCTTGCCTGCGGGCCTGTCTCAGGGTAGTGCGGGTTGTGAGGTTGGGTTCGACGGTTTGGAGGCGGGGAGTCAGCCGGGAGGGCGTGCTGGAATTGGCCTTGCATCGGTGTCCGTTGCGGCCACGGGTCGCCGGAATTCTGTATGATTTTTATTGGATACCGGTTTTCTAGTCTTTTTAGGTGCAAAGGGGTCATGTTATTTGTTTTTGTTCTTCTTTTATTCTTCTTTTATTCTTACTTTATTCTTTTTTTTTACTTCTATATCCTTTATATCTCGTTTCAACGGTTTGGGTAATATCATTTTTAGATAATACAGACAGAATCCAGGTTGCTATCATCTCCTTCTTTCCCACCACCGTGTTAACTTTTAAATCGGTGTCTCGCGCAGTAACTCGTGAGACCAGCTTACGATAATACATGTACAGTTGGCCAAAAAGAAATATCCACTCCAGCCAATGGCCAAATTGCAAAACCACATCCATATATCTTCACCTCCAACCAGTTAATTGCGTAGGGCACAAAATCTCAGATATATACTCATCCATAGCCCCCATATCTATCTCCACCACGCCCACAAAAAACACCACCACAATGTGCCGCCCCACCCCCCTCCTCGTCCGCTACCGCGGCTGCAACCACACCCTCCCCCTCATCGTCGGCACCGAGCCCACCTGCACCGGCCACTGCCACACCGACGCACACTACCACTCCATGCTACCCCCGCGAACCTACGCCGTCTCGAACCGGCGTCTCTGTCCCTCCTGCCACTCGCCCTCTGCTCCCACTGCTCCTCCGTTGCCGGTGCTGAGAAGGCCCGGACCGGACCATAGGGTTATTGTGACGCCGTTTGAGCCCGGCGTGTATGAGTACCACCACTGTCTGCGGAGGTGGAGGAACCAGAGGTTGTGGCATCGGGTGGATTTGCAGGCGAGGGGGTTGTGGTGGGTGGAGGAGGGGTTGGGGGATGTGTTGAGGAGGGTGGGGAGGTGGTTGGTGAGGAGGAGGGGGGAGAGGGTTTATAGGGATGAGGAGGGGGAGGTGGGGGAGAGGGTGTATAGGGAGGAGGGGGTCGGGGTGGGGGTGGGGGTGGGGGTGGGGGTGTAGTGGTGGGAAGAGGGAGGGGGTTGGAGACTTTGGTGGGTTGGAGATGTGGGAGTGGGGAGATAGTTACTTGCAATAAGAGATCAATGGAAGGAGTAGATGCAGCACGGAAGATAGTAGTTCTTTCTTGTGGGGATTTGGAAATTTTCCTTTCTTTGCAATTGGCAGGGCTTTGCTTGCTGTTCATATAGCTCGAGTATTGCGCTGGTCAGTGAGGCCTGGACGTCAGCGGCCAGTGACTATTTATCGAATACGAAAAAAAGGCCGTTTGTCAGTGCCAGTGAGAGTACAATACAAAGAGTATTTTTTGTCAGTATCAGTAGGGGAAAAGGTGCTATACCGGGTGGGCGTTAGTTAGTTCCCATGAGAAAAATCTACCCTTTTTTTTTTTTACAAGAATCTGGTTCGAAATAAGAAATTTCGAGACTGTATTTTCCCGCTTCTCCTAAAGCCGGTAGAGAGCTGGATGTATTAATTCCTACAAGTATACATGCATCTTCCCACATACATGTATGCAGAACTCCATTTCGTCTGGGCCAAAGTCTCAGCAATACAGAAGTGTCGCCGGTCAGCGACTGAAACTACAATGCCATAACTGTAATGTTACAAGCAATTAAAGAATTAAAAAAAAATAAAAAAAATAAAAAAAGACTGAAACCACAAACAGAAAAGTTGTCACTATACAGACCTTATTGGCCGACGCGTGCAGTACTTTGTGATAATGCAAAATCGATATCTCTCAATTGATCAAACCATCAAATTGGCTGCGAGATGATTCAGCTTGTTTATATATGGATTATATTTGACACGACATGTGAGCTGCCCTAGATTCTTTTATTTCTTTGTCTTTTGGTGAGAACCCATAGCTGGGTACTTTCCTTCCATTCGATAGGACTACATGTATTTGCTATCAAAGGGGGCTTTCATCCCCACAACCACGCACGACAATCACACAGCACAACCTTCTTCTTCCTCTTCTCCTCCATCCATCCATCCAACTCACCTCCCTCCAGTCATCGCACTAACAAACAAAAAAATGAATCCCCTCAGATCAAACAAAAGACTATCCGGGCACTTCACCCCCTCTACCCCACCGGCCGCCAAACAGCCCACCCCCTCCACTCCCCAGCCAGCCACCCCCGCCGCTATCAACAACGATGACGACGCCGCCGCCGCCGCCCCGCCCGAGATCCTCTACTCCGTCATGGGCACCAGCAACCCCCCCTCTCTCGCTGGCTCAATTGCGCCTGCCGCCTCCGAGACCCGCAAGGACGAGCACGACCGCAACATCAAGAGTATCAACGACGAGATATTGGCCCTCCAGCGGAGCGTTGACCATAAGTTGGAGCTCATCCGTCACCTTGTTGCCTCGCGCGAGGTTGCGGTCGCGCATGAGGTCGAGCTGAGCCGTATTGACCAGGAGTATGCGGACGAGGAGGGGAGGAAGAAGGTTTTGCTGAGGGTGGAGTCTTTTACCGGCGGGGGTAAGAGTAAGGAGAAGGAGAAGGAGGGGAAGGGTGGGGAGGGGGGGAAGCAGAAGAAGAAGTTGATTAGCTATGCGAAGAGGGGGACTGTTAAGAGGGGTCCGGGAGCGAAGGAGGGTCAGACGACTGCTGTAAGTTTGCGCTAGTATTGGTGTTTTGTGGGGTTGTTGGGATTGGGTGGTTAACGATGATAGTGATAGAATCGTCGTTTGAGCGCTTACGATACGTGTTAGCTACTGGAGGGGGGTAATGGGAATATCTCTTGTACTGCTAAAAGTTATCTTGGGAACTAAATCAAGGAAGGATGTCTTTTCAACTCATGTTTTATGTTGGCTTGGCCTTGAACATGAGTGATGTTTCATGTCTGGATTTTAGATGATCGAAACGATGGAGCCGGAGGTATATGTAGTATCACCAGACTTACCACACAAGGTTTGTGGATCGAATTAAAGATGCGAATCAGACGATAGGTATAAAACCGGCCGTGAAGAAGAATAATGGAATGTACATACATGTATGTATGCTCTACTATCGGAGCAGAGCAGGGACAGGTATTCAAACAATGTGATCGACCAGCTTAGAAATAGTAGAAGAGTACAAGTAGCTTTGAGGATAAACATCTTTACGCATGTTGCGGGAAGATGTAGATACGTCTTTTTGGTATTGTTCGGCCAGGGAAGAAGTTTTCCGTCAAACCATTCGAGTAATCAAATAAAAAGGTACATGTATCTCTACACGTATGTACAGGAAAAGATGCCACGGTACGCATACATGTAAAATCAAGAAAGCCACATAACAAATCCCGAGTATATACGTACTTCTTAAGAAGCAACCAACTTCTTTCTTGCTCTCCCTCCTCGTAAAATTCGTCAATCTTCACATCATGTACTTACACTTCCGGATCCTAAATATCCTTTGGATGAACTATGTCAACGTTGCAACATCCTCGGGAGCAATCTATATCTCGAGTAATAAGTTTGGGCACTCGTCATGTTCCAGATATCAACCCCTGGGTTCATCCTTTCAGGACTTCATGTATACGTATCCTCCCAACCGGCAAGCAAGACCCCGCACATGTAATCTTAATAGTTGTTCCTTGTTATCCCCCTTTATTTTAACTTATACAGATCTCAATATACTAACTCCACAAGTACTATAACAGCCTTAAATAATTACATGACTCGCCTATCGTCCGGTAGCTAGCTAATCGATCCGTGAATTGATGCCATGTTGGTTGGTACCCTCTACCTTCAATAGTGGAACCCTGAGTATACAACGAAAAATGTTGCTTATGAAGGCCGGGGCTAGTTATAAGTGATTGTTCTGACTTGATAAAGAACCCTGAGATATATTCGATTTATTACTAGTGACTAATGATGTGAGTGTTACCTCGGATAAACTCGCCCAGTATCTCTCCACTTGACCTACGCGACGGTTCCGTTTCGACTCAAAGTTCAGATCTATTACCTCGATTTAAATTAGTTACTGTTACACAGTGACGGAATCTCTGCAGACTGGCGCATACATGTACTTGCCTTCGGACGTTGAGGCACATCGTGACTGGTCAGCGAACCAAAGTGGACCGCTAGCTACATTACAATAATGGCGCTACTATTGCTACTATTAGAACAGTCCAATGAAACCCGAGAGCGTTTTTGTACAACCTGGACTACATATAATCGACCCTGACACAACAGATGCAGACGCCATAATGCAGGCCAGAAATCTCAAACAGCTACGACATGTACCCCTTGCATCCCGTGGAAGAATTCAAGAACACGCGACGTGTATGTGCTTGAGTCCCCTTAGTCCTTCATCTTGAACACATTCACAATGCAAACAATGTCACGCGTATCATGTTCTATTATCTCAGGATATGTATAATCTGGAATATCAAGGGCAGTCACACTGGTACTATAATCTACGACGACTCCACGCTATTTGTTATGTTCATTATCATCAATTAGCATTAACTTTAGCTCATTAAATACATACTCATACACACTATTGATATTATATCTGCAACAAAGGAAACATTCGGTACAGCTGTCACCGCAATAAGCAATTGCTATGCGGCCATTAAAACCTCCTTCCAAACTATGAAAAATCAAAGTACGAACGCCGGCCAACAAATGAAAAACCAGATCAGAACCAAATCCAAAACTCCAACCCGAAAATGGACCCCAATTAATTAAAAGCCACTGGCGGAGGATATGCTACACACCAGACGCGTTAGCTGCCACATCCTTATCTCGACCCAAGATGTTGATTACTCACCGATCCCACTCTCCACATCCTCCCTTAGCCCAAAGTCAAACGGCACATCCACTAACTGCACCTCTATCGGTTGCGCCTCTCTCTGTTGCACCCCTCTCTGTGGCAGCTCTCTCTGATGCACCTCTCTCTGCCGCACCTCTGGTAGCTCCTCCTGTACAGGAGTTGGCGGTGTCCTCCTCATCTTTGCCAAGATTCTCTTCATAAACGGCACCACCGGCGGCTTTGGGTAGACCTTTAACACTGCGGCGACTGCCGCGAGAAGAAACGATAGTACTAAGCTCCCGCATAGGAATGAGATGACAATTGTTTCGGCGTTTGGAGGTTGTTTTTGAGGCTGCGTCGTCGGAGGCATCGGTGGTGCATTTTAGTACAGCGCAACTTCTTCTTATGCACGGGAATTGAAGAGGTAGATATAAAATAGAATTAAGTTGAGGCCCGTGGCTAACCTAAGCTAACCTAACCACCAACGCTGTTCGTTCGATGATGATGAAGGTGAAGAACAATAAACTTGAACTTGACCACAAAGGAGAGTTGTTGTCGTGGGGTTTTAATCTAGGCGTGGAATGAGGTACATGAGGAGGAAAGCTAAGGGGGAAAAAGAAAGTTCCAAGACATAGCTCTTCTCCAAGGGGTAAGGATTTGAGACATATACCACGCGCGCGCTGAAGGGGACCGAGACCATGACCCAGATTTCCGGACTTAAGGTTCCCGCGCTAAAGGGGGATCAGTGTGTAGATCTAGATGTTGGTACCTTTTTCTAGTTTATGCTCCGGTGGGGTGTGTGCGGGCACTGGGTATTAGAGAGCCGAGTGATGGTGGGTGAAAATGCAAATCGTTATAATAAGGTAAGAATCACTGATACCATGGTTGTACTCGTTTCAATTCTTCAATTCTGACGTACATGTGCAGGATATATCGATAGACTCTGCATGAAATCCATAGCTCCACGGGTTTCATACCCTGTTCCCAAACAACTGAATTACTGTTTAGTACTACATTTATACAATAGGAGATAACTTTTGGTCCAACATTTCGCCATTAATGCCATACCCCGCCTACAAGTACATACAATAGCGCCGCCACATATATATAGTAGAAAAAAAACCCGTAAACACAAAAACATAAGGAAACCGCAAACGATAGGTATATATCAAAAGTCCATCCCAGAAGAAATAAGGCAACTGACTCAGATCTATCTGGTCGCCGAAATAGTTGTCGTATGACTCCCCTTATGGCCTCCCATCCTACTCGGCCCTTCCCCCTTGCCAAGCTCCACATCTACCTCTCCTTTCTCAATCGAGAAAGAGAACCTCTGCTCAATCTCCAACACGCCCTCTTCAGCACCTTTGTTGATCCTCTCCTCGCTCCCCGCAAAGCTCATGGTGTCCCTCGTGCCAGTGCCGGGCTTCTTTCTCGACAACACACTGAGCGGCTCGCCGTCCGAGTGGGCGTACTTCTGGCCGCTACTATGGTCCGCAAATTTGCCCACATTGAAGAGGCGCCGGAAGAGCGGCCAAAGCATCGGTAGGTTAGATACGTAAATCGCAGTTGACGACTCACGAATGTACCACAACATGTAGATTGTCGTGAAGGGATTCGAGAAGTTGTAATACTTATTTAGACATGCTGCAAGGATCTGTGGGGATCTACCGTCAGGATACCAGGCGCGCTGGGGGAGAAGTGGGGGCCGAGGCCGGGAGGACTTACGACAAAGACACCGCAGGAGAAGATGCCGACGAGAATTATCTTCCTGCTCGTTGCAATGATTCGTTAGTTGGGGGTCCGAGAGAAAAGGGGGTAGAGGGGACCGGGGGTACTTTTTGAGTTCGACTTTGGCTTTTAAGAGGAGGGGAATGCCGACGGCGAGCATCATAAGATCGGAGGTGATGTTGAAGGTTGCTTGCGTGATTGAGTAGTGTTGGTATGTTGCGCATTGCACTATGTTTAGAGTCCGGGTCCGTGGTTAGCATGTTTTTAATTTCCGCTGGGGGTCAATGATGGTTGGGGGGGGATATTGAGATAACCGAACGAATGGGAACAAAGTGCAAAAATGTTTGGGCGAATGAACAAGCTCGAAAGACCACCAAACAACAGCCAAGAAAAGGTACTCGAGTACAAGGCGGAAAAAACAAATAAACTTACCCATCGGCACCGGCAACATCCAGTACCCCTTAAAAGGCCTACAACTCAAGAACCACGCGAGCTCGACAGCCACGAATCCTATCACAATATACCCTGCGATCGCCTTGATCACAATCTGCATATTGAGCCTGCTCGTAAGTCGATGATACATCAGTATCATACACCCCTTGATCCCCCAAGTCACAATTAACATCGCTTGCTCGAGCAGAATCACAATCTTGCTCCCATATATTCGCAGCTCAATGTCATCCGGTGTCAGGGTTTCGAGCTCTCCCGGGAGAAGTAAGTTGGTGGCGGTGCGGCCAGAGATATTGATGCCAATCATGAGGATCGTGTACATGAACTGGACGGAACGGAGAAGAGAAATGTTAGTGGCTTTTTGCACTCATATTTTTAGAAAGGATAGTGCAAAATGGAAGACAAGCCGGGGGGGGGGGGAACATACACCATTGAAAACCATCAACCAGTCCTCTGCCTGCAACTCACGGAAGGTTCCAAGCACGAGTCGGCGGGAATATCTATTCTGGTTTATGAGCAACATACATGCAAAGATGATGGTGGTAATAAAGCGACGTATTGTTGGATGGAGAATACAAACATTCGGCCGGCAATGAGCAGTATCCCAATGGAGTAGAAAGTCCACGATTCGACCGTGAGCTGGTGAGGCGTGGGGGATTGGAGCGCCATTAGTGCTGCTGCTGTTGAATATTGTTTTGCTCTATTAATTGATCAATTCACAAGTCAGTATCATATATCACAGCGACGAAGTTGTTTGAAGACATATGTTTTGCACATATAATGTGTGTGCAGATCAATCGTGGAAGTATATATATGCTCACCTTCAACTTCACAACCACAGACCAGACACACACCAACCACCATATGACCAGGTAGCGGGAGACAGGTACACTTTATTCAATACCCCCGACCCACAATTAATATCACGCTCATCCCACTCTCTGGGCTGGCTGGATACGGCAGTTCTCCCCCCACTAGTGACTAGGGCAGGGCAAAGCAACACCAAGCCTTTCGTCCTCGCTCGTCTCGCACTTCACCCCGCTCCAGTTCCCAAAGAGAACTTGAGTTATTTGGGCCAAGCAGCGTTATCCTTACCCTGGAGCATCATCTCATGTTCACTGGCAGAAATGGAAACTGATCTGGTCTGATGAGGTAGCGAGACAACAGGTCACTAACTAGATGTATCTGGTTCTAGCTGGGGAAGGCTATTTGGAAAGTAGAGTGATTTGAGCTTCCGGAGAATAATGGACAGCGGCGTGGCCCCAGGGTCTGTGATAGAACTCGCCCCCCGGTACACGCGGTAGTACCGGGGAATTTTTTTTCGCTTTGGATATCATTTCTTTTTATTATTCTTTCTTTTTTTTCTTTCCTTCCTGCTCCTGGGTGGCCCTGCGTCACTGGGTCGAAGATTTTCTTCTTTGCTACTCGACTGATAGGTATCTCAAATGCTTTTTTCTTCTCCCTTTCTTTTTCTTTCTTGCCGTTCCGGGGTTGCACTGGCTCCTTACGGATCCAATCCCCATCCCAATCCCATATTACATGGTTTTAACCCCCCTCTCTCCCATGGCAACCAACCAACCAACCCGAAATCCCGGGTCCAGATTTTGTCCTAGGAATGAGTGTGCGTAAATCATCGCCAGGGAGATACGTAATAAACTCGCGTGGGATGGAGAGATGCGCACTCTATTAAGCACGCATGTCGTCGGCGTGGGGACCGAGGCGGGGTGGGGTGGGGAGGTGATGTTGTTGATTAATCAACTGCACTGTTGCATGTGCGATACTTACTGGATGAAATGGAATGGATGGGATGTGATGTGATGGCGAGAGGTTCATCTGGTAATATTTGACAGTGGGTGGCTTTTTCGGACGCGTCATTACGAGAAGAGGACTTCAAATTACCAGTTTCGCAAAGAGTGCTAGTGAAGGTAGTCAATTCGGTTCTTCGTAAAGTTTACCAGTTCGTTAGGTGACTTCTCACCTCTCTCCCTGAAGCAGATCTAAATACATGTACCCATCACATATTTCCATGTGGGGGGTACACGATGTTCCTTTTTCCACCCAGCTACCGGACGGGTAGGAGTTCGCCTATGTGCCGAGTCTAAGTTCTAACTGTGGGAATTAGTAGCTAGCGCGGCAAGGGCATACGCTACTAACCACCACTAGAAGTAACGAATTGAACCGCACTTCGCTACTTGGGGCGGGTTGTAACGATTCTTTTTCTACAATTGGACGGCCACTAAGCTAACTGATATTCTCTCTACATATTTTAGTCTGCGATGGATATGGATATGGAATCTACAATTCGCATTCATACTCTAACCAGTAACCACCCCCCCGATCCCCAGTCTGGGATGTAAATAAACTCCCTCGGCTCATCGATCGTGGATGTGCATCTTATGCCTAGCTTACTGTAACATGTAGGTAGAGTGGTAGGCATACCAGGTCTCCCCTTCTCAATATCCTGGCCCTGGTCTGGACTCTGCAGTGCAGTGCAGTGCATGACATCCACCTTCTGTATTGTACCTGCTGAGGGCCCGCCGCCGTACTCTACCCTACCTGCTGTACCTTACTGCACTCTACCCACTCTACATACAACCGCAGATGAAAGGGACGGAGAGGGGGAAGGGGGAGACAGTTACATAACACTAACTGCACATTTAACACCCCATCCCATCCCATCCCGTACTTGCAAAAAGGAAAAAGATACTTGTTTCTTTTGACAACTAACGGTGGCGCTGGGCATCTCCGTCTAATATACCAGTTGGGGGTGAAAAACTAGTTAGTATTACTCTACTGGTTAGTTGGATGGAGAATTTGTGTGTGGTTAGCTGATAATATAATAACGGCTATCATATCATAACAGACCTCCGTCGATAGTTGGCTAGTTAATCGAAGCAGGTACACAGACAAATAGGTGGGTAGGTAGCAGGTAAGTGGATATGTAGGCAGGAAAGTGGAGAGGTAGTTAGGCAGGCAGATAGGTATTCTCACCGCACAATAATTCTCCAATGCCTTAAAACCCTCCCACCACCTGCATCCCTCTTGTAGCATCCCCAAACCCTCCTCCCTACCTACCACTTATCTCCTCCCTACCTCTCTGCCACCTTCCCCCTACCACCTGTACCGTACAATTCCCATACTGTAGTAACTGGGAACGCAAAACATGCCGGCGGAAGAAAAACCTACCCCCGCATCCGCCGTGGTAGCGGTGGAGGACCGCGATGCGCTCAAGCTCGAGACAGCGCTGGGCCACAAGCAGCAGATGCAGCGCAGCTTTGGGCTGCTGTCGTTGACGAGTCTGGGGATTGTTGTTGCGAAGTGAGTTTTTGTGCCCTTGTTGCTTGCGGTTTTAGGTGTTTAGGATTTGGTTGTAGAAATCTTGGGGTGCGAGAATTGGTTGCTGATAGTGGCGAATTGTAGTGCATGGAGTTTGACTGGTGGTACCATCGTCATCGCAATCTTCAACGGCGGGCCCATGGCCGTGCTATACGGGCTGTAAGCCTCCCTCCCCGCCATCCCCGCCCTCTCCGCATATCCTAACCTCTCCACAGCATCCTAGTAACCTTCTTCTACACGCTCATCTCCCTCTCCCTCTCAGAGCTAATCTCGTCCATCCCCTCCTCCGGCGGAGTCTACCACATCGCCACAACCACCGGCGGTCCCCGCTACGGCCGCATCCTCGGCTTCTACACCGGCCTACTCAACCTCAGCGGGTGGCTGCTCTCGGCGTCCTCCATCTCCTCCACGCTCGGCAACGAGCTCGTCGCACTCTGGGGTCTCACACACCCCGCCGCGGAGTGGAAGGCGTGGAACGTGTTTGTGGCCTTCCAGCTGGTGAATTGGAGCTGCTGTGCCATCGTTGTGACGTGCCATAAGAGGCTGCCAGCGATCAATACGGCAGCCCTGTGGCTATCCATGGGCGGCCTGGTGGTGACGGTTGTGACCCTGATCGTGATGCCGAGGGGACGGTATGCGAGTAGCGACAGCGTGTGGAAGACCTATGAGGACCGCACGGGCTGGAATAACGACGGCATCTGCTTCATACTCGGTCTTATCAACGCCGCCTTCGCAGTCGGCACACCCGACTCCCTCTCGCACCTTTCCGAAGAGATCCCGAATCCCGAGCGTCTCGTGCCCCGCGGTATCCTACTGCAACTGGCAACCTCGTTCACCACAGCATTCATATACCTCGTGGCGCTGTTCTACAGCATCAACGACCTCGAGGCCGTCCTAGGGTCCACCAGTCGCTTCCCCACGGCCGAGATCTACAGACAGGCAACAGGCAGCACCGCCGGCGCAGTGGGTCTGACAGTAGTGTTATTCGTCGCCACCTTCCCCACGCTCATCGGCACCCTCATCACCGGCGGGCGCACGCTCTGGTCCCTCGCGCGCGACGGCGCCGTCCCCGGCGGCTCCTTCTTCGCCGCCGTCAGCCCCCGCTTCGGCGGCCCTGTGCGCGCCACAATCGCAGTGAGTGCCTGCGCCAGCGTGCTGAGCATCGTCTACGTCTTCAGCACGACCGCCTTCAGCGCGCTGATCACGAGCTACGTTGTGCTGAGCTCGCTCAGCTACGCAGGCGCCATCGGGGGCCACGTCGCGACTGGTCGGAAGGCGGTTGTGCCCGGGCCGTTCTGGCTCGGCAGGTGGGGATGGGCCGTGAATGTGGGGAGTCTGGCGTGGATTGCCGTCATGGTTGTGTTTTTCTGCTGGCCGTTTGTGAAGCCGGTGACGAAGACGAATATGAACTGGACAAGTGTGATTGTGGCCGGGTTGGCGGTCGCGATTACAGGCTGGTGGTGGGGGGCCGCGAGGGGCGCGTATAAGGGACCTAGGTACTTTAGGGAGGCGGCGGAGAAGTTGAAGGATGGGACGGAGGAATGATCCTTTGGTCAGTTTTTCGGGCGGTTTGGGGGGGGGGGGGGGGGCTTTTTTAATCTTTAAAAGTAGTGATACCTGCCTGTTTTTTTTTAATTATAGGCGATACCTAGGTGTATTTGTAATTTTAGTCTCTAAAAGCTTTGAGAGCCGGTAATAAAACAAAGAAATAACAATCATTCTTGTCCGCGCAATCCGGGTATTCCTGTCAGCGCAATCATTTCCAAAAGTAACAGCAAGAACTGCCCCCCCCCCCAAAAAAAAAAAAAAAAACTAAACTACCAACCAACCCCATCAACGGCATTGGCTTATCCGGCGCACAACCTGATGCTTAGTATTTAGAAACCGTGCGTATTGCGGGTTTCAAAAAATAATCTGCTGGTCGTTGTGCGGGCGGGTTGGCGAATAGTAATTGTGTAAGCATGTGGTACTCTGGAAGCTCGATAAGTTACCGGGATAGTACCTTTTTCACCACGGTAAGATGGTCCCTTGCATTGGTTTTCCAAGGTTTGTGGAGCAGAGTATCGCACGGAGAGCGTAAAAAGTGTCATGAGTAGGAACGAAAGAGAGAGCGAAAGCTCTCGCCTCATAGTTACAGTTTGGAGGCTACAGATAGTTTGGAATAACGTTCAAACTACATAATGAAACGCATTGTTAACATCATCGGCCACCGCGGTGACCGGCCACAATCAGCAGTATCATAGATTTTTTATGGCAAAACAAGTAAGTATTAATCTATATTCAGTAGTGGCAGATCAGCGCCGGACGGTCCAATTATTAAACAAAACGCCAGACCAAACTCCGCTAAACACCATCGGGCCTACCATCTACTCCCCCCATTTCTCTGCCGGGCCCATCATCGCCTCCATCACCTCCTCGAACCTCGCCGTCGCCCCAAAAATGCCCCCCTCCGTCCTCACCATCTCCACCGCCGCCTGATGCAGCTCCGGCACACTCGCGCCACACGCATCCTCGACTAACACACAGTCATACCCGCGATCGGCCGCCTCCCGCATCGTCGAATGCACGCATACATCCGTCGTCACGCCGACAATCACCAAGTTGCGCACGCCCGCCACCTTCAATAGCAGCTCAAAGTCCGTGTAGGTGAATGCGCTCTTGCCCGGCTTATCCACCACGGGCTCGCCAGGGCGCGGCTGCAGCTCGTCGATGATGGCATGGCCTTCCTCGCCGCGCACGAGCAGACGCCCCATGGGGCCGGTGTCGCCGATGCCTAGCTGGCTGGGGTTGTTGCGGCTGCGGGCGCGCTCGCGTGCGGGGAGGTCGGAGAGGTCGGGGCGGTGGCCCTCGCGCGTATAGAAGATAGGGTAGGAGTAGTGGCGGGCGAGGCCGAGGAGAGTGATGATCTTGGGGATGATGGTGGTGGTTGGGGTGAGTGAGTAGCCTTGGGAGGAGAGGTAGCCGCCGGGGGTACAGACTAGCGGGGGAGGGAGTTAGTGGGATCTTGGCGGGCGGAGGGGAGGGGGCGGGGACGGACAGTCATTTTGCATGTCGATTATGACGAGGGCGGTGGTGAGCGGGGAGAAGGAGCTGTCATGTGGCCAGGCGTAGGGCTGCGAAGTGGCGATTTGCGTCATTGTCTTTGCGGTGGTTATGTGGTGAATACTGTGGTTCCTGACGACTTTCTGAGGTCTTGCGCCGGAGCGGGTCTATGGTTTTGAAGTCTTCTACTGCCAAAACATTGTACGCCTGCGCTAGGAGGGGGAAAAAAAGATGCATTTCTGATCATCAACCCCCGCCCCACCGATCTGCATCTGATCCAGGCTACGAATTGCATATGCATGTGTGTGCGCGGAGCATCCTGGGACCTGTAGTCTCGCGGGCTCTTTTTGTTCCGAGAATATTCTTTCCGGCTGAATTGCAAACTTCTCAATCCAAATAGGTAAAAGAATCCTCCGGTAACATGTGGTAGAGTAGAACACACTCCAGGGTTTCTAGAGGGTTTGGGATTCGCATATTCCCTCAGCGCTAGAACGGGAAAAGAAAACAGGGAATATTAATGCTTGTCGTCACTCGGACTCACTCCCCAGTCTTGATACTCGGGGCAGGCAAGAAGAACCTGAAAATGACTTTTTATGGTAACGACCTCTGATTTGCGGCTGGCAAAAAGCTACACCAAATTGAGCCTCTACTTGCAGCTTACATTTTCAAGTTCTTCTTGCCTGCCCCGAGTACAGGGCTTGGTAAAATTTTCTCCGTCCGGCGCACAGATGTTGCGGTGCTGAGGGAGGTTTCGCTTTGTTGGTTAGCTCGGAGGCAGGCACTCTAGAGTAGCATCATATTCATATGTGTGGTTAGGGGTCGATAATTAGTAGAAGTAGTTGGCTGTGGTGGCGTCTCAGACTAATCTGCTCTAATAATTGCTGATTAGTAGGCGAGTAGAAACTAGTACATACTCTAGTGGTGGAAATGATTCGTCGTCATCCTCTCCAAAACTCCAGATGCAGGTACTAGGTGCAAGATCAAGCCAAGAGACACAAAGGAGTTATTCGCTAATCTGAAGTAGACACGATGCTCTATATAAAGATCTATTACTTATCGTGACGAAACTTGCGAATCCAGATCAGACCCAGAAATTCAGCCGAAACGTGCCCCGAAACGCTGCACGCATGCAGGTACCGGTAGAGTATGTATCGTAGTGCCTGCAGACTCTAGAAACCGCCCCTTTTCCGCGGGGAACAGAACGAAAAGGTATAGTGAGCTACTCTCATAGAGAGAGTGAAAAACCTAGCTGTTGGGTTTCAACACGAATTTCAAATAGCTTGCAAAGACGTGTGGCTGTCTCTCTTCACGATGGTTGGCAGGGGTGTTGAACCTCGGCGCGTAGAACATCCCACGATGGTTATGTAAGGACATGTCTGCACTCTGGCTCTAACTACATTTCCCCCCACTTTTAGGGGAAAGATATTGATCTGAGGTAATTTTTCAAGCAGAGATAAGATTATCTAAAGCCAGCAAGCATATCCTCCAGCCGCCAGATCTAAGCTAAATGGCATACTCGTAGCTTTATAGCGTTTCCGAACACGACCAATATTGCATGACATACAAAAAGGTGGATTTGGCGCTTTTTCGTATGTCATGCAATATTGGTCGTATTCGGAAACGCTATAAAGCTACGGGTAGATAGTGGGAAGTCATATATCTGAGGTTATATCTGCGGCCCTGATTGAATTGTATTTTTATTCCTCTGCCGTGTTCTCGGGTTCGAGCCTGTGTGACCAGGAACCGAGCTGGCGGTAGATGCGGGTGTGAGGGTATATTTGTTTTCTGATAGCTATTTCTACCCTAAGCATCGTGACCATAGAGCTACATAGAGCCGCAACTTGATAGGACGGATGCCAGAGACTTAGTCAAACAACTTGCCGGCACTATTATTGCTGTCGTATCGATATATGCGCCAGCAAGTCAATATGATTTTATTTTTTCCTCGGTTCATGGGACAAGTGCTGTTCCCAAGGTGCAGAGAAAAAGTTTGTCGCAAGTTGCCAAATGCATGCATCACTTGAGACTCGTCGTTTCGGTCGGCTGAATCCGTGTATCGCACTCCCAACCGTGTTGAACAGGTTTGGAGTCTATATCATCCCAATCCCACGATTCACCAGCTGCGCAGCACGTTGCGCATTTGTCACTCCATGGGGCGCGGGGGGCGACATATTCGTCATATGTAAGAAGAGATTTTGAGCACATACACAGCAGGACCTGCACTTGAATCTGGATGAGGCAATCCGTACACCTCTTGCGCGGGTGTGATTGGTTATTCATGATGAGAATTTTCGGTTTCCTTTCTTTTGAACGCATCCCCCTCACTGCAACGGCGGAGAAGCCCGAGAGCACAAAAAAAGAAAACCGAAAGCTGTACCTGCGCTGATGGGTGCAGGGATCAATGTCTCAGTCGCGGACGAGTCTTTCTTTCAGCTGAGATGTTTTGATGCCTGCATGCTGGATAGTTGACTTGAGAGGAGGGGAGGTTCTGGGCTCCGGCCGCGACGGGACTAATCATTCGGCTACAGGTCCTGTACCGCACCGTACCGTCCTTCCCGGAGCAGCTGCAGTAAGCGGTGACGGCCCGCCGCCCTGACATTGGCCTTTTTCGATGTCTGAAATTAATACAATCCATTAAGTACAGACGGCCGGAATAGTAAAAGACGTCGCCGGCACTGTCACTGGCGATGAGAGCATGTAACCGGAACCCCCACAGGCATGTAGAGGAATGTGGAAATGAACGATCTAGGGTGATGAGCTCGTAGGCACAACCAATGAACGACTTGAGGTAAAGGAGTTCGTCAAATTTTGTAGGCGAGCCAACTGAGTAACCTTCCAATAACCTTCCACGCCAGTAAGGGGTATAGTCATGCACGTGTGCATAATATAAGAGCCGAGTGATATATCATGTCCCACTTCCCGGAAGGGCCTCCGCTTGTGCTCAGCGGCCCATGATCCGTCAAGCTTAAACGTGATTAATTGAAAGGCCCTGAGCTTGAGCTGGACACGAACAGCAGATAGGTTGCACTCTTGAGGGGGAGCCCGGGAAGATACAGACTGGTGGTGTTGGTTGTGGTGGAGGGATCGCTGGCCGGGCCTGTACTCTCCCGTTAGCAACATCATTGGTCGTTTCTACCCACCTTCCGTTCCTTCACTTACCTTCAAGCCACAACACACTTCAATCTGCACTTCTGGTGAGGAAATCTTGTTTCGCCGCAGAAGCCGTCGAGTAAAGGTAACCGGGTCGATGTAATGGGAAAACGAAATCGGAGGTGTGCATGGTAATCCCATGATTACGACTAGGTGGAGATATCAGGTAAGGTATGTGATACGTGGCAAGCGAATACTTCAGCTTAATTGTAATTATGTAGAGAACACTGTAATTAATTCGAGATGAGGACACTACATGCTAGTTTTCATAGATCTACCTCACAACAAACGACGACTCCGCGGTAACCCCCCCCCCCCCCCCAAACACGTTCATTTCAAAGATTTGAATCCAAATTTCTTGCCCGTCAAACCATCACCGCCACCATAAAAAGCTTTTTATACCAACTTTTGGTCCGACTAAACGTGTCAATACTATTGGCAATACTCAGTTTTGAAATGGAGATAAAATACGTTCGATCACTCGTACTATACATGTATAGTATTGAATGCCAGATTCGACCGAAAATATTCTTAGTGTTTAAATTATAATTATACTCGCTTCCTCTTTCAATCTTCCATACTCAACTCGATGTGGTGAAATAATGATTTGAGATCGAAACTTTTAGATAACTTTTTCTCCAGAAACCACTACTACATGTAGTCCATCAGTCAAGTGCAGCAATATCACACGATCAATACACAGAACTAATGCATAAAACCAAGACAGTTAGAGAATGTTACACCGTTGGGGAACGCGTGGTATGGAATCAGAAGCGTTCTGATTTAAGCTTCGCGCTTTTCGAGCTGCTTCCCAAACTAGAACTCTACCTTACTTTTACCAATGACGATGTGGGAATTGTAAGAGACGACAACGCAACTCTCAACAACTCCTTCATGACCCTCAAGAACATTCATCAATCCCAAGTTTGAACAAAAATAATTACGCTAAATTACATGCTCGGGGTTTCTCCAACCTGACAGGATTTAGTCATAGATATATATCGGCTATTCTATCGGAGGAGGAAATGATGTTATCTTCTATTCCCAGGCCTTGTCGAATCAAACTTCCTAAGCAATCCAACAACTGAGTTCTAGCAGAATGTGCACGAGTTACAATTTATACACACAACTACTATAATCGCTGTCGTTATATCGTAACAAGTCAATTTCAACCGTTAGAATTTACCGATATGTACAAAATATATACTAGAGATATAGCTAATGAACCTATATGGGAAAGCGATTCGGAAAAAACGGAACTCTTGTTAAAGAAGGATATATTCAATAAGGATAACTTGCCTTCAAACATATCATCGGTTATACTCAAAATTTGGAGAATGTATTTCACTTTATTGGAACACATAAATCATCTATCCCCTTTACTTGAGAAAGAAAGAATATGTATTCGCGATCGCTCTTATCAACAAAATTATAATTTAGTAAATGTTTATTGGCAGAAATTTGGAATGTATGTTTAATTCATAAATACTCATGTGTGAGCAGTAGTTTACGTACGTTGATGTCGCTGTCTTGTAATATATTATTTATTTCATAACGGACCCCATCAATCATTATATCAGCAGAGCTCGAGGTGTTTTTCATCCGTTTTTCTCCTCCAACAAAATGACTCCTTTAGTTAAGTGGAGTTTTCCACTGCAACGGTGCCCAAATGGTACGGTTCAAAAGGTCACAGCCTCTCTTGCTCGGATCATCTGCTAGACACATGAGCTGTACTAACGTGTAGTGTATGCGGGCACGTGTGCGGCCTGGCTCGGCCATCCGATATATGCCGACGACGTCACGAGTCTTGGTATTCTCACCCCCGACCCTCTCTTCTCTCCGACACTCCTGTCTAATACCCACATCCACGATCCAGACCTCGCCAAAATCTTCACGCGGAGATGAAGCCCCCGCGCCCCCGCACCCCGCGTTGGCTCTGTCTCAGACACGGCTGCTCTTCACGTAGTTTAGGGCGCGAGACCAGCCCGAGTCGGACAACGTACGGTTCGCGATCGGAGATATGTTGTCACTGCTTTGGCCCACTTCCGCGCACTAGTACGCGTTGGGCGGTCCGAGTGATGATACATGACGTCACGCGCGCCCACGCATCCATCTACACATGTATTTACCTACAGAAAAACCACCCTCATGCCTCACCGGAGGACCCTTCGTGAGACAATTGATCGACCATGCCTTACCGAGCCTTGCAACGAGAGGAGTAGGATGGGCCTGAGAACCTCCTCAGGGCACTCCTAAGCTACCGGCGGAGTGGAAATATGCATTAATCGGTATATATATAGTATTTCCCGTGTAGCTTGACCCCAGGTTCGAGCTGATAGGTACTGATCTTAGGACAGACGGATCCGGGGGACACCTGTGCCAACTGTTTCTGTACTATACTTGGGTTTTCGGGTATAGCGGTCAAGGCACCCGCTGTAAGCTAATCACCAAGGAAGGGTACGACAAGTGGCCCCAGAAGACGGTCAAAGTCGCGGTGTTGGAAGAAACTGAAAGGATGGAATCAGAGTAGAGGAAGAAACAACTGAAGCTGGAGGGAGGGGCATCGGAGGGAAGAGTGCGCAAGGAGGGGGGACCGAAGGGAGCAGCGCTCGAAGACGGAGCTGAGAATGGAGATGCGAGTAAGAAAATTGGCTGAAAGGAAGTGGCTCGTCTCTTATGCCGGATAAAAAGGTGTCCAGCCTAGCATAGTAGGAGATTGTAGATATGATGATTTGATGAACGGGTTTGCATAGAACGCCGCCCGAATTGCATGCGGTGGGAATAAGACAATATAAAGTTGGCTATTTCCACAACAAGTGTTTGTTTTGACCTTACTACCGGCATCATCGGCAGGCAGGCCTCGTCGTAGGGATAGGATTAACCTTGAAATATCCGATATAGCGCAAAGCATTGCCTGAAGTTGAACAGTAATGGCCGCCTCCCGTAAGTAATAGAATGCGTTCTGTTGAAATAGAGGATGGTTTTCGAATAGGTCAGATTCCCATAAGTATAAGGTGATTGCTATAGATTCCTAATGATCTAATTGGCTCTTAATACAAATTGGGCATCGTGAATTAACCATGTTTTGGAACTACATGTATTTTTCGCATTAGCAAGGTATCCTCCCTATTGCAACAGATAGAAAATCGATAGAAGTGTATCTACCAAATAGACCCCCCCTTCTAAGATGGGGTCTATAACAAAAGAAACAGACCCCCCGGTCTATCACTCATGGAAGGTGTCCAATGGCTGTGATAACTGAATGACTGCTGAGCGCGATCCGTTAGTCGTTCTTTCGAGTGTAAACCGTATCTGAATCTGTACCGGCGATATAGAAACAAGAATGGCCTGAATGATTGATAGAGCACTCCTGAATAATCACATGTATGTGTAGCTATCGGGTGATGACTGAAGATAAAACACATTTGGTGACACGCATCTGCTTACCCCATCGAAAACGCCAGACTGGTCATACCTAAAGGTGACAAGTCCCCAAGATGGTATAGCAGAGAATCGGAACACAAACCCACTTTTCACCGTACGAACCTTCCATCAAAAGCATATCACCCCATTCTCTACTAAAAACCAGGAATTCAGTAGCCGCAAGTAATGACAGCTACTACTAAATGTAATGTACGTTCAGCCCAGCTTGAGACAAAAGGCCAAACCTGTCATATTAATGGAACAAGCCGCCGCCTGAACATACAGGCAGAGAAGACATACTTTGTTGGTAATGGAATCACTTGTTCTACACGTGCACCTTTGGCTATGGAAGGAATAATGACTGAATTACCGGCAGGCGTGGTTGGGGATGATGTTCTTTCTACTAGCCGTAGTGGAAGTACCATTCAACGACCTTAGGACGAGAGCTACATGGAGATAGAGAGCTCCAGTTCATATCCATCCTATATGCACGATTGTATAAGCACAACCGAAGGAAGCTCGCATGAAGGATACTATTTTCTCCTGTTCAGAAGTGCCTGATTGAGACAATTAAGCAGTGCTATTGATAATATCCTAATTTAGTGATGCACAACAGCCGCATACCGGGTTGCCACCGCTGAGTGGGCTCAATCTACCACTTCTTCCATGCAACACGTACACAGGTGTAGAAAACGAGTGATACATCATGATGTTACTCACGCCACCAACCACATCCCACTACAAAATAGCTCGGTATTATCCTACCACATGAAACAGAATAGACTCCTACAAGGGTTAAGAATGCTAAAACCGAAGCCAAAGATGGCATTTTTGGACCCTAACCCTGAGCTGAGACGGACAAAGGAGTGCCTTGAGACGCAAATCTGAAAGAGTCTCTATTGCGCTACAATAAACCACGGGAGTGTGCGGCTACAAGAAAAAAAAGAAGCGTGCGCTATGTTACCAAGTGTCTTGAGCGATTGTGATCAGCAGTATTGAATTGTTGAGATGCGTGCCAAAGTCTTTGAGGCGCGTGATATATCGGCTTGCGTGCGCATGTTACTTGATCTGCAGACCGTTTGTGGGGGCGCACGACAAGAGGGTGAATACAGCCGCTGAGAGATGGACAAGAGCTAGGAGAGTTTCTACAACGGGATTGCGCGGGAGTACAGGGTCGGTGTACATACACAATGGCCCAGACACTGCTGGGGTTCTTCAGCATACTGCGTTTTGAGGGGTGTTAAATACCTGCCATACGCCCATAGTCACTGGAAATCAGAAACTACAATCTTCACAATACCACCTCCAGATCTATAGTCACGGAATACCAGACACTACCAACTCACAATATCACTATCTCAAACCCACACAAAACGAGAACCCACGTTTCCAGAACTCTATCCTCCAAGCCGTCAGTAATAACCACAATGTCCAACCCCCTCTTCGTCAACATCCACACCAACCCCGCCCCCACCTTCACCCTCCAAACCCCCACCGCCCACCTCTCCCTCCACCAAAGTGCCCCACCTCCCTGCAAGTGCACCTCACCCCCTCGCACCTCACCGTCGCCATGCACTCGACCCCCGCCGCGGCCCCCTCCCCGGGCCCCACAATCCGCAACCTGCACCCCCCGCTCCTCCTTGCGCCAGATTATACCAGCAGCGGCAGCGTCTCAGGCGCGAGTACTCGCAGCATGGGCGGCTTCGCGGCGCACGGAGGTAGGGTACTGGCGGCGCACCCGGACGATATGTATAGAGTGGGCAGGTATGATGGGAGGGAGAATAGCTGGGAGTTGTTGGCGAAGAGGGTGAAGGGGTTGGATATGGCGAGTGGGAGTGGCAGTGGGGGTGAGAGGGACGGGAGGAGGGGTACGGGAGTGGAAGGAGTAGGAGGAGGTAGGGTGGGTGGTGGGGTGTTTTCGGTGTTTGGGGTGCCCTAAGTAGTGTGGGGAGTGATGTGTGGGTGATTATGTGTAGCCTGGAGGTGGTTTGTTTTGGGATGTTGGGGGTGCTGTAGAGTGTTGTAAGTGGTGGTGGGGCGGAGGGGAGTGAAGGTGAGAGGGTGACGGAAAGAGAGTATTGGACAGTGGTGTAGTACCTGAGGAGTGAGTATGTACTTGGAATAGACCGCGTTATGAATTATGATTTTTTGTCAGCAGCTATTTATGTTCCTGTTGTTGTTTTTCGGATACCTGGAAGTAGTTGCTGTGACCATGTAGTTCAAGTATTAGTGTTGAAACAATATGAACGATTTAGCAGTTGCCACAAGTTTCGAGTGATAATCCATGACTATAAGATAATCATCTGAAGAACGACTAGAAAAGACTAACGTGACGCATAGAAAGATACATGTACATATATCTGAGATGGAGAGAAAGAACCTTGCCATGCAGTTCATACATAATACAATGAAAACAAAGCCCCCAGCCATTGTATTGACGGATGAATCATGAAGCCTCTCACATGAACGCATCTCCGAAGGTCCTCAACCGTAGAAATAGGTAGGGATAATGATATTAAATGGCATGGATTCGTCCAAATGCGTAGTATTTCCTAAGTCTTACAGTGTTACCGCTTTCACCACTGTGCAATTAGAATCGGGACTCGGAGCGAGAGAGAATGCACATTGTATATATATAGACGCAACTTGTGTCCATATCAACTTTCTGTGGGGAATATCGTCTTATAGCATATCAACATTACCTCACAGATAAACTCACCACCCACTGATCATCCTCATATTTTCCTAACACACTATCGCTGCCGCCTACCCCAGCACAAATATGCAATCCACAACCACGCGCCGCGCTCCCCTCCTCTCCCGCTCCAACAACCAACCCACAGCAATTTCTCGACCAGAGTCCCCCTCCCCCATAGTCCCAGCCTCAGCTTCACATCGCGGGCCCCCGCCGACTGGTACACCGGCCAATTCAAGGCCAACTTCGGGCGAAATCCATACCTAGCCTCCCCACAAAACCGAGAGATCCCAGCAAGCTGGAGAGACAGCTCCCATATCCGCGCACCCCCATCTTCACCCCAAGAGTTAGAAGCGGGGCATGGTAATCCTCGGCTGCACACGCCGTTTGGCGGGTATTGGAGCTGGGCGGGAGACGTACAGCCGATATATCTAGACGGGCTTGACAAACGCCAGGAGGAGGAGAGGAAGGTTGAGGAGGTACAGCGGATGGTTGAGAAGCGACTTCAGGAGCTTTTCGAGAAGAACAAGGATAGTCGAGTTTCTTCTGACAGAGATATCGCTGCGGGTGAAGGGTCGCTGGCGGGAGTGGGGGGTTTGAGGAAGTCGTTACCGGTGCCGACGGGAAAAACTGATTGGGCACGAGTGTGGCAGATACCAGGAACGACACTGGCTGGATGTGAGGAGTTTGGCCGCCCTTGTGTTGAGGGGGGTGACGGTGCAGGTTTTTATTCAGCGCCCATTGCTGGGCTTACGCAGGAGAAGGTGGATGAGGCCAATAGCTGGCATGTGAAGGCAGACAAAGTCGTAGAAAGCAATGCTATAAGATGGAGTGGTGGCATCCCTAATGTTCTCGTTGCTCACCGCGATGATAGGGCGAGGGGCGGCGAGGAAACGCAGTCTCTCGAGGCAAGCATGATAGCGGATGTGCTGCGGAGGGTCAATACGGCCGAGTATGGACTTGAAAGGGCTAGAAAGCGAATCCAGGAGCTTGAAGAAGCGTTGACAGATATGAAGAAGGAGGTGGCAAAGTGCCGGGAGGAGGAGTTGGATCTCGCACAACGTGTCAGCGAGATAGAATCTAGGAATAGATTGATGGGTGAGATACTCGGTGGGTACGCCACGAGGAGTTTGAAAGAGGGGTTTGAAAGGCGCGGGGGCTGGGGAGGGTCTGCGATCTCTGATATGTGTTAGCTACATGTAGTTGTAGGTAGCATGATGCTCGTGGGGATATACACTGGTTGGTGCGAGGAGCATTCCTAAATCCTCCCTTTGTCAGATTTAACTCTTTAAGATGTAATGTAATTAGGAGAGGCATGTGCGTGAATATGTTGGTTCTTTGATCACACAGTCGGCAAATGGACGAAACGGGCAAGTAGAAAGGTTAGTATTTATAAGGCAAATATTGCGAGCCAGGTAGAAAGACATTTATGAGTCGTGGTTAAGAATGATTTCTGATATTTACAGACAGGCCCGATAAAACCAAAAAAAACAAAAACAAGATACTTGCCTTAATATCAAATTTCGTATTGGCAACTCCCATTGTTCGATACAGTACAAGCTTTTCCTGTTCCTATTTAATTGCGGAGCTAGGAATATTTCAATGGAAAAACAAACTTAATGTATTGCAATCGTTTAATAGTATTATTAGTAGACATGAAATTTATATAAACACGGTGGTTGAATTATTTTTGTCGTGTTCTTTTCATTTATACTCAACATAACATCCGTCCTCAAGCAAAATATAGTTCTTTGGCAGTTGTTCTATCGCCCCCGACAGAATCCCACGACAACACCGACCCACGAACCCCCCCGCCACAACTCCGCGTTAAGTTTACAGCACCCTACAAAAAACCACAATTCCGCACCAGTTCCCGGGAACAGATCCAGCAGATACACCCCCCCCCCCCCCTTTTCCCTCGCTACAACAAGGCATCAACCAAAAAAGAAAATGGATACGCAGGGTTCCGAAGGGTATGAGTTTTTACTGTACCAAAATAATCGTCTATCACTTGCGGTGGGACTACTTCAAGTACTGGAAAAACTTGAACACTATCTTATTCTTACATCCGAATATCCCTCCAGTGAGAATGAAATTGAGAGGTTTGAAGATGGCTTGTACACAACGTTGGTTCCAAATCAAGATTTTCATGGTTGTTACGGTTTCACGGGACTTATATCAAATTATGAAGAGATTACTGGCCTAACGCATTTAGATGCGGCTAAAATTCTGGGTATGGAAAGCCAAATATTTGGTTGTATAGTTGCAAAATTTCCAACGACTATAAAATCAGTTTCAGATGACAGAGAAACTTGCAAATCTCTTCTGACTTACTGTAAATATGTACTGGAAGGAACTACGTTATCATTTGATAGCTGGGACGTAGTAAATGGCCAATTGCAGACTCTTTTAGGTCTCACTGAACACAGCTATAGAGATCTTCCAAAATACAAGGGGGGGTTCTCAAAACCTACCTATTTGGGAGAGCAGGGAGCAAAAACTGGAACTCAAACCTAGAACTGTATGGGAAGAATGCTTAGATGAGACTAAATTACCGGCAAATATTTGCTCAACCATTCCCAAAGTTTGGAGAATGTATTTCACTCTGATGGAACATATCAATCATCCATCCCCTCAGCTAGGAAAAGACTTGACTAAGGAGATACCTTCCGCAGACAATTACAGACTGGTGAATGAGTATTGGGAAAAACTTGGAATATATATTTAGACGTCAACGCGGAGAAACTTCATATTTGTATCAATTGCTGCCCGCTACTACGCACTCAAGTGTGTTTACTGTTCTGTATATGAAACGTATTTTAAAGAGAACTTTGTTGACAATATACATGTATATACACCAATAATTCTTTATCACTAACTTGATGTCTCGCGCCAGACTACCAGGCTCACTCAGGGTTAGGGTGCGGGTGATACGCAACTACACCTAGGGCCTATACCCTAATTGCCCGATTAACGCCAGGTCACCTGGTAAGCGTCTGAGTTTATCGAGACTAGTGTTCTCTGTCCGTAGGCGTTCATTTCCTTAACAACGATAGTTTTATGGTTACCACACACACACGGAATTTGAGTACCGGTAACAGAGATTATGCAGATAAAAAGCCGGGAATTGATATTTACAGACTCTAGCATTAGCGCCCGCCACGCAGTAGTTGACACATCGAGAACAGACCTCCGTTCCAGCCAAACACGCGCCAACACAGAGCATCGTGAGTCCCTCCTCTATCTCTACACCTTGATCGTGGCCCTCTACCCATCAACATGTCATTCTCTGTCATCATCCAGCAGAAATGTGGCGGGTAGCACATTCAAAATCCCATAGATATGGTACAATCCACCCGACGTTCAGGTTACCAAGCAGCTCATAGTACGCCCCCCCCCCCCCCCCCCCGCGGCTCACCGCTCTGTCGTAGCACAGCCAAATACTAACGCTTACTATCCTCTCCGATCCGCTGCACCCATTGAAATACCTCCCGCCCTCCCGCTGGGCGGCGGCGGTCTAATACTATCCCCGCGCGCCCAGCGGACAGGAGGAAAAAAGATAGTATATGCCATTCTCTCCGCTTTGTAACTGGATCCGACAAAAGGCTGTACAGAACCCCGCAGGGCCATTCTAAGCATGGCCGCTGCCGTCAACATGGTAGAGCTTTAGCATCATGGGTGTGTATTGCAGGTTGTCAAAAGGTAACCGGAGCTAGATTTGCGCTGCAACCAAAAATTTGTACACATATACTAGCAATGGCCGAACTCGCGAGCGCGAGTTCCTTTTACTCCAATTAATTGTGCCTTTCGTGGGGCCTTCCATCTCGACCCCCCCCCCCCCTCTGCGCCAGTGAAGGGACCTCTTGAACCCATCATTCTGCTGCGAATACCTCATTTAAGGTATCTCTCGATACCACCCAGTAAATAAAATAAATTTACCGTACCACGCCCCATTAATGAATTTATGGCTTTTGATACCCCCCTTCGGATGATTATAGCTCTCTCATGTAGGCGGGGGAGACAAAAAAAATATTGCCCCGCCCAGAGAGTCGAACCCCGGCCCCTCGCACAACTCTTACCCACCTAGTCGATTCTTGAGATGCAAACCACTACACCACCGAGACGTGTTGTCAATGCTGCTATGTCTGTTTTTGGGCGGCTGGTCTTGTATGCGTCCTCCGTGAGCCCCGGGAAGAAATGTAGTAAATGTACTACATGTATGTACCCGGGGGTGCCGGAAAGTGATGCAACGATCAAATGGTCCATATTTCTCAACAACCAAAGTAGCTAACAGAATGTGGAGCGAATCTATGGTAATTTAGAGGCTGGAGATCATAGTTATGGTAAGAGTTGATGTGGGTGGCTGTTGATTCTCCTTTTATCACTGTCTCTTGTCACAAGTTGTCCTTTTGTAGGCTAAAACCCCCAAATCAGTGACTTGAAAAATTGCAAACTCTATTCTAGAGACCCATTCATCATGCGTATGACTAAAATATCTATCCTTCTCAAGCATTGTGTTGTGTTAAAAGTTGAAGTTCTAAGTACCTTTCGGCGTTGCTAGGTCAAACGTTGCATCACTTTCCGGCACCCCTGGGTACATGTAGACTACTACATGATGTAGGGGTGTGCCTGCTCACGTACATATATATATATGGGAATGCAACGTCTTCAACGCCACTTTACACAGCGGAACCATAAGAGGAATTGGACTTTTGTGGTTATTTATAGTTATATTGCCTCAGGGTTTTGGTGCGGGGGGGCCAATTAAGGGTGGTAGTTTTCAAGATTTGGTTGCGAGGCTCAGTAGTTTCCGGTGATTTTTGACAATCCACTATACTACGGCTTCTACTAAGGCCGGTTACGTGATATCGTTACTGTGATATACAAGGAAACGGCCCCCTGCTGTACACCTTCCCTCTCCTCTCCTCTCCTTCCGTGTGGTTGCGGTTGACGGAGCAGTCGTGAGCGCGTCATGGGGTATCACTCGCATTCATAAATTAACAAGACTATATTCCTTCCCTGGAGCTTCACTTTACAGTGGTTTTCAGAGCAGCCAGGGGAGGCGGTTGCTCTATTCCGCGTCCTGTTGAGGTGTTTTGATATGGAAGGTGACGCGGAGGCGAGGATCATGGGATGTCACTCGGGTGCTGAGAGCGTCATAGAGTATCACTCGCTATGTGGGATTCTACTGGTGAACTAGTGATATTTTGTTTTTGTTTAATTAATTAATTGGTGAACTGGTGCTAGATGTAAGTTTTTGTTTCGTAGTCGGTGTTGGGAATGATGGTGGGAGAGGGGGATGGTAGCTTGGTACGCGTGGTTTGATGTTTGGTGGGCGTCGCTTCGGTAATTGGCGGGGTGGGGGGTTAGTGGAGCTTCATGAGTTGCCTTTGGTTAAAATTGTGTCAAGCTTCACGAGTATGAACATTGACAAAGAACGGGCAACTAAACAGGGTCTATAATGGAGAAAGAACTTTTATTTGCTCCATATCCTCTCTAAACATCTGTCTACATCCCCCACACTAACCCTTCTTCCTCACCGGCGCCCTCCTCTTCCTCTCCAACGCCGCCAACTGCGCCTTCGACTTATGCGGCTTCCTGACCACAATAGTCCCCTCGCTCCCCGCCGCCGCATCATCCATCTTCGGCTCAACCTCCACCCTCCTCTTACAATACTTAATCCTCGGCCCGTGCCCCACCCCACCGCCACCACCACCGCTCATCCCACTCCCAGGCTTCCTCCCCCTCTTCAACGGCCCCTCCATCCTCTGCAAATGCGTCGGATACCCCTCTCCCCTCTCTCCTCCCCCCTCCCCGCCACCACCGTCCCCTCCCCCCACCACTGCCCCCTCCCCCAGCGCCATCGCAACCGCATTCCGAAAGTGCGTGCGCGGCGTCGGATCCTGCGACCGGTCCCAGGCTCGTCCCGCATACTCACCCGTGCAGAAGATACAGCCATAGGTGATGCGGCAGCCGCGGCGCCCGCATTCGCCGATCACGTGCGTGGTGGGGTGACGCTCGAGGATGTCGGCGTCGAGGACGAGGGTCTCGGTGTCGCTTTCGTAGTCGTGTGGGGCAGCGGCGGCGGGGGTGATGGTGCTGGGGCGGGTGAGGTGGGTGGTGTGGGCGGTGCGGGCGTAGGTGGGGGTGGGGAAGGAGGGGGAGTCGGCGGTGATGTGGAGGGGGTGCAGGCGGATGTGGGAGATGTCTTCGGGGGTGAAGTTGGGGTCGAAGACGTGGGGGTTGAGGACTACGGAGTTGTTTGATGACATTGGTGGTAGTTGTGGGTGGGAGTGTGGTGGCTTTGGTGGGGGTGGGGGGTGGCTTGAGAGGCGATGTAGAGGTGCTTCGTTGGCTGTCCCAAGGATAGATATGAGATACCCAGACCTTCCGGGTACTGCTCAGTGATTTCTAGACGGTGTTGGCAAATCTGACAATAGCAGATGGTGCTTACAGATCTGCCCTAGATGTAGACAAGAGAATGATGTAGAGATTGGCTGTTGGCTGCACCGCGGATGGAATTGAGCGACCGTGATGTCTGGACAATGTGAATTTTGTACTCCTAGCGATAGCGAGTGGTGCCTGCAGATCTGCCTTCGATGTGATGAAGGAGTGGTTGGTTGGCTGATGTGGAGATAGAATTGGTGGCCAGCGACCTTTCTAGTGGAGCGGAGTGATGTCTGGAGAATGTGATGTTGGCCTGTCTGTTTCTACCGTGCTTAGATTCGCGGTACGGTTGGGGGGATCACCAGCAGGGGAAACGTTGCCAGGGCCGTGTGGGGAGGCATACGGGTCGCTTCATGGAATATCACTCGGTGCAGTCCGGGTCACGTGCGCCGCTGTTTGGTCGGAGGCGCCCATGCACAGCGTGACAGATATACTCGAGGAATACGTGTATGTACTGAGTAGAGACGTGGAGGTGAACTACGTAGTAAGATAAAAAGACGTGTTTTCAAGCACACTTCATTTCACTGCACCTTGGAAGTGATGTTAACAAGTAGATGAGATATACTCACACCGGGGGTATATCTGCTGCTGAGCTAGGAACGCGACCTGGCTTTTCTATCTAGACATACATAAGGCATATATGGATCTGTATAATCCCAATTATCCTGCTGCCCTTTCTCCAGGAATCCACACCGCCGTCCACCAAATAGGATAACCAACTCCATCGTCACCCGTCTAAAATGATAGTCAACCTTGAAATCCGGCACGGTTAGTATCTCCCTCCACTTTTCCCCACAACCCATACTCACCTTACCCCCACAGACACCGCAACCGCGGCCATCACCGCCTCCCCAGACGACAGCTCCCTCGTATCCACCCTCATCCCACTCATCCAACCCACCGTCCCCTACCCGCCCACAAAATGGGACCTCTGCTTCGGCTCCGTCTGCCTCCTCCCCACCCGCACCCTCCTCTCCTACCACATCCACGACGGCGCAAACCTCTGGGTGCGCCCCCGCGCACACTCGCTCGACACTGGCGTCTTCCCACTGACCCTGCGGTTCAAGCAGGCGGGCGGCAAACATACCGTGCAGCTTGCGCTGACCACGGAGTACACTGTTGACGCTGTGAAGCGCGAGCTGCGTATGGTGGTTGGTGAGACGAGGAGTACGGGGTTCTGTTTGTATAGGAAGAGGGATGAGGCGAAGCGCGGGGATGTGGAGAGGGGGTTGGAGGTGGGGGCGGAGGAGGAGATGAGGAGGGGGGTGGAGATGGAGGCGGGGAAGACGCTGGGGAGTGTGGGGTGGAGGATGGGGAGGTGCTGGTGTGGGGGTTTGATAAGAGTGTGACGAGGGAGGTGAGGAGGAAGGCGAGGAAGGCTAAGGAGAAGGCGAAAGAGAGAGTGAAGGGGCTGAAGGGGAGGTATAGGGGGAAGAATGTGGGGGTGAGAAATACAGATGGAGGGGTGAATGATGAGAGGGTAGTAAACACAAACACAGACGGAGAGGGAGCTAGTCAGAGTGCTCGGGTAGTGGTTCAGAGTATGGGAGAGGACGAATGGGATAGCGAAGACGGAGAAGGTGAGGAAGCGGGGGTAAACGGTTGAGTGCAGTACTCATATCAGCGAGGAGGAGGAGCTCTCAAGAGAACTCAGCCATCTGAGCGCCATCTGTCTAGATGTCCTGTTTTCGAGTAAGGAAAAGCGCTAGCGTTAAACGTCTAGTATCATGTAATACGGTTAGAAACAGAGGAACCAGGTAGTAGTTTTGTTGAGTCGGCGGGTAGAAAGTAGTTCACCAGTTTCTGTATTGGGTCTTTCTGCTCTTATGTAATATGTTTAGTTGCCTTCCTATGTAGCATGAGGATCGTATAAGTGTAAGATTAGGGTCGTAAAGAATTGCGGCCCAGGCGGTATTAGAACCATATGATGATTCTGCTATCTGACTGTTTCGATTAATAAGTGTAGTGATCTCCGTCTTCAATATCTCGTAGACAGTCTGACACCATAGTCAGTCTCTCCACCGCTGTCGACTAAAAACGTAGGTCAGTTGCCTAGCTCGGGGTGAAGTTCCAAGTATGATTTAGGAAGTATAGCGAAATCCGGCAGTACAATATCGCCATAAGGATGTGGGGGTTTATTAATTTCGTTATGAAATATATCCCCATCATCATAAGAGTGCCCATCTCACCCCAAAAAACCCTGTCAAGACCGCTCGGGGGTCCATATCTTTATGTATAGCCTGAATATCCTTATGTACGATATCTTTATAACGAGGCACGGTTGGATTCAAAGCCCCAGCCAGAGCTACAAAACCGAAAAGGCTCAACGCAACACAGCTGGACCCTGGACACAAGCACAGGTACAAGTATGTCCAGATATCTGTTTCCCCGGCACTCCCATGTCACGCCTCAAGCTACATGTATCTTCCTCCCCCGCCAGCTCGACGCCAACAATCTACATCTGCCCTCAAAACACGCAAGCGAGATCGTTATAAGCAAGCTGTCTCCTTCTGGCTGGGCCGGGGGGTATAAATGACATCACGTAGCTCTTCGGGCACTCTTCCTACCCATTACACCACGAAGCTGAAGTTAGAAAAAGGAAAAAGACAATGGCCACAACTGAACCCTTCAAGTCCGCACCAGCGGCGCCCGTAAGCAGTAGCGAAGCTCCACCAGTGGCTACCCCAAGCACAATGGAGGCCGCACCACCGGCTCCACCAGCGGCCGCTGAAAGCAGCGTGGAAGCTCCACCAACTATGCCCGCAAGCAGCATGGGGGCCCCACCAGCGGCCCGAGCCAGCAGCATGGAAGCCCCACCAGCGGCGCGCCCCAGGTGTATGGAAGTCAGGTCGTGCCCGCCCAACCCCACCCTGTACCTGTCCAAGCCCGCCGCCTACAACCTCGTCGTCGAGCTCGACGACGCAACCTCTGACGCCTCTGCGAACTCGCCGACCTCAGACTGCCCGGAGTGCCCTTGTGTTGGGAACGGGGGGCTGTTCGACAACGTGAAGGAGGGGTTCCGGGACTTGGGGCAGAGGCTGGAGTGGCTGGTGAGTGAGCTGGCACTTGCGGTGCAGGAGCAGAGGGAGATGGAGGTGCGGTTTAGGGAGGTTGTTGAGCTGGTGGAGAGGGTGGTGAATGGGTTGGAGGGAGGGGAGGAGGAGGAGGAGGAGGAGGAGGAGGAGGAGGAGGAGGGGGAGGAAGGGGAGGTGCGTCCTTAGGATTGGTTGGGTGTGGGGCGATGTGGTGTGGTGGGTACGGCGAGTTGGGGGGGAGGGTGTGTTTTAGTCTGGGCGGGTTTGGATACGGATAGGTGGGTATGAAGCTTAAGACGTAACGGAGTTTCTAGTTGCGCTAATATTAATTACACCAGTTGCCTATTCCTGTAGTGGATTTGGGCTGGTGCTCGTCTGGGATATGGATGTCGTGACAGTGGAGTCCGACGTTTTACTGCGCTCCAAGGCGCCGTATCGGGGCGTTTTGGAGCGATTTCGATGCCACCGTTAAGCTGTAGATATCATGTGCCCTCGAACCATCACGCAGGAATTAATTACTTGTACGAGTAATTCGAGATTAAAAATTGATATAATTATATTCTTATTCAAATTAGAACTACATGTAGCTTTACAAACATTATCGAGCAACAGGAATACCAAAGATAAATCCCAAACACCGACCAATAAGGATGTACTAAATTATAGTCCTTAAGGGAAGGTTTCGTCTTTCGACACTCTTCTGACAGATAGGGGGGGTGGGTGGTTGACATGATGAATAAGGGTAAAGTACATCCTCCATACTTTCAGAATAACTGACGATACATTCGCAGCTAATTTATCACCCGTTTCCAATTCTTCCGGCGTAATTCCAGGTTGCAGTGCTACCTTTTGCTCTTTGCTTTCCCATAAAGGTATATTTTTTGATCCTCCTTGACAAAAATTTGGGTTTAAATAGTCATCTTCAATTAAACCCAAGCGAACAAGAGGCAACCCCCCGCACCTCTGCTGCCGACGTGTATCACACGGAAAATTGGCTGTTTCTTTCAATACTTAACATTTTCAAAGCATTTGTTCGATTGTTTGTTTCATTTCCAAATGTTGTTGGATAATTTGGGGCCGTTGTCGTCAAAATTCTTTTTTTCCAACTTCAAAATACTGATGATATAATAATGAGAAAACCCGGGATCATTTTCAGTTTCGTAATATAGTAATGGCCATAAATACTTCATGTTGAATAGCCCATATAAATTTTTATTCAATTGCACGACATAACCCGGTAGTTGGATATTGTCAATAGTTGATTTGTCGTGCTTTGCAAACTGAACATAGCTCTCAAGTGTTTCAACCGTTTGTAAAAGTCTTGTTGAAAGTAGCCAGCGGTTGTCGCTCTGAGTAGTTCGTGCTTGTTTTTCCGCTTCCAAAACGGATTGAAGTTCCATCGATAAGTTATCCTGAATTTTGTGTCAAGGATTAGAAGATGTATTTCGAGAAGATGGATGCAGCGATATATGGAAGGTGGGTATTAACCTAATCAAGAGTTCTTCAGATTAATGGTGAACACCCAGTACAGTAAATAGGTGATTCAAGTCGGGTCGGTAGGTCGCTCGTTCGAGCAGCACTTAGATGGCACTTTCAAATATTTTTGAGGTTATTGTTTGAATATATTTTGGGTTGAAACACACTGTTGGATTTCGGTATAAGAACGCACCACATTTCCAGTCCACAAAACCGCCATCATCCAACAAAAGTTACAAACCAGAATCCAACAAGCTGACCATGCCGTTTTCCACAAGAGCCTTCAACAACAGAGCTCCACCGGCTACGTCGCGCCCACGGCGCGACCTCATAATGTCCTTCTTCGCCCCATGCTCACCCCCCCGCGCCCCTCAATCTCCAAACAAAACCCAGCAGCCCTCAGAGTACCGAACCCTGCCCAACGGTGATGTGATCAGTCTCCGGCGCTGCCACCCTAGCAATGGTTTTAACGTCTTTCAGGAGACGAATCTACTCGGCGTTATCCGAAAGGTTCACCAGGCACAGGTGGACAGGGGTGTCGCAGCAGTAAGTGCGGTAAAGTGTAGGCCAGAGTACTGGACACCGCATTATCGCCTATGTGAGAGGTGGTATCCGCGGTATTGAGTGGGAGTAGCCTGTCGGAGCGAGGGATGGGGGGCGGAGGCCGAAGGAGTGCCGAAAGGTGGGGAGTCGTGGGTATTCATATGATGTGCGAATAATAGGGATTGATAACGGTAGTGGCGTTAGATTATAATTCACTAGAACCTTTAGCTAAGATTATAGAAAATATCTCACGAACTAAAAATTATTTGCCAGCTCCGAGGACGGTATTCATTTTGAAAAGGAAAGAAACCAACTCCTTTTCGTAGAGGTTATTGTTAGGCCTGGTCATATATAGCCGGTTATAACGGGTGCCCGTAAAAACTATCAATACCGAACTGAATACTGGTTCCGTAAGAAAGGATCAATATAATCACGAGATTCCTTCTATTAGAATATTCACACCTGAAAGGTTAAGCTGGTAGATTACTTTCGACTCTTGATAGCGCGATGAGCCACTCTCTTACACTGTCCATGTCAATGCACATAATATGTAGAGGCGCAGGTCTCTTTATGAACACGAGAGACTAGCTAGAACACAATATTAGGACGGCCCTCGTGGACTATGAAGAGGAAATTGTTCTACATTGGAGAATAGGGACTTGTGCCGTAATCATAGTTCTCAAAGTGCCTAATTTCTATCTACCCGAGAAAAAGATAAAGGGCAAGTAGGTACAGGTAATAATATGTGTCCTGCTGCTCGTTTCGTTGCCTTTGTTTGCACCCAGGCCACAAGTACATTCAAAAGCACACTTGTCTACATCTCGGTCTGAGAGCAGATACAACGAACTCATATGGTTATCATCAAGCAGATGATAGAGGCTGTCCTATTGCACCTCACCTGGACTATGACATCCTGCCGCCCAAATCTAACATTATATGTATGAATATACTTTAAGGATATGGAGCGTATGGTGCTGGCATGTTCCTCTGAAGTCACTAAGGAATGTACTGATAGAAAGACGGTTGGGCATTTAGCATTGCTAACAGCTATGTCAATTGGCATTATGACTCGAACATAACTGGTAAGCATCCAGCTTATTCCCCTACGATCAGCCCACTCACAAGCCCATCCTAACCCTTTTAATCGCTTCTCTTCTCTGATTTTCTTCATTATCCAGCTCCCTCACAGACACATTTAGCCTTTCAACTGGCTCCGGCCTCTCCAGCAGCTTCGCTCCGCGTGCCGGTTGAAGAACAACTTTGGCGTCAATAGGATAGTAATAAGCGGCTTTTGGTTTTTTTTCATCTCCCTGATGGAGGATAACCGCCATTCTATCGGTCACCTGTTTCTGCACCCGAGTTTCATATGTGCGTACAAACTTGTAAGGAAGCGTCTTCTCGATACCCTCTGAACTTGAAGATTTGTAATCGATGTCGACATTGTAGTCGTCGAAGCTACGTTTAGTATTGAGCGCGGCATGTTGTGTGGTGGGAAGGTAGTAGTCGAATGTCTGCACAGTGCCCTCCTCGTTATGCTGGTCATGCGGAATAATAATACCAACGTCCAACCTAAAATCTCTGTGTGGTGCTGGCGGGACAGGGCTTGTCTGGAAGCTGAAGACCATAAACCCGCCAGTATCACTACATGCCTCTGGATCGGGCAGTACTGGGAATTCCTCCACTGCGACGACACCGAGCCGGTCAGGATGCTTCATCGACTCAATTGGCTTCCACCTGTGCTCCGCCTGCACCGCAAACTCATCGTCTTCTTCAAACTCTGGCGTCTCTCGGGGTGTCTCCGGATTTGCTGTATCAAACCCGCGTAAAATCGCCTTGAGAATGCGGGTGGGCTCTTGATACTCCTCGTCATGCGAACGAAGAGTGACGAGCTTGGCCATGGCGAGACGCTGCGTACGTGCAAAGGCAGAAACGTGTGCATATTGTGGTCCGTCTGCCGAGATATACTCAGTGCGGCGGAGAAAAGAGGTGGATTTTCGTCCGAGGGCGGAGATAGGATTGTTTTTGCTTAGAAGATCGGTGGTTCGGAGAAGTAAGCGGTCGGTGGGATGCACATTGATGTGACTTAGTGCCGCGATAGCTACAATATTCTCAACAATAAGAATCGATCTAAAAAGGGTGAGGAACGCTTTGGTACTACTTACGCTTGTTTGATCCATCGAATATGCCTGGTTGATGGCTTATGTCCAGTTGCATTCCGCACTCGCTGTCAACATCAACATTTATGTGCTCCGTAAGCAGGCTCAGAGGAGTAAATGAAGCCCTACAAAACATCGGGAGAGGATCGATTGAGATAGGCAGGAGCTTTGGCGGACATGGAGGCTCGGCGACCTGTGCTCCGTAACGGATACGCGCAAGGTAGGTTTGCTCCTGGCTCAAGAGAAAGGGCTTAGGCTCGGAAGAATTTTTGATTGTCTCCATAACGAAGGATGATTGTTGTTTGTATGAGAAATGAGCTTTAGTAAATGTACATGTAGGTAGAGCATCCAAAAGGCATAGGGTTGCTTGGGTCTTGGCACGTAGGCTAGGAAGGGTTCTTGCAGAACGGGCTATTCTGACATCCGGGAGTTTCGGAAGAGGTCACAACTCATTAATTTCAGAACGAGCCTATCTCTCCATTGCAGTAACCAGTCATATTCACCGATCACCTTCAGTGCCATATCTGCTGAATAACTCGGAAGATGAGATATATTATCCACAGCAGACAACCACAGCTACAATTACCAGCTTATGTGTTATGCGCCTGTTCATTTACGGCCGATTTTAAACCACTCCAGCGGTGCTTAATATTTACTCATGCCTTGCTCCACCTAGAGAATAAAAAATCATGGAAAAATCCATTTATATGAGGTCATAGAGACCTTCTAAAGGACAGCCAAACCACCTAGAACACGTTTTAAAATAATTCTTGTTCATAAGAGAACATTCACGAAGTTCAGGTCTCTTCCTCCCGAAATGAGCCTCCTTATTATAGTTAATGATTTGTGCTACTACCTCGACATCTATAGCTTCAGAAATAGGCCGGCAATGCTGTGAAGGGCTCAGATGGTCTACTCAGTAAATGAATATGAGTACATATCTTATTCTCGTTCTTTGGTGGATCAGGATGATATATATGTATTATCTGTGATCACACCAGTTCCTAGAGCTTTGTATGCGGAATTTAAAAGATAATGATAAAGTGCGTGTCGACGTACTATTGATCTGATAGAAACGGTGCGGCCTTCTGTCTTTTAAACCTCATGACTCATTTCATATAGGTGTTCCACGAGAAACGAAGAGATTTTGGACAGGAAATTGACAAGTAAGAACTGGTCAATGAAAAAAAGCCTTGTTTATCAGGTGGTAACATCCCTTTCTATCTGTGAAGTACATTTAGTGAAGTTCTTCCATGTCTTTCAGTGCAAACCTCAATTTAATTTTACACACTGCTTCAATTTTGTACGCTGGGTAATGAAACGGCGACGTGACGGGAGTGCGCTCGAGATTATCTAGGGAAAGCATATATCAATTACCGTTATGTAACACTTTCAAAAATATATTTAATTTTTAAGGAAAACACGCATGCGCAGACGAACATTGATATTGACGTGCTAGGGCAATCACTTAACCATATACTGAACATCTATAAAGCCCGGATCCAAACATGAATGGGATTATGTCATTCGCCTTCACAATATATATATTGATCTAAGGACAGAATATTCGTAAGAATTCAGTACGCTGAAACCTTTGAAGCCTAGCTAGAGGTCCTCATTGGCCCACGTCGCCCTGTACGAAAAAATCTACTTCCAACTGCGATCAACTACCCTTACTCTATCCTGCTTCATCCAGCCAATAGGACTCGAGGCTTGATGAGAACCTAAATATCAGTGAGGTAAAAACCCCAGAAGTTTATGGATATCATCTCTATTGAAGGGCGTCTTTTGACTCCGCGTCGATATAATATTTGGGGAGCGAGAAGTGTTGCTTGACCACCAAGAGCTCCAGATCGACCCAGTGTCAATAGGAAACACAAAAAACCGCGAGGACTGACCACCTGTAGTATGCACAAAGTAAGGTTTTACCGATACCAATTGACCTATCTTTTCAATAAGGATCTCCTTTAAAAGCTTCATTGCAATGTTTAAGAATATACAATGGTGCAATAATACATGTGTCGATGTTAAGGGAAACACTGGGTGAGATAAGTACATTACAAGAGGGCTTCATAGGGGAAGAGCATTAGCAATTGAGGCTGATTTTTAGATGTCTGTCCACGCTTGCTACGCCGAAATGTTTCTCAACATCACCATTCTCCCCATCTTTTGCAGGCTCGTCGACTGTTATACAATTGGTAAGTTATATAGGTCATCCATAGGGTTTGGATTTCCAGAGAACCTACAAGCACTGAACCAGAAAACTGGGATCCCTTGCATCACAAGCGGGCAAGCAGTATCGTACCAGTACCTCTGAAGATTTGCGACGGATGTCTGACCACCTTTAAAAGATGGACCAGCAGAAGGCCAACCAGTCTCGCCAACGATGATAGGCTTATCAGGAATAAGATTCTTGACTGTGTTAAAGTTTCCAGTAAAAATACCTCCAGCAGCTTCGATCGGTATTCCTTGCCAATAAGGAAATCCATTTGTTAAGACGACCTACGAGTAATGTCAGTCGATTACTTTAATACTTTCTCATGGAATAAATATACATCTGATACCCCCAGAACGATCTTCGTAGCGGGAGAAACCAGTTGGGTCCAGGTGTCGGCACACCCGATTGCAATATGTGGAGCACCTAACGTTACTTTGACCAACATCTTCACTTGATTAATGTAACGGGCCAAGGTTGCGGGCTTCAGACTACCCTGGTACAGATGCTCTGATCCGACATTTATTCCAGCAATCCAATCCGTTCCCCAAGTTCTAATAGCATATTCAAGCTCATCCCGCTCGCGGATATACTTGTCTTTAGGTGTGGCCCAGATAGTAACCCAGATTTTTATGTATGTTGCCTGCGCAGCTGGCACAGCGTTTTTAAGATTGAAGCAGTCTGAAGTTGAAAATAGTCTTGCAGTATTGACTTGGACCATGTCATGTGACCATGATCGTATAGTTCGAAAGTCTTCAATCCAATCATCTGTTGTCTTACATGCACCATCGGCCTACGATAACGCACGTTCTTGTTAGAAAAGCCTTATTCGAGGAACCAAAAGGTTTACATACGCGTTTATGTCCAATGTTAAAGCCAACATTGCCGGTAAGTACTGGCGAGGTGTAGACCACCCCAAGGCTCAGAAGAGATACAAGAACTACACAGATTCTCATATTAGAAGATTTTAGAATCCTTGGCCAAGAAAATAGAAACTTTGCGATCGGTTGTTTAATTGTGCTGGGAGTATAGCTGATGTAGACTGAAGGTCAGATGTGGGAAGAAGACTGACTTATAAGGATATCTGCTTCACCAACGTGTCTTCAAACCTTAAGCTATGGTTAACAGATTACGAGGAAGAAAAGAGAAGAGATTGTCACATACGTTGGCCTAATCGCCTGATACCAGATCCACGATTCTGCCCTGTTGATCCGGGAAAGGAGTCAATCACGTGTATGGCCTTTGTGGACTCCGTTCAACCTAGGAGAAAGCTCTCAAGTGTCGATATCTCCCATTTTCTTTAGTAGGCCTATTCAATCCTCTTAAACTATTTAGTACTCTCTGTCGGCATAACCTTCAGTTAGCCCGTCGACCTTGGCACTTCCGGCTTAATGGGTCTTTGAGCTGTTAGTCTCCTTCCTTAGAAGCATGGTAGGTTGGGGTATGTTTAAGTGAGAAGGGATCTAGCCCAATGAGCTCTTCAAGCCTTATTCGGACATCTGCACGCGCAATAAGAAGGACTTGGGGATGGCCCTCGAGCGCCGACTGCTATCTGCCAGATCTCACTGAAGATGTTGAAAGCAAAGAGATAGACCATTCCCGAGCGAGTCGGATCGTACACCCGAGTGCGTTGCGGTAGGCTTCTTTCTTGTCAGGAGCAGGAGGGATGTCTGGGATTTAAACCCATACCACCCAAACGGCTTTACAACGCCTAAACGTTGCCGAGCATAGGGAGCGCTCACCAATTACACAATCAGAGCTTGAATGTGTTATTGTTTAGATCTTATATGACCTGGTGGTAATGATTCTGGGCGTTATATATTACCATTAAATCTCGATGCACTCCAAATATCTCTCGGTGTGCGTCTACTGAGAACCCAATACCTTGTGGCAAGGTTCCGGCATTTTTTACTACGAATGACAGCTCTGTGAGATTTATAAACCTGATACCCACGTATAACTGGTAATACGGATAAAAATGGCCTAGAATGACTACCAATTGTCATGGACCATGTATGCGTATACGAAGCCAACAATTCCAGAAGTTATGTGTTGGGGCTGGAGAGAGTAAGCGGGTTGAACCCCCCCCCCCGCGCCCCGATCTCTCCGCCCAGAAAGTCCCGAGGTCTGAACTGCGGGAGCTTTGGATTGTAGTTATTTGGGTAGGCTAGGATCTCTCTAAGGTCCACAGAAGTACCCGATGGGCGGTGGGTTGACTTGTGGTTTTGTGGGTGTTTGCATGGAGTGTTCCTAGGAGTCTTCGTGTCGCAGGAATTATGAATTATCTTAAGCATCCAATGCTGTGACAATTTTCTTTCCTTATAAAATATGCGGGAACTTGAATGAGAGAAGTTTGATTCTAAATGACGACGCTCTATTTTATCTCAGAAAAGCCCTCCTTATGAGAGTCTTACGTCATGTGGCCTGAGGTCGTTACCGTTTGGGCCTATTGTAAAATTTAGCCTGTATCCGGACTGTGAAAGCCCGTTGCTCATGATCAGCCATTTTCGGTTTCACTGGGACAATATATTGATCGATGGGATAACTTACAAAAGAGTATAAAGTATCCTACTTTGTTCGGTGTTAATTTATAGTAAACTCAACCAACTTAATGGATTATACAACCAATAGGTTAGGTCATATTCCATCACTCGCTTCCCCTCATTATCATGTTACGTAGTAGTCATCATATTCTGCTTGATTCATTAGATAAATTGATATCAAGTACGTTTGAAAACAATTATTTTTATATTTCCGGGACATACCCAGCGTATGTGGAGGGTGGGTGGGCGTAGTATGGGTCCATACCGGTACAGAACTGTTCGCCTCACACACCCGGCCCGTTTCTCGCGATCCAGACAGCATAGAGGTCACGCACATAGCCATTATATCAGATCCACTAATTGTTCTAACTACTAAATCATCCATTCCTTTATCACGGTAATGCGTGCAGCTATCATCAAAGTACAGTACCAAAAAAGCGGGTGGATCCAGTACTATCTTTGGCAAAATACCGTATTTTTACGGTATTGATACAGTATTAATACCGTATAATAGTTAGGATTCCGATTTACTTCGGAAGCTTTGCACGATTCCGTATTGGTACAGTACTTATTACATCCCGTTTTTTCGTACTGTACTTTATAGGCATAAGCGGGGTGTACCACGCTTGCTTCGGTCCAAGGCAACCCTAGGCTCGTCCCCAATATAACCCGTCTACTTCCATGCTTCCATCTGCAAGTAACGGGCTGGGTACGAGACTAAGGCAACCCGTGACTTACTTTATCAAACAAGCCAGAGGCGGCTCAGCCGTTGATAACTCTGTCGATTTGCATTTATATTGACGTAACGTACACTTTTGCTCGACACAACATTGAGAATTACTTAAAAAAAAAGTGCATACGTATGCCAGTTAATTCAATATCCTATGGAGAAGGTATATCTACAGTCCTTAACCCCATCTGGGTCATCATTTCTATAAACTAAAACTATTGAAAGAAGCAGGAATCAAGCGAGCTCCCAGCAAATTTGAAACCAGTAGAGCACGATTTCTCCCATGGCAGTCTTTGAAGGGCTGTAATACCTTTGTGAAACCCGCTGAGCAACCCGATACCCCCTCCCCCCACCCCCGGCCACCGCCGCACCGTTTGGAGGAACGGACACACATGGAATAAGTATCAAGAAGACGTGTAACGCGTTGCATATTAAGCCAGGAGGAAACCGAACTTAAACTACCTACTAAGCTAGGTGCATGAGCGTGGTCGTAGTATGTAACACAAGCTATTTTATGGAGGGATCAAAATGAGGAGATAGCGCTCACTATGCCATTTCTATCCATCCGGAACTAGCATATACACCGTTTTACTCCATTCAAAATAATTCTTCCACCTCTTTGAAGCCATTCGGACATCTCCAGCAGGAAAGCAGCAAAGTGCGGATTTAAGATTAGCTAATTCAAATTGTAAGATGTTCTAACTATAAAGATCTAGAAGATTGCTCTAAATGAACTAATAACCAAATTAAAAGGTAGCTCCAGAGGATTAATATGCCTTGTCGGTGTACATGAAACATCAAAGAGGTCGAGGGAAGTCGAGATATGGGAAAAAGGAGGTTACTATGTATAAGATGTGTGCGTGAATACTCTAGAGGAGCCGGGAGGCTTTACGTCACCTCTTCAACAGATATCAAGGTCAGATTTCATGACCAGATATCACTAAGATAGGAGTTGTAACCCAGGTCAATCTCATCTGCGTACGGACCGAATCAGACCTCTCCGCTGCACCAAAAGTGACTCGAATTATTCCCCAAGTACAAGACTGGTACTTCGTGTCTCGCGTTGCACTTTTGATATGCTTCTGGCCCAATGTACCAATGTGATTTTCTTTTTTTAAAAATCATAGTTTCATTGCTTTCTGGGTACAAGAATATCGCATGCAGCTGACGCTATGGCCTCTACCACCGAAGTTAATGCATCATGGAAATGAATCAAGGAAATGCTTCAAAGAAATGCTTCAAGGAAATGCATCAAGTCGGCAGTATGTGGTAACTCGTCGAGATTTTATATGGGGAAAGTCGTTTGAAAGGCATCGATAAAGTGGTTGGGAAATGCAGTAAATTACCTCGTCGGGAAATGAATCGGGAAATGAATCAGGGAATGAATCAGGAAATGAATCAGGAAATGGATCGGGGTTGGATCCTAGTCCCAAACTAGGCTAAAAAATTATTTTTCGATAAAATCGACTTGAGTGGGGATTGAACTCAAGTCTTGAATGGTTTTAACCACCTAGTAACCACTAAGCTTTGGTTTTGTTATAGATAACAGATTATTAAGTCTTCAAAATCTATAATTTCTGTTATTTTGACATCGGAAAGTTATCACAAAGGCGTCAGAAAGGCATCCCCAAAAGGCATCCCCGAAAAGCATCAAAAAAGGCATCAAAAAAGGCATCTCTTGATACATTTCCACTGAAAAGGCATCGAAATGATGCCTTTCCAAGAGACGCTTGCTGGAAAGGCATCAAGGTGATGCCTTTTCCAAAATATTACTATGGCAGGATGCATTTCCTGATGCACTTACCCCCGTGGTAGAGGGCGTGAACAAAACCCCGATGTACCAAGGTGATATGGTAAATGGGAGCATATAATGCTATTCTGATTCAAGTTAGTTCATTCGATTCGTCTAGTACGCGAAGGGAATGGGAGTGCCCCAGAGTCTTTGAATGTTATTAGGCACTGCGATCACATGCTTTACTGTTCAGTACTTGGCCCTGGGCTTATATCGTCGGCTGTAGGGAACAGTTACTCCAGTATATTTTCCAGCCTTGCTTTCCGGTCTTCCTATCCCGCCTTTCTTACTGCCAAGGGGGTTAGTGATGGTAATAATGTTCATGCTTCCGACGATCATGTCTTCGTAAAAGAATCTTGCGGTGATATGCGAAGATTCTAGTTAGATGATTGTGCGATCAGTATAGGAACTTTAACATTATGTCAATCTGAGCTACCAAATACTAAAATCGCGTACCCCTGCTCTTCGATTTGAGAGGGTTTAAAAGCTAAAGAAAGCACGTTGTTCGGCCAGTCATGTACGTTAGCTTGTGTACGTGTTCCCACATTGATAGCTTACACCTTCAACTCAGGCGAAGCCCCCCGCCGCGAGTGGGCTCAGCCCTACGGCAGAGTGTTGCTAGGATTATTCTCTTGGATGGTTAACCACAAATTACAACTTTGAGACTCTCTTAAAGGTGATGAAAAGTTTGTTTTCATCACACACATCCTGGAGTTCATATTCAAAAGAATGAGTGTTATCAATTGATATTAATCATACATATAAACTTCTATTTATTTAGAGATACGAGCTCCGCTAAGCTCCTTAGAATAGGGCGTAGTGTACATACCTTACCGTCGAAACGCATACAATTTTAAGCCTTATTCAGTCGGCTTATCCAGAACGTAGGCTTACAATAGCTTTATCAGTACAAAAATCCTTTTTTAAGCCTTATTTCATCCTTAAAACATGCTTAGATAATATTTATTTGAACCTTATTGGATTCATAAGGCTATTGTGAGCCTACGTTCTGGATAAGCCAACTGAATAAGGCTCAAAATTGTGTGCGTTTCGACGGTACATGTAGATGTACATTTAGTTTCGTACTCATCCCCAACTACATGTATGTAGTCGCCTCTGCTCGAAGGATAGAACGTAGGTGAACTGAGGACGAGCCTAGGCATAGTGTAATTTATACATATACATGTATGTATACGTACATGTACTTATAAGCTGTATGGAATGCTCATCCCTTTCAGACGCGTGTATACGCCGCAGAGCTAGATCGGTTGCAGTAAAAAGCTCGAATCTGAAAGTGGAATCTTTACTCAAGTTCATATCCACGACGACTAAGCAGGTTCATACCCTCGACGACTAAGCGTAACAACTGTGCAAAAGTCGCTTCAAATGTTTCTAGTCCTACCACCATCCTCCGTAATCACCAACGCATACAACCACATGTACATCAATCGATACTAGATTCGACGACAATGGAGACCCCCCATGCACCCCCAGATACAATGAAAATCAATGATCTCGTAAGTTGCTAATACCTCCGTCGCTCAAGCAAGCAGGTGTGTTTAATGATGGAATTTGACTTATTCGTTATACAGCTCAAGGATGACGAAATTGTGTTTCGAGGCCGTTGTGCATCAAGAATTCCCATCATTATCGTAACTGACTACTCGTTTTTACGTGGCGAGTTTGATAAAATGAGTGATGATCCCATCAATGACGATAACGAATCGGATGTATCAATGGACGAACAATCTAAGGAGAAAGACTCTTGTTGCTCCTCCCCGACGAGCATCTATTCGCTTCTAGCGTCGTCAGATGGTGGTGTCCCAGTATCTAGTAGCACCGTTCGTTCAGACTCCCTTTCAGCCTCATATAGACATCTAGTATCGCCAAGTAAGGCATCAACAATTGGTAACTAAATCTTCAGTGTCCCCTTACTCTTGAGCCAACTAAGGTTAACTTTACTCTGGTTTTCCTAGAGGGAACTAGAAGTAGTAGATACTCTGGGGGTGGTGATGGCGGTACCGCCTCGTCCGGTTCTAACTGCCCGCAGCAGGGAGGTGAGGGCAGCAAAGACCGCAAGTCTAAAGGTGAGGCCTATCAGTCAACCGGAGAAAGTTCTGCGCATCATGCGGTTAGCTGACCTCTGCACGGGGGGTCATACAGACGGCAATGTTCACGACAGGGTCTTACTGCTTATCGTCGAAGATTATTTTGGGACACCAGCTTCCGCCACAGATGTGCTCAAAGAGCGAATCCAGATGTGGATGGTTGATGTTGCAGCTGGGCCCCACGCCCTACCGCACTACGGTAAGAAGATCTCTGTTGTAAATGAGATATGTGCTGATATATAGTAGCTATTATAGATCCGGAAATCCTTGAGCCCTGTTCTAAATAAATCAATGATACTTCGTCGGTGTAGAATACAGCTATTTTGGTTTATTTTGATGTCGTTAGTACAATGGTATGTTGTCAGCTTGGTTTCTTCTTGTTCGGAGTTTTACGTAACTAATAATGTCCAATTCTTCGTAGAGCCTGGGTAAAAAGTAGACTGTACTTAGAAGGGCTATGTTATACAAGTATATAGCCTATCAAAGCACTGAATTCCAACAAGAGACACTGGTCTAACACTTCATCCATCATAATTCAAGTGACCTTTTCTCATATGTACAGTCAGAGGTGTGGAAGCGGGCTTTGTATATACGAGGTAATAGGAGATTGTGGGGGGAAAGGCTATGAAATCTCGCCATATAACCCTATACTACATGTAACTTCGCCCGGGATTGGAGTATTATCATCAGCTGGATTTGGCACGCCTAACGTGGACCTGCGTAAGCTATTACTAAATGTAGCTTCTAAACTACATGTATATATCCAAAATCACTTTAATTACATGTAGATACGTGTGTACATGTGTGAGTTTACAATTGATGTTCCCATAGTGTATACAACATGTATATATAGTTCTCAAATTAGTTTTCATATCAATAGGTTTTATTTACCGATTCACATTACTCGCACTGCCTCTAATTTTGATCAGCGCATTGACTACAGGAAGGAAAAACCTTCTCATCGTGGTATATGTGGTGTGAAGATCATATATTCTCACTCGAAGTAACAAACGTTTCCTGGCCTGTCTCTTCCTTCATGACCAGCTCATTCACCCACCACCTCACCCCACCACCAAATCTTTAACAACGCCCCTTAAACCCACAAATTAGCAACACATACCCGTTTCTCGACGATACCTAAACTCCACAATAATGCCGCCTTGGAGCGGCGACGTTCCCCCGGGATATATTGACCCCAGCCTACTCTACCTCGGTGTCGACGGCCAAGTATACCTTCGCACCCAAGAAGGAGCACACCCATCTGAGGCGGATCAGAGTTCATCTCACGAAAGCGTCTCTTCATTTAATACCGACACCAACAGTGGTAACGAACACCGCGCCTACCGCGTTAACCAACTCGACGACGCAGCGCAGGGTTTCAATTGGAGCATGGACGCGGTCTTTGCATATGACGCCCAAATTCGCACCGAACAGGTCCGCCGCCACCAACGGACTATCGAAATTGCTCGTCAGATCTACGCAGCACGAGTCGAACAAGCCCCCCGCCCTGGCGACTTGTACTACGATACTCCGGCCGAAACTAGAGTCATCCCATGGCCTGCATCGGAGAGGTCACTCAGTGATGTGATTGAACTTCTACAATTTGAGAAAAGTATCACCCGTGTGGGATGTCAGAGGTGGGAGGTGATTAGAGCGTGGCTTGGATGGGCGGTGGCTTCAAAAGAGAAGAGGCATACGATTCAGCTGGACCAAATAAGAAATGTGTACCGTTTCATGGATCAAGGGATCGACGACAGTGATCGAGCAGATCAAATAGATACCGATGGTATCGAAGATTTCAAAATGGAAGTGGACGGATCTGAGGCTGAGGAGAGGAATCCCGCCGTGGCAGACGGCATTATTACCGAACAGCCAGATATTGGGAGACAGGTCTCATTGAGCTTACTTCAAAACGTAATTAAAACCACAAACCCTTTTTCTTTCGATAGTTATCTCCAATACTAACAAATAGAGGTAGTCCCCACGACAGGACGAAGACAACCCATCTTCCAGCTTCACTCCCCAATGAAGAGAATAAATGTTATCTCTGTATAACAATCCGTATAATGCTTAAAATAATACACACAGCCTGCGCCAAATCGATCATACCTTCCCATGCTCACATATCTTCCTCGTTATATCTGTGGGAGCTTGTGTTTGGCTTCGCGGGAATAGAATAGTATATGTACAGGTTATCTTCAAGTAGAAGAGAAGGGTGATATTACCACCATTGATTTTCATTCTGTTTCATCTCTCACCACACACGTTCAACAATATTTTCCTTTGTCTTTATTTTGCCTGCCTGCTATCTAGATATGACAGGGGAGGGTAGTTGTTAGCATGATAGTGCGTGGTGGATTACATCGTAAGAGATTTCGAAAACGCAATACTCTCTGAAAGGCTTTTGCGGCGTTAGCACCTATACCTAGGCAAACCCCCAGAACTATTGCTTTCGCTCATGCACAACCCTAAGACTCATATAGATTCTACCATTTATATGTAGTATTATACCTACATAACTCCCCCCCCCCCCCCCCTAAGTCAGAAATCACCCAAAGGACCGCAATAGTTGGCCTAAAAACGATTGGTGCTTGAAAGGGGGTAAACGAATACAACTATAGATTAGCAAAAAACCTTACTATTATCGTTCTTGCCATTTTTGCATTCTAATATCTCAGTTATTCTCTTCCCCTTTTTTCTCTCTGCTCTCACTTCCCAAAGATTGAGGTTATGCCCCAAACGCTTTTAAGGGAGTATATAAGCCAGGGGCCCGCAGAGGCTTTCATTAAATAGACAGACCTTGATGTTTGAAGCATTTCCTAATACTCTTATTCGCCTCCAACAGGGTTTCAAATACCCTGTGCATATTAAAGACCTGAATTTAGACATACAAGTAATTCAAGAAGTTAAGATTCGACCAACATTTATGATTAATCAAAATTGGAGTGATTACATGTGATAATAACTAAACTGCGATGGAACGCCGCAGTAAGCACAGGGGAAACTCTTGGGCCTTCTGAACTTAATACCACTGCCCCCCTCACCTGCAAACAAACTAAACAGCCAAGTAACTCACATCACCCCTCCGTGTCGGTTTTGAGGACGCCGAAGTAACTTTATGAATTTAAAAAATGACGTGTGACTTTTGGTATTGGACTACTACTAGTCTACCCCCAGCCCCCCTTGTCCCTGCGAACTAAGCAATTTTCATGGCCGAGTTCTTTCACTGTACATCGGTTGTCGGAGCGACTTTAGACTTCGTTTATCCTAACAGGTCTCCACCGCACCAGCACCACCAACAATAAAGCGTCACCATGACCGCTTCAGATGACAACGCCAACGGCGCTGCAAGTCTCTCGGCTTTCCGAACCTTCGAGTTAATGCAAATGGATGGGGGGAATCTTGTATCCGACCGTTCTGGCGCAGTGTCAGAGGTAACACTTACTTCAACAAGAGAAAAGCGATGTTTGAGGACATCTACTCACCGCGGTGTACTGACTCTGTCACAGGATATCGACGGTTCAAAAGGATTCCCAGCCTGCTGTAACCGTGCTGGTTCCCCCAGGACATCTCCAACCGGGAGGAAAGGATACGAAGAACTTGGGAGCAACATCCAGCACAGACTAGCTATAGGTCACCCTTCTGTTACATCACATGCTTTGGTATATCGGCAGGCGCGACGAGAAAACCTTCATCGCAGAATGCTGAGCTACCCACCAGCAACTCTACCTACACCTCCTACTGCACACCAACTACGAGGCTTCATGCGCCAGAAGGGAAGCCATCATAGCGTTGAATATGAACATGGTAGTTCTTATCGCTATGAAGATCCAATCCTCGACAATGCCCCCAGAATGCCCCGCTCTGACCGGCTGCGTCAGGAGGCACTGGCAAAGCAATATAGTACGGTCAACGTATCTCAAACAGAATCCCCCGCCCCAAAGTCTCAGCTCTTCCTGACTGGCAAGGCCGCAAGCACTCGTAGCCCTTATCCCGCTAATAAAACCTACACTATGTTGGAGTGGCCCAGCGACCCCAATATTATCAAACAGGCAAACGCAGAGCGTTTACGTTTCTGGTTAGAAGAGCCTCGTAACGCTCGTAGCGCCTATGGAAAACTCTTGGACCCATCTATCATCAACTCCGTCGCCCCTCATTCCCGAAATATTGATCCTCATCCTACATATGTGGACAATACCAGAACTACGATAACCGCTAGGCAAGGTGGCGTGCGCCCCATCACGGCTACTACTAACGCCAATCATCTCCAAAGTAGGTAACTTCACACTCAGGTGTTTTTTTACTCACGGAAATATTGACTTGGCCACAGCAGATTCGGTTATAGTACGCACTAGAAATTACTTCGAGGAGTACGTCAATGGACAACGCTCCAGCAGATCATCAGGGCAATGTCATAATTCCGATACCAATCTCCATAATAAGGGGAACATGGAGGCCACCGATCGCGAATATCGTCGGCAGACGACCAAAGATACCAAGATCGACAGGTTCTATATCAAGCGTGCAGAATGCGACTTTACTCTGCAGGCCACTATTAAGAATGTCTTTAAAAATGGAACACCTACTGCTGCCGATATTAAGAGTATGATGGACGCCATCGATTCTCTCCAAATTAGCCTCAAAGAAAATCTAGCCTCTGATGTTGACGATCCTTGGTATGAGAGAATTACATGGATCAAGAAGAGCATTGTCGGCCCCCACGGGAGGCAGGTCAGAACTTTGAAGAGCATTTTCAGGCTACTCAATGGCGAGGGCATCATGTTTCGCCAGGATGAGAACAGTGAGGTTTATAAAGAGGCCCAATCAAACAGCGTTTCTATTTTTCGCGAAAAGGGTAGTCCCATTTAAAGGTTTGTGCCCTGACCGGCACAATATGCGCAGTCGATGCTAATATCAGAGGCTCAAAGTTCAATATGCTACCAAGTAGACGGTCCCATACGGACATCGTACCAATCGGGCCGGTGGGTTTAGTCGAGTAAAATAGTTGTAAAAGTTCAATAAGACTTTCACATTACGACTGTAAGTGACGTTGATTTAGGCGGGCTTATTTTGGGTACATGTATGTGCTTGTCTAGGTAAAAGATAGTCGAAACTTGGCGACAAAATGCAACCTATTTGTCTATGGATAGGAAGACTACATGTATATCTCATCCTTGTAAGGCTGGTGCCTTACACTGGAACATGTATTATTGCGCAGTGAAGCTTACAAGTATGTACCCACAGTCAATTAAAAGAGGCCTGGCTTACAGGGGTTTTCCTTGTAATATTCTTTTTTTCTTTTTCTCCATTGATTAATATGTAGGACTGCGGTTTCACAGCGTTGTCGTTGGATTAAGGTTCTCCTAGGAAAGTAAGCGCCCGCATCAGGTCTAGCCCAATCTGCTGCAGCACCGGGTAATGAGGTCTGAAGCTTGATTCAACGACACTCTGCCTTTCAATAAGAGACTTAGGAGAACAGTCATTAGAGTACGAGCGACTTTTAGAACGTATCTACAGGGCCGGACATCCTCACACAGCTTTGAAACTGGATAGAACGCGAGTTTGTACTGTTTTCAGGAACTTAAAAGGTCAGAATGTCAGTATGTTTGTTACGGTTAGAATGAGGGTTATAGGCTATCATGTGCATAGTAAGCTCTTAAACAAAAGTGAACTAGAATCTCTGTCTAATTTGTGAACTCCCATCACAACAGTAATAGAGGTCCCCCCCCACTCCCTTGAAGATTTGGTTCAAAGGCCATAAAAGAAATAATAACAATTAAAGGCGACAAATCATTCCCCAGAGATTTTAAATACATGTATAAGGCATATAATCATACACACATAGGTAGGTTTGGTACTTTCTTCATCACAAAGAAAGGAAGCGTAGTCAATTAACTCCTTCAAGGAGTTATAGCTACAATCCACTATATGCGCCGATGAATTCAAGAAACATAAACTATGATCTAGAAATCTATAGTCGGTTTTGTCCTCGAGTTGCTATCACCATATACAGATTGCCAAACACACTTCATTGTTGTGAACGTGGCCCATGCCCCAGCCGCTACATGTCTGCAGAAAATGTAGAAAGGGCGACCAATATGGACGTGCTCAGAAACCTACAGTTGCCTCTAACATTACTCATTCATCAACTGTATGAAAGGCGCCCTGGATCAGCCAATTATGAACTACCCTCCATATCATAGCAGCTCATTTGAAGAATCCCAGCTATGAATTCTCATTCTCTACGCCACATAGCATACACACCAGAGTTTATCATCATTTAATGGCATCACTTCGCCTCTTTAATATGGATATTATCAGCTACCTGCCCGTTATTGCTGTTATCTTTAACTCCCATCATGGATATAATCTTTTCACTGAGCGGAGAGAAACCTTTTGTCGTCACAGACGGAGAACAAATGAACTCCCACTTACGAAACTGATTCCCTATCCATCAACCCATACTTGCCTTTTGCGTACATAGTACCTGGTAAATATCCGCGAGTAATCTCAGATAACCTTAGTATTCTCGCTGTGTAATGTTACCAATATCGTCTTATCGACTCGATATACAGTCACCTATAATCCTCATCCGTGAACCTTCTCCTGGTATCAACGGTGTACACTATGCCCCATATATTATTCACCTTGTGGATATTTGAAGGTAAATAGATGTCTCCTATCTGGTGATATTATTCTCATCTTCAAACAATGACAGTATTGAGATTTCTATATATAACATTGCTGAAATATCGTCATCACTCTAATGTAATCACCCTACAACCTTTCTTTTCAAAATGCATCAAAGTGTCAACACAGGAGATTGCATTAGCAGGCGATTTCAAAGTAAGATTCAATACCTCTAGTAACGCAATAGTGGGCTTCTGTTACGCTATAGGTTAGCTTGGCTTCCATGAGTCCTATTCGATTCTTCAAGATGCTATGATTATGTCGTCGTTCCTCATCGCGGGGATCGTTTCCACAGCCTCCTTTTAAGGGCCCCTGTCGGCCCCCTTTCTCCCCTCTTACCTCTCTTCTTCTTCTCATTATCTATCCATCCGCCTTCTCTTCATCGTTCCTTCGCCCCCTCTGCTAGCGTTCATCCCTTCGTTTCATCAAAAGCCTCATCCGTCACCCTTTCTTAAGGTCATAGCAGCTCTTCCTGATTCCCTACACAATGCCAGGCTCGACTATTAAAAAGAATCAATTTTATAGCGCTAAGGATCCAGCAGGGAAAGTATCTTCCCTGGATCTCGGATCCTTTGAGACCCCTAAGGATACAGTGGGGTTTCCAAAGACACCAATCAGCGGGGAGATAGCCAGCAAGCCCCCAAATCTCAGCAGAAGTAGGAGAGAAGCAGAGTTACTCAGACGATCTGCCCTTCGTGGCGAGCTCGGCTCACCAACTGACCTTGTCCATGCGCGTCGCTCTGCGCGGAGGTATTTAAACCAACACCCTTATCTACCGCCGTGGCGCTAACAACTATTTGATGAGCTTAGGTTGCTCTTCACTGATCTGCAGCTGCAGACCCCAACCTTTCCAGCCCTTGACCAGGGGGCTCCTGCTGGTCAGCAGGAGCAGAAAGGTGATAAAGATCCAGCTCCGATCTCTTATGGGGAGCGTAATGCTGGGCAGCATATCCCAGTAGATTATGAAGAGGGTGAAGAGAAAAAGCCTTCGAGTGATTTCTAAGCCTGCATCATCATAGCCAATTTTTCGTTCCTATTTCGTATGTTATCAGCCGTCTATTGATAATTTCTGTGCTTACATAGTTTTCAGTTTAGGCCTTTTTTTTTTCTTTAGTTGATGATGTCCTTTTGATGCTCTCAATTTTCTTAACCATTCTTCTATCTTCGAATCATTATTTTGGAACACAAAGAGAAAGCCACGCGTGTGCAGTCACCTTAGTGTCATTTTGTAAGTGGTCATCTTCCTTCCGCTTTTCTGACGCGATGGCTAATGGCCAAAGTTTTGTTTTTTTAATCAGTATATGACCCGGCGCTGTTCGATGGAGCCCGGCCCGTATCCCTATGTTTGGGAGGCAATTATCTTTCACTTTCGTAGAGAGATGTGTCACTCTATCCTGTCAAAAAGGTTCTACTCTCCCCGATCCGCTCTTCTGGCAAGATAGAACTATATTGTCCCGTGTGTATCCATATCATCGGTATTCGATCCCCTTCTGCATATCCTGTGTCGAACGTGTAGCTGATTCTGTGTGTGATATCAGTATCATGAGGTTCGCCGGATCAAACAATACATACCCCATTTAGCCTCTTATTCTTACTATTATCCCTTCGTGGTGGTACTTTAGTGCTCCGCTCAGTCGTGGCGATATCTAGAGTATATCGCCCGCGTTGATTCCCGTTCTTCATGTGAGATGGGCGTATCTAAGTTTTCATGTTTGAATGATATTTGTGGTTGTTTCTTGGTGCGTAGTTGAAGCATCGACATTCATGTAAAGGTAGAGTTCTCTTTTCATGGGAGTACTTTTAAGGCAGACGCATGACAGGGTCCGTGCACATACGCTATACCGCAAGCGTGTAAGACAGGTTCCACACAAGTTCACTTCCGACACGAACTCAATTTAAACCAAGTGCGGTCTTCTAAATATGTATCTCCACTCTCATGAGTAGAAACAGCTCTTAATAAAACTACTACTACCGACAGTGCACCGAGACCCGAGCCACTCTCTGTGAATGACAATTTTGGTTTGCCGCAGATAACGTTTCTCCTCTGTCGATTTCACTGGCTCATCTTCTTCCTAGGCTAAATTAACCGCACACTTCCCTACAGTCACAATACTTTCGCACAGAGAAAAACCGGAATCTGTTACCCCTTGGTTCTCATAATACGGTCGCAAAACTTTCAAAGCGCGACAAACGCCCTCAGTAATCAAGGGGAAACGTAGAAATCATAAGGGACAGTGTCAATTTCAAACGCTCTCCACGCCAGAAATGAATCCTTCAAGCGCCACCCCTACAGACGCTGGGAAAGATCTTGAATCTGGTAGAAGCGAATCAGGTATATATTTCAGTCCCTTACCAACGACGGAATTAACCCTCTTGCAGTCTCCCTACAAGCTATTCAAATGGTACCAAATAGTATTTGTACCTCCCAATCGACAGAAAAGATTACTATAGAGTGCAAGATCATGGTGATAATGAACACTTCACATAAAGTCCTAGAAGTATGGGAGACAGAACTTTCAGTGCAAGGTCGCTCTACTCCACAAACCCCACTACTACCAGAGCCATCCTCTAGCATTACCATCCGGAGACCAGTTTCGCCAACGGACGAGTTCTTGATGAGGCAGAAAACTAGCCCACCGCCAGGCATGGTGACCTTGATGGGTAGTATGGGCGCGCTACTCAAGGACCATTTCGAGGACAAATGTTTTCATGAAGAACACTACGGTCCTTTCTACAACGAATTCTACAAACGTTATATTAAGAAACATCAACCGCTAAAGATGAGAATGGAAGATCTGGTCGAAATCACCATGACGACCCGCCTGCCCAACGGATCGATCAGGAGCTACAGAAGTGGTGAGATTCCGGTGATGATATGCCGGTACTGTAGGCAAATGGTGGGCCTAGACTTGCCTCGATGTGGACAGGGCAATTAGTGCGTTTATACCCGATACTATAGCACTTTACCTCTGTATTTATATTCAATCTCTAACTTTTGATCTAGACGCTGTGATATACATTATTTAATATCATGCATGTCTCTTAATCGAGTAGACCCCTAAATACGAGAGGAAATTAATAAATTTCTCGGTAGCTGATCCATTTCGGATCCACTAATAGCATTATTACTACAGATACAAAGATTAATTACTTCTATATGCTTATACGTTACTCTTCAAAAGATCAAGTACCAAAATTGCAACTTCTGCCGGTATATGTGGTAAACTAGGTTTCAATCTGTTTCACCCCCTATTCGATGAAAAGGAGAAGAAAAAGCTGTACTGTCTCTCTGAGGAAAACTAAGCTTGTAGGAGTAACTCAATTGTATAGCTTCTGGTGATATAGAGGGTGTCTCTCTTTCAATTTACAAGGTCGTTAATTAACAGATGCATTCCTACGCGCACCCTTGACCACTAGGAGACTTCAATTTATAATTTGATAGCCTTTATAACCCAACAAAGCAGTTTATCCATTGATACACTTTAGCAAAGACGAACAAACGCCGGAGCGGTACTGTAGAACTACTAAATACCACAAAACACCCAGTCAACCTAACATCGGGCAGCTCTGAGGCTTTCCCAACTCCTTCCGTACCCTTATTCTTCAGACCTAACAATACCCATACCTGGTAATCTTCCCAGAGCAGCATCGGATGCCAATTCCTGATATATCAAACCCTCCTCCAACCTTTTCATATCATATTTCGTCAGCGGAAATGACTCCACGCTGCGAGATCTTGCCCCAGTGGGCGGCCTATACCACTCCAAGTCCAAGAATCCCCTCTTCAAACAACGCATTTTAACCGGTAATCTCATCACTGCCACCGATGAGGCCGGTTTCTCAGGTGGTGTTTCTGGTTCCTTCTTGTATGTGATATACCCTAGGCCATAGCCGTTAAGCCACCGTCTGAAGACTATCCTCATTCTACCCTCTTCCATTACCAGGCCCGCCTTCATTTTGGCTCCAATCGTATGTGCCAGCATATCAAGCCTTCGTGCCGCCTCGCTCTCCGGAAACCCATTTGGGCACAACCTTGCAACGAAGTCAATGTGGCGTCTTAAGAACATTGAGTCCATGTAGGTATTATCCCCACCACCGTGGAAGAGTTGGTAGGTGATATCGCTTCCGATCTTCCACCACCATTCGCGATAGTAGAGGCCAGGGGGGCGGGTATCGAGGCGAAAGACTAAGTGGTTATCGAGAACGCGGAAGGAGATAAGGTTTAGAACAATCCATTGAAGCTGGATGCTTTGTTGCGAGTATTCTTCTGTGGGCTTGGGGCCTATGTATATGGTCCCCATATGGTCTTCGGAAAGTGTGTCTGTGAAATAATTTAGCAAGGAAGGGGCTACAATCCCAGACATAATGACGATTGATAAGGATAAGGGGTTTAAGTGTAGAGTCTGGATCTTTTTTCTAGAGTGGTCAGCGACCGGCTAGGCGAAAGGGAGGATTAGGATGTGAAGGTAATAGGAAGCGAGTTATTGACAAATATATATAGTTACCAAGACCTGGGAAGCCACGTTTCAAGCCTTAGGAGGAGAAGAAAAAAAGTATCAGTCCTTTCACCTTGAGGGTTTTAGTAGCCCTGTGGAGATTAATTACTACCCCTTGGACGGATAACCACTTTAGTTGTAAGTTGGACCATAGAGGGATAATTATATTCTAAGGTAGCTTTCCTATTTTTGCTCTTTCTCCGTGCGCAACAACGTTGTTTGCCGACTCGGCGTTCGCATCGAAACATCTTCCTCTCTGTTCTGTTTCTCTCTCTCCTCATTTCTTCTCTTTATCGGGCTCTCCTAGCGCTTTCTTCTATAGAGGTAAGTATATTGCTGTTCTCTCCCGATGGCATCAAGAAACTGGTCTCCCCCCCTCCCCCACCCCTCAACAGACTACGGCTTAACCATTTATTATACTCGGTCGGGCCCTAGTATCCTTTCTTCTCCAATCCTAAGGTGGAGGTGATTCACAGATTGTGTTGTAAGTCCAGTTCAAGTCGTTTCCGAAAGAACCAGGCTAATACTGTACAGCCACCGCTTGGGGTCAGCAATAATACTGGTGCCGGTGCACCACCACTGTCAACAGAATCTATTATGGATTTCGAATTCAGCTTGAAGACTCTCGACTCTGAAGGTGAAGAATATCTCCCAAGTGATATATTTGGCTGATCCAATTATGCTTTTTAAGTTCATCCAGCTAAAGGTTTGAATCTTCAGAAATGAGTCTTCCTCTTAGATCCAAACACTGACATGAAATGTTTAAGAATTATCGATCGTACTCTCGAAGAGCACAAACGAGCTTGCCGAGCCAGTGGGTGGGAGGAAAGTTGGTTTTTATTTCTTGGTGCTTTGAAAAGGAAAGAAACAAATTCTTCTTGTTCCTTGGTGCTGCGGAAAGGAAAAGAAATAAAATCGGTTGGGTATTTCATTTCGTGCACCATCGCCTTCATGGGTGCCGTGCAGAGCAACAGCGGCAACATCAGAAGCCAGTGGCTGCGAAACGTAAATGCTCGTTTGGTGAGACAGTTGCAGATGATCTCAGTGACAGCGAGAGCAGTAGTAGTAGCAACAGCGAGTGAGCAATGGGGGACTTTCCACTCCCCAATGAAAAAGTAATCGAGGATCTCCTCGATACCGGTAATAAAACCCCCCCTCATCGAGCAAATGGGGTTCACATCATATAAAGAAGACCGTGAGGAGTACAACAAAACCAGAAAAATAGCTGCCGACGCACTTTCAGTAAAACCAGTACAATTCATAATCGGTTCGGCTTGGAAATCGGTGAGGAGCAAGGCAACACGCCAGATATTGATCAATAATGTTAAGAATGCTCTTACCGGGTACAATTACAGTGTCTCTTTTGCCCTTGCTATCATTATCTCCCTGAAGAGAAGGCAATTAAGGATCTCCTCGATACCGGTATTAAAACCCCGTTAATCGAGCAAATGGAGTTCCGATCCTATAAAGAAGACCGCGAAGAGTACAACAAAATAAGGAAAATAGCTGCTGGTGCACTTGCTGCAAAGCCTGTGCAATTCATACAGTACAATCTCCTTATAAGGGTTCGGGTTAAAAGGGTATTCGCCTTATAGGGGTGGAGGTTTCTGGTCCCAAATAATTTGTATGTAATCTTAAGGGTAAATGACCGATTATTTGTTATAAGAGTACCCTTAGGACTTTGGAAATTTTTTTGGTGTGTTACCCCTATAGGGAGAGCAGGGTTAGGGGTTTTTGATCGAAAATTTTAAGGAAAATTGACAGAGGTAGAAAAAAAAATCAATTTTCAATGAATTAAACAAAAAAAAAAAAAAAAAAGGTTCAATTTTTGAGTGGTCCAACAAGGTGAACGCACCTCGTATCGAACTTAAACCCTAATCCTCAATTCCTTATAAGGGTTTACGCTCTATAAGGGTATGACCTCGCGACTTTTTTGTACCGCTATAAGGAGATTGTACTGTAATCGGTTCGGCTTGGAAGTCGGTGAAGACCAAGACCACACGTCAGTTTCTCATCGATAAGGTGAAAAACGCACTTGCCAAGTATTTACGACGACTCTGTCCGCCTGGCAATCATCATCTCTCTTACAAACAACTAAGGAGAAACAAGAACAGGAAGAAAAAAATAAGGACATCAACCTGGGCGGTGGTGCGGTGAGGAAGGGAAGACCTCCCACCACCGGTCACTATGTTGGCAGACAAAGGAGAACAGGGCAGGGACAGTCTTATAAAATCGAAGTAGATAAAGCTCTTCATCGTTATATTTCTATATTGAACCTACACTTCCTCTCTGTCGAAATTAACCATCGTGATCTATAATCTTCTGGCATATGCAAACGTGAAGAGCTTCCCAGAAGACCCACATGCATTTAGGCCCTCCCTGCTATTTTCTGAAGGTCATCAATTGTTCCATCATTTCTTTATCATAGTCTCATGCCAGATAATAGCAGTTCTTAACAAGAAATAGTGAATAAAAGGCTCGAGAATTTAAAGGTCTATCGATAAAGAAGAAGGAAACTCAGCCAGTAGCTTTCAAGACTGAATTTCCTTTGTAAACTATATGCCGCACTTACATCATCCAGGAATCTCCGTATAAGTACGCCTCAAAACTGCTCGAGTTTAACCACTGTTCACAACGGCGACTTAGTATCACATTTTATCAGCTCGGTTGGTATAATTATACCTATTGTGCTCTCCTCATTTAACCTTTTTCCGCAGAAACATTGTGCATCTGTTGTCCCCAATACAATACCCAACTCTCGAGATCTTTCCAAGGAGAAATGGGTAGGAAACATGGCATTAGGGTCGACGCGTGTGCTACGTTATAACCATTTTTATATCCCTCTTGTGGAGTACTATCTACTGTGGGCCTTTGGTTTGGATGGGGTCTTCCTGGGCTCTTTTTAGCAAGGAGGTTGAATATAAAGACATTTCCTGCCACATATATCCCTGGCACTGCACCGCGCTATGGAGTCAGTCACTGTCATACGTTTGTGAGAGCAGTCTGTAATTTGTATTTTTGCGGGCTCTCTGGCCGGGCTGCGGGGGATTGGCGGCAGTGTTTTGGCTGATCAATTGGCTTAGTCCCTTTGTTTATTGTTATTTGGGGCGGGGGTTTAATTTTATTTGTGGGTTGCATGCATGCATATATGCCTTAGACTCGAGCTTGGGGGATTCTATATTTGTTGTCTGGGCGTACATGGCGGGCAGCTCTTCCTCCTGAGACAATCTATATCCTAGCACTTTTTTTTCGATCCGGCAATAATTAACATGTTGCCCATTACACATGCATACATGTATATATATAATATTCAATCTCCTAGCTCTAAGCCCTAGACCATTCTATGCAAGGAACAGCTCCCCCCTTACCGTACCGCTACCCGGTGAAAATAGGAACAGGACGTTGGGAACGGACACACATCGACTCCCCGCCTGACCCTCTACTCTCTCCCTCACCCTCCCGCCAAAGCTTCAATTCACACTAATCCCCATGTTCTCACCCCCCAACCTACGCTAATCCCACCTCCAAAGCTCTCTACCGTCTAGACATCCTCCACCTCTCGTCCCGTTACAGCCCGCACCTGGTACCGCACTACACAGCTAAGGCAGCCCGAGGGATACCTTAGATCACCCCTCCCATAGAAGCCGACTACTTCACCGACCAGTCTTTGGCTGTCAAGTTAGGCGCGCTTCATAGCTAGGCGGGAAACATTCCGGTAATGTCAGGAATATGGTGCATTCCCCACCCCTCTCCCCCCACACCTCGCGGGCTCATTATAAGGTTTCATTACCCGTGGGAAGCCTCTGCACATGGGTCTATCGATCGAGTGACGAGTACAAGAACTTGGTGGTTCCGGTTGGTTTTTGTTAATCACAGCTCATCACTCGAGTGCTTCATAACCTATCACTCGCACCCAATATCCTTCTTATTGGGTGCGCTAACCTTTCTTGATCTAGCGCACTATAATACTAGTAAAGATTGCGTTTCGGAGATGGACCCTGCTTACGAAAGGCAAAGCGACAGAGGCAAAAAACACCACAAGTTTCAATTGAATCGCAGAAAAAGCCCGCCAGAAAAAGATGTAAAACAATATTTTAACGAATGAATACAAGCCACAGCACCACTACCACCACCGCACCCAGATGATTGAAACAATGGATCCTGATCGGTCCAGCTATGAAAACAGAAGGAAAAGAAACAACACAACCGACCTCATCCATGGAGGACCCGGCCCCAACCCACCCACCATTGATTGAAACAATGGAGCCGGACCAAGCACAATCAGTAAGAACCCATGCAGCCCCTACTTCCAGACACCCGGCGCTACAAGACAAGCATTCCAACCACAATGAGCAACACTGCATTCGACTATAAAAGAAATAACCAGGACAAAAATACACCCCTAAAAAATAACATCCTGTACAGGCACCAATAGCTTTAGCCATGCCTAGGAGGGAACAAGCAGCAATACATGGAGTGTTTTGTGAAATTGGGACACCCCAATATCGCAAAGGCAACGCCCCCAGCTATCCCAAAAGGCTGATCCATCCCAGTCCATGTTTTAATCTTGAAACAATGGATCAGGGGATGAATAGCTACAGGAAAAAAGATATAAACGCTGACAAGAGTGAAATAGGAAACAAAAAAAAACGACCACAACGAATCGGACTTGAAGATACAGAAAAATAAATAAAAGAAACAGAGACAAACCAAGAATAAATGTTTGAGAAATGACATGAGAGCCGGACCACCCAAGATCTAGGCCCCTTACCTTACCAGAATAAAAATAAAGAAGAAAAAAGAAAACGCACAGGTCAATCCTTTGTCTGTGCCTTAAGAAGAATGATAACCTGCAAAGGTCCATTGTC